TATATATATATATATATATATATATATATATATATATATATATATATATATATATATATATATATATATATATATATATATATATATATATATATATATATATATATATATATATATATATATATATATATATATATATATATATATATATATATATATATATATATATATATATATATATATATATATATATATATGGATTGAATAACATAAATATGATGTTTTCTGTACAGATCTAGGTGAAGAAAAAGCACAAGTGATTTCTTTGGGTTCTTGCGATCAACACCCGAATTGCGGTAAGGATTGTACGAATCTAGGGTTTGATGTTGGCACATGTTGTTTCTATAAAGGAACTAATTTGCACGAATGTTGCTGCGCAAAAGTCAACGGATGATAGTTTGTATTGACAATTCATATTTAATAATACATCTAAATTTTTGCTAGTCCCGACTGCATTAATTTATACAAGTTTAATTATAATAAAATTAGCTCCAAATTAGATGGGCGAAAAATATGTATGTTTATCATCCTAATCTTCTCTATATACATCGTCCCGATTTTATCGAATTATTAATTTTCCCGGGAAAAAAAAAGAAATTAATTGCGTGAAATTTTAGTGGCAGGTAAACAAGAGGAACCACCATATAATTACTATTTTGGGACATGTGAATCAGATATAGATTGTATTAGAGTTTGCTGCGACAATGGGTATTGCAATAACAAGGGTTTATGTGTCAGACTCGTTGCCTATCTAGAGCTAACTTGTCACTGCATTCGCTAAGAAAAAATATCAAATATTATTGCAATAATTTTTAATTTTGATTTTGGTTTTCAATTTTATGGTAATGAAGTTTGTCAAATAATGCATGCTTAGGCAATTGCTTGGCTGTGGTTTTTTGAAATAAAAGTTCGCGTTTACAATCAATAAATGAATTTTCTTTGAGTAATTAATTAAATTTATACACGTGTTTGAGATATACTACAATTAAATTTATCGAGTGAAATATAATACAAATCGTAAATTACGATCACTCCTCTAAGGTAAAATTAAATTAAAAAAAAAAACTTTTGTTCAGGTAATTAATTACAAAGGGCAAATCACGACCACCCCTGAGGTATGACCAAATTACGAAAAAAACTCATCTTGTTTGGATAACTACTGCCACCCCCTCCTTTTAAATACTTTTACATAAAAATTATATAATTCGGTTATTTACCGATCCAAATCGTATATTCAGTTCGGTAAACAATATAAAATGTTGGCGTACCGAAATTTCGGTTTGATTTTACCGATTTTCCTAAATTTACCTTTGGAGGGGGTTTTTCGTAAGATAATACATAGTTGAGGGGTGACTGTAATTATCCAAACATGAGGGGGAGTTTCGTAATTTGACCATAACTCAGAGAGGGTGGCCATAATTTGCCATAATTACAATCACCCCTCAACTATGATTGTAATTACTCGAAAAAGATTTTTTTTTAAGTCGATCGTATCTCAGGGATAGCCGTAATTTGCCATAATATAAATCTATAATTGCATGACAAACATCCTTTTGGGATTGCTTTGCTTCCACACAAACACATTTGTCAATTGTCAACCCTTCATTATAATTAGAAGTGAAGAAATTGCTTTGGTCCGCCATGTTAGAACAAAATCAGCTTACGTTTAATTTTGTCCCATTTTACACTATAAATAGTTAGTCTTTTGATCGTACTCTTATTTTAACAAAATCTATATTGAAATTAAATTCCATATTTTTTTAGGAAAAATAAATTGTAAAATGACAGATAATATATAATAATTTTTTTTAAGCGGTCATTAATTTGAAATAGAAAAGAGTATTAAAGAACGTGATAACGTTACAACGCACGCAAATTTTGGAGCCATTCATTTATTAAAAAGCAACGTTGTAGATGATACACTAATTAAATATATAACGGATATAACATTTAAAGCGTATTCACGCACATACACACATGAATATGTGTATTATATAGATAAATACATAACGGATACACGTCCGATATATATCACCGATATTTATTGGACAATTTCGTGGTTGAAAGAAGCCCCCAATTGCCGGCCAAAAGTATGACTTTCGATGTCAAAAGGGGAAAATAAAGAAAAAAAGAGAGAAGAAACCGAGAACGAGATATCGACAAAATTTGTTGTATGTGTATAAATGTGAACGACGACGTGCTAAATTCTAACCGGGTATTGGCTCTAGCCATGTTGCGACCTAAATCGAATGATAAATTACTATTTTTTTGTTTATTTCTCTTAATATATGGTTATAATGTAAAATTAAATCCACGTAAGAAAATGTCGACTAATTGTCTTTCTACTAATTAAGAGTAATCGGTGCCGATAAAATTGAGAAAATAATAATTAATTCATATTTTTGAAATTCTAAAGCGACAAATAATATGAAATACTATTTTTGTTAAATCGATAATTGATTTAGAAATGACATAGTATACTATAATATAGCCTAGTGTTATGGACAATGTCATAAAATTACCTGCCAGATCAGATGCAAACATCATCCAAAATTAACACGTCAGATTACTTGGCGAGGTTCTATTCGGTGATGAACCCTAACACACTGTGGTAGCCACGTGAACACACACCAACAACGCATGCACAAAACTGCATGAAAAACACAAGCGCTATATATATATTGAAACTATTTACATATCCAGCGTGGCAATGATCGTACGTGTCACACTATTATCAATCGATAATGGCTCAGAATATTGAAACAGAATATGGGTAGATCCAATTAATCTACTAAAAAAACAAAAAAGAAAAGAAAAATTATCACAGAGAGCTGAGGGAGAAAATTAAATAAAGCAAAAAAAATTAAAAAGTAATTTTTTATTTATTTTATGTTTTTGATTTAAATATTACGTCAGAAAAAAAAAGACACGTAGAGGAAAATGAAAAGTCTCACCGTTTCATCGACGAATAGAGACAAAGTTCCCTTCAGTCGGTCCAATCTCTCTCTTTCTCTCTCTACATTACTGTATATCATGTATGTTTCATGTATGTATATACGATGTGTATGCATGCCTGCATGGATTTGAGCTACGATTGGTGGGATTAATTAGTTGGGGGTTTGCTATATAGCTATATAATATATATACATAATGCATGTGTGTGTATTTTGTAAGTATATACAGCGTATGCATGGTTGTCGTTTAGTAGAAGGGGAGAAGAGAGAGAATTGAGCTGCTATGAATTCTGTATCGACATTATTTTTTTCTGGTTTTCAAATTGAAAAAAAAGAAAAGAAAAAAAAAAAGAAAAGGCAGAGGCACCGCTGTAGTGCACCATTCAGGTGAGAACGTATGGCTACAGGCGTATAATCCGGAGATAAGTGGGGGAGAAAGTAGCGGCACGAGGTTTTTTTTTTTTTTTTTTTTTTTGTTTCTCTCTCTAAAAACTTCAAACCTATTCTCACAACTTCTTTATTCCTCTTCTCTCTCTCTCTTACTTAAGAGCAAAACTCCAGTAAGAAAACGATTTGAACTTATCTGCAAACAAACCCACAAAAAAAGAAAAAAAAAAAGAAAAAAGAAAAAGAAATAAATTTGGAACTGTTCTTCCTATATAGACCACAATAATATTCATGGTGGTTGTTGGGTTTCAGACAATTTAAGTTTGGTGGTGGTTTTCTTTTTCATTTTTTTTAGGGTTTTGTTTCTTTTCTTCCCCTGGTTCAATTCTTCGTCCTGTAATAATTCTTGAAATTCGCCTGTAAATCGAGATTGGGTTTTTCTGTGTCGGAAATCTTTTATTTGGGGGGCGGATTTTGTATTAGCAAGTGGTGAATATTTTAGGGAAACAAATCATTAACCCCAAATGTTTTATGTTGTGCAACTTGCATCCATACTTTGTACTTGAAGAATTTCAAGCGGGCCCTTCGAACTTTGTTTCCTTAATCACTTACAAGATCTCTCTCTCTCCTCTCTCTTTCTCTCTCTTCTTCTTCCTTAAACCTTATCCGTACTACAGATTATATCTGTTTGTGTTCTTCAGAAATTTCACTTTATTTTTACTGTATATGTAACCGTATTATTCATCTGGAGAATTGCACCTGTATATTCGGATTCGATACTGTGAAGATGGTTAAAAACGAAGCGGTGGAGCAGGATCTGAAATTTACTCCGGAAAATGTTGGGGTCGAGATGGCGGCGGCGGCGGCGGTGGGTGGCGGCGGTGTGGTGGAGGAAGCTGCTGGTTTTGAGGCCATGGAAGAAGACCATCAAGATCTATGGCTGGATAGGGATCAAGATGATCTTCTTGATGTGAATGATGCTTCCATCTTCTACGACGATTTTCCGCCGCTGCCGGATTTCCCTTGCATGTCGTCATCTTCGTCGTCTTCGTCGACTCCGGCGGCGTCCAGGCCCACCGCCGTGACATCTACGTCCTCCTCCGCCACCTCCTCCTCGCCGGCGGCTTCCTGGCCGATGATGAAGTCTGACGGCGACGAGTTCAAGGATTGTTGCGAGGCGGTGAAAATGGAGCCCGCCGCCTTGTCCTCCACCGCCTCCATGGATATCCCTCCGCCGCCGCCGCCGGCGGATCACGACGGCCTTTGCGACGTGGACTGCATCAACGTGATGGAGAATTTCGGGTACATGGATCTGATCGACAGTAACGAAATCTGGGACCCGTCCTCCATTTTCCAGAGCGAGAACCCACAGGACTTCCTTGCGGACGACCAACACGCCGCCGCGCAGGCGGCGGCGCCGCCGCCTCCGCCGCAGAACATGGACTGCCAGGATCAAGAGAACGACTCCTTCAGCAGCTTCCTGGAGGGGAACAGCGAGCTCGCCTTCATCTTCTTCGAATGGCTGAAGCAAAACAGGGATTACATCTCAGCAGAAGACATGCGAAACATCAAGCTGAAACGATCCACCATTGAAAACGCTTCTAAGCGTTTGGGAAGCAACAAAGAAGGCAAGAAGCAGCTCCTGAAACTCATCCTCGAGTGGGTTGAAAACTACCAGCTTCAGAAAAAACCGCCGCCGATCACAGCCGAAGGCGGTGGTGGCCCCCAATCTCCAAACCCTAACCCCAATTTCAATTACACCCCACTCCCTCAAGATCCCAACACCTGCTTCCCTGCCCCCACCTGGATGCCGCCGCCGCCACAGCCAGATCAGGTCTCCTCAATGATGGCGGCGCCGCCGTTCTCCGGCCAACATATGGCCGGATATTCCGGCGATCCATACTCGAACCAAATTCCAATGGTCCCTATGCACCACCAAGTAGTCAACGGAATCGCGTACCAGCACTCGCCGGAATATGCTCAATCCTGGCCGATTTCCCCATACCCGATGCCGCCGCCGCCGCCACATCATCAATTCAGTCCTTATCCCGACAGTAACGGCCATGTGATGACTCATCACCATCACCAGCATCATCATCATCACCAACAGACGGTGTACGGAAATCCGTACCAGGTTTACGACCCGAACGGGGAGAGGCTGATGAGATTGGGCTCTTCTGCAACTAAAGAGGCCCGAAAGAAACGAATGGCCCGCCAAAAGAAGATGTACTCCCACCACCACCGCCACAGCAGCAACTCCGGTCAAAATCAGAGTCAATTGAACGACGCCGATGTGGTCGGCGATGGCGGCGATGAGGGTGATAATTGGTACTGGTCCGGTGGCGGTGGCGGTGGCGATGCTTCTTCTCCGACCAATGCGAACGCTCCACCTGGCGATGATTCGCACACGCCGTCCGGCGATCGACCCTCGAAGCAGCCTCAAACTAATCAGAAGCAGGGTTCGGATAAGCGACAACAGGTTTAATTTTTTAATGATTGTTCGGAGGTTCGTAGCGTAATATTTTTTTTTTTGGGGTTGAATTGATCCTTTTTCTTCGTGTATAGGGGTGGAAATCGGAAAAGAACTTGAAGTTTTTGCTGCAGAAAGTGTTGAAGCAAAGTGATGTTGGTAATTTGGGAAGGATTGTTCTGCCAAAAGTAATAATTTCTATATCATTTTCCTTTTTATAATTACAATTTAAATTGCATTCCGATTTCTGGTCTATATATAAATATCAAGAATAGTAACATATGATAAAATTTGAAAAATTGCGCTATCAGAAAGAGGCTGAAAGCCATCTCCCGGAACTGGAAACGAGAGACGGGATGACCATTGCCATGGAAGACATTGGAAGTTCTCGTGTCTGGAATATGCGTTACAGGTACCGTATTCTATTTTAAATTGAATGGGAATTAATATTTAATTACAAATTTGGGATTCTTGGGTATATTTTCAATGTGGTTATACGATTATCGATTGTTTCAGGTTTTGGCCTAATAACAAGAGTCGAATGTACCTTCTTGAGAACACAGGTAACAAAGAATTTAGGCCCTCATTTTATTAATATTGATTATAGTGATGTTTTTAATTGGTTTTTATTATCATTTAATTAAATTAATAGGTGATTTTGTGAGAGTCAATGGACTCCAAGAGGGAGATTTTATAGTGATCTACTCCGACACAAAATGTGGCAAATATGTAAGAATTTTTTCTTTTTGCTTCTTTTCCTCTTTTGCCCTTTTCGATATTTTATCTTAAGAGTTGGTTTCTCATTTTTTTTTTGTTGAAAACTTCACTATATGATACAGATGATACGAGGAGTAAAAGTTCGACAGCCAGGGGCAAAAATGGAAGGCAAGAAGCCAGCAAGGAGAAACATGCGCAACATGTCCTTTGGTGGCAATAGTTCTTCACTTATGCCTATCAAACAAGCTGCCCGTTGAAGGGGAGGTACAAATAGGACCCTCTAATCGAGAAATTTGACGAGTTTGCCCTTGATTTGTCGTAGTTAAATCGAAATATGTGAAGATTAAAAGTTTGTTAGAGCCGAGAAGTTTAGAGAGGGCTTTCTTATCCTATCAAGTTTTGCTTATGATCTCGAGTGTGGGTACATAATATATATATGTTTTGGTTCTTAGTTAAAACTTGGAGAGGCTGGTTGTTGCGGTGGTGGATGAATAGTTTGTATTTTGTATTTGTATTTGTATTTGTATTATTAGTTTATTACTATTACTTAACAAATTGTGATCTATGTATTAATGTTGTCACAATAAGTTGTTTATTTGTATTATGATATTAATGTATTTATGTATTATTTATGTTGCTATATAAATGTGTTTTTTCTTTGAATTATGGGTATAAGTTGAATTATGGTTTATCCATTTATTTTGCATGAGGGGTCCATAGATATACGATGAGGCCTAAATGGCTCAATTACGAAATTATAGAATGACAGAGGAACGGAATGTGCCTGAAAGTCCAAACGAAAGGAAGCCCACGTGTTCTGAGATACCTGTAAAAAGGAGTATTGGGGAAGGATATCCCGGCGTAAGCACTCCAATGGTTGAGTAGTCGGAATCGTGAAGAAAATGCGGGGAAGGGTATCCCGACGTTAGCACTCCAACCATCAATTAGTCGGAATCAGAAAGTTGTCTTTCTCTTGTGTCTCAAGAATGTAATTATACTTGTTGTAGGGATGGGGTGGTAGGTGTCTCGTTCCGCCTTTAGTCAAATCATACATGGGGTGATGTGATCACTACATGAGGGCGAACAATCTTGTTTTTTTGCGGTCTAGGTGAGTTGTGAGGGCGAACAATCTTGTTTTTTTGCGGTCTAGGTGAGTTCAATGGGGCGATTTCACTAGTATGGTCATTTCTGGTAGTGGGTTGTTTCCCGGTTAGTGCCATCTTCCAAACTTTCTGCCCTTCTCTAACACAACTGAATGCATTCACATCAATTGTATGTCTACCCACATGAGGCTTTAAGAAGTGCTAGTCGGCAAGTTTGGAATGAGCCTAGGGTAGGGGTGGTAAACGAGTCGAGCCGGCTCGACAAAGGCTCGAACTTGAGCTCGAGCTTCGGACGAGCTCAAGCCCAAATTTAGTTGTTTGACAGCTCGTGAGCTGCCTTCTTTATATATATATAAACTAAATAGTAAATAGTCTATAATAATATAAAATTTTAAAAAAATATATATAACTAGAGTTCATTATTTATTTTATTTTATTTTCCTATAAATATTTTTTAATAAAAAATTAAATGATTTTAATGAAAAAGATAAATAAAAAAAATTAAAAAAAATTAAATGAGCTCGAGCTCGAGCTCGAGCCAAAAAAAATTGGCTTGATGAGCTCGAACTCAGCAACATGGACTCGAGCCGGCCAAAACAGCCGAGCTCGGCTCGTTCACACCCCTAGCCTAGGGTGCCCTTGGACTTTGTTGTAGGATCCTTATTATTTGGGCTTCTGGGACAATCAAGCTCGTGCACAAATGATATTTTCCTTCACTTTCAAAATTTTTTTTACTTTTCTGTAATTCGAAATAACATAAATGTGTTAGGTTCCTTTATTCCGATCCAATTTTTGAAATTTCAATTTCCAATTTCGAATTTGTTTTGACAAAATTGAGAGTGCTAATCCAATTTTTCAGCCTTAGTCCTCGTATTAGGGATTAAAGGTGGCCGAAGATAAGAGAAGCCCATCAAACCCGAATACGAAATACTTGGGCCCATTAATAGGCCCGAATCCTTAAAACACTCGTATATATTTCATATAGCATAGCGTCAACTAATTAATGGCGCCAAAAGTGTTACAATATTTCCACAAATCATACAAATTACCAAACACAAACTTAGCTACATACAAAAAACAAAAAATTACATATATAAAACCAAAATAAATCCACTATATCTTGATTCCTCTATTGTTTATTGAGCCCAAATCTTGCAATGGAGGAAGAAGAAGAAGAAGCCGAGTGCAACAACGAAGACGCCGAGAAACTCGAGTTATTACTCTGCAAATACATTGCCGACGATGTCCCTCCAATTAAACTCTTATGATTCTCCTCTCCTCCACCACCACCGCCGCCGCCACCACCACCACCAACTTGTGAGGACCCTTTAATAAGCACATCAACTTTAGGAATCTCCTCTCTAGCCTCATGCCTTATCTCCTTGAGCATCGCCGCTATATCCTTCATGGCCGGCCGATCCTCCGGCAAAGGATGCACGCAAAGCATAGCAACCCCCAATGTCTGCATCATTTCTTGAATCTCCGCGTCCGCCCTTTGCCGTAGCCTCGGGTCCAACACCTCCACCCCGTTGTTCCTTTTCTGCCTGACCCAATCCACAATATGGACCCCGTCCGGTATTGTCGGGTCGATCGGTTGCTTGCCCGTCAAGACTTCGAGCACCACCACTCCATAGCTATAAACGTCGCTCTTTTCCGTGATCTTCATCTTATATCCATACTCTAAAAAAAAGTTGCAATTCTTAATTAGATCATGTTAAATCCATATATTCAATGCTACATCTGGTCAAATATATTAGGGGCAGTATTATATCATAGATTTACACATAATTATATAACTCATTGGTTGTAGCATAAAAATAAATTGTGATAATTATATAACTAACCGGGAGCGATGTAGCCATAGGAACCGGCGATCGTATTGGACGATCGGGCAAACTCTCCATCATCCACGAGCTTAGCAATTCCGAAATCGGCAATATACGGCTCGAAATCGAGCCCGATCAAGATATTATTAGCCTTAATATCCCTATGAACAATTGGAGGCACACAATCATGGTGCAAATAGGACAACCCTTGAGCCGCACCTAGAATAACCCTATACCTCACATCCCACTCCATGAAACTCCCACTCTTCTCATGGAGCACACTTCCCAAGCTCCCGTTCGGCATGTAATCGTACATGAGCAACCTCGTACTCCGATTCCAACAACAACCCAGAAACTTCACGATGTTCTTGTGCCGGATCGATCCAAGCGTTTTCACCTCCGTCGAAAACGAGTCGCGGACCCCACCACCGCCACCGCCACGGGTCGCTTGGTTGGCGGCGGCAGCGGCTTCCGGCCACAGCTTCTTCACAGCGATGACTTCGCCGGTGTCGAGCTCCGCCCGGTATACGACGCCGGAGCACCCCTTGCCGACGGCGTTGTCCTCCACGAGACAACTCAACACTTGCTCGACCGAAAAGTTGAGCTTCTGAAACGGAGTGAATTTCCAAGAAAACGAATCTAGGCCACCTCCCGATTCGGAATCTGTGTCCTCTTTATTCATTCTTCTAATTCTCATAATTGCAACCAACGCGAGAATTCCCAAAGCCGCGGTCACGAAAGACAGCAAACAAATAGCCAATTTTAGCCTCCAAGATCGACCGACATTTTTTCGGCCCGTAAAATAACCACCTTCCGCATTGCTCAAGAAACACGAATCGTGTCCTTTAGCGCACAAACCTCGGTTTCCGGCCAGTTCAGTGTCGGATAACTGCCGGAAGAGCTTGTTATCGGGGAGATAGCCCGTGAAATTGTTGTAAGAAACATTCAAAGAAACGAGATTTACGAGCCCCGAAAGTGACATCAGTTCCCCCTCGAGCTTGTTATGCGAAAGGTCCAAAACAGAGAGCTTGGTTAGAGCAACAACCTCAGATGGAATCTCCCCTGTTAGCGAATTCCAGCTCAAGTTTAGAGCAATTTCGAGAGCCTCGATTTCGAAGATCTCCACAGGAATCCCGCCAAAGAGCATATTCCGGCTCAAGTCAAGCAACTGAAGCCTCGAGCAGCGGCCGAGGGTCGCCGGAATTTCGCCGGAGAACGAATTGCCGCTAAGCGAAAGGGTGCTAATTGAAAAGAGTTCGCCGAAGCTACTCGGAATGGAGCCAGTAAACTGATTCGAAGAAAGATCCAACACCTCGAGTTTGCTAAGATAAGATACCGAACTAGGCAGATTTCCGGTAAGCGAATTCCCGGCGAGATTCAGCATCTGTAATTCTCCACAACGGCCGATTTCGTCGGGAAGGGTTCCGCTAAGATGGTTCATCGACAGATCAAGAAAACTCAGATTCGTAAGGGAGCCGATTTCTTTAGGTATTTGGCCACTGATTTTGTTCCCTGCTAATCTTAATCTGAATAAGGATTTGCAGCCACCGATCTCCGGCGGAATCGAACCGGAGATATCGTTGAAAATCAAGAGAAGCTTGGTTAGATTAGTGAGCAGAAATATGGTTGGTGGCAAACTGCCGGTCAATGAGTTTCTTGATAAATCTAAAGCTTGTAAGCTTCTGCAACCGGATAATTCGGCAGGGATGCTTCCTTGTAGTTTGTTATCCCATGCGAAGAAGACTTGGAGGTGAGTCAAAGATCCGAGTTGCGGTGGGATTGAGCCGGAGATTTGGTTGCTGTCGAGTTGTAACTGTATCAAGCTGGTGGCATTGGAGAGAACCGCAGGGATCGAACCGGAGACGTTGTTGCTGCTGAGCATGAGTTCTTGGAGGTTAGTGAGGTTGCCGAATGATTCCGGTATCGTCCCTGTTAACGAGTTCAGTGAAACGTCGAGGATGATTAGGTTTTTGCAGTTTCCGATCTCCGGCGGAATTGAGCCGACGAAGTTGTTCTGCCATAGGAGGAGTTTCTCGAGGTTTGGAAGCTTTCCGAGCTCGCGGGGGAGGGAGCCGGAGAGGCTGCTCTCGTACAGGTACAGACCGACGAGCTCCGAGCAGTTTCCGATCTCCGGCGGAATCTCGCCGGAGAGCATTGTGGTGTAGAGTGACAGAATCTGGAGCTTCTTTAACTTGCCTAACGAAGATGGGATTTGACCGGAAATTTTTGTTTCGGCGAGGCCTAGAACCTGCAAATTTCTGCAGCCGGAGATTTCATCCGGTATCTTGCCTTCGATTTCTTGGTTGCCGCCAGTGCGTAGGATTTCGAGAGATGCGAGGTTTCCGAGCTCGCCGGGGATGAACCCGCTCAGACGATTGTCGAACAGTTCGAGAATTTTCAGGGAGGAGCAACTACCGATCTCCGGCGGAATCTCGCCGGTGAGCTGGTTGGAGTTCAGGGTCAGTTGCTCCAGGTTTTTGAGTTTGCCGATACTCGCCGGAATAACGCCGACGAGAGCGTTGGAGCTGAGGTCGATTGTTTTGAGGGAAACACAGTCTCCGACGTCGGACGGGATTGCTCCGGTGAGATTCGCCTCTGAAAGAACGAGGGTTTCAAGAAACTTAAAAGCCGACAGGTTTGAAGGGAAGGGCAAACCGAGATGCACGGACTGTATGTTTATCTCGGTGACGTAATAATCAGAAGAGCAAGAAATGAAAGCCCATTTACAAGGGTTTGATTCTCGTGGGTCCCAGTTTGAAAACGCAGAAGCCGCCGCCGCCGCCGCCGGCGAAGAAGAAGACCGGAGCCAAGAATACAACACAAGAGCTTCCGCGTTTGGTTGATCAGCTGAAAATATGAGGGATGGATGAGAGAGAAAGAGGAGAGAGAAGATGACCAAAATATGAGGGTAGTGAATAATAATATTGCGGCGGCGGAGGAGGTGGCGGTGGTGGAAGAAAAATGGGGTGGCGTTCAAGAATTGCCTCGGCATTGGCATTAGAGAAGAAATAGTTGTTGGCATCAACAAATTTGCATTGGGAGAAAAAAAACTTGCTTTCTCGAGACTATATGTTTTTGTTTTCTTGAATTTCACTACCTTCCTTCTTCTCTGTAACTAACTAATGTTGTTGTTTCGTACTATGATGTATTATCATCCAACTCTCTCTCTCTCTAGTTGCAGGGAAGAGAGAGAAAGTTTTAGAGGGAAATCAATACTATTAAACAATTACAAATATACTACTTGTACACGTCATTCTTACCAAATTCTATTTTTGGGTTGTGTGACTTAGAGATAAAATTATTTTTTATTTTTTCGGTTTGAATTTTGAAATATTATTATAATTTAGATTATTTTTAGAATTTTTAGTTTATTTTTTTAAGTAGTGAAAAATAAATTCCGATTTCGTTTCCTAAAAATGGATTCAATTTTATTTTGGTTTTTATGAACGAATTTTGATTAAACTGAAAATGGATTGTCACGTTTGTTCGAATACAGTTGCTCTGGAGCCGAACTTTGTATCTTATCGAACAAAAATATGTATTTCTGTTTGATTTGTTATGCTAAAACAAAATATTGATTTGGTGTTATTGGATTATTTAGAAAAATGATTTAATTGTCAAAATATATGTTAGAGTGAATGGTATGTGACAAATAAATGATGTGGGAAATACTAAATAAATAGAGGGGGCGACTTCCCCCAACTCCACCAATTTCCTCCTCGGGATTCTGTGTTCCGTGGTTTCTGCATTCTGTGTTTTTTTTTTTCTAATTAATAAATTGATTAATTGGTAATTAATGATTTAGCAGAAAACAGCATGTGTTAGTGCATTGTTTTCCTCAAAATTAACCAGTAAAGTGAATGCCTTTGTTTCGGTAATTGGGCCAACTACTACTATGGCGGATGGCCTGTATTATTCCACTATTAAATAAATATAAATTTAAAATGGGATTCTTTTTGCTATATAGTTCTTAGGATTCTTGCATTTTTTTTAGGGGAAACTACAGAAAAATCCCTAAACCAAAACTTGAAACACAGATCAGTCCCTAGGTAGTTTTCCCTAGCATTTCAGTCCATACTCACGCGCCTAACATGCAGATCAGTCCCTAATAAAATGTGCAAATACGAAAATACCCTTTACTTTATACTAATTTTACATAACTTCTTTTCAACTTCCCACGCGCCGTTTGTATTACACGCTCTTTGCCCGTTACATTTCAAAAATCAAACAACAAAAAAGAAGCTAAAAAGGCGCAGAAAAAACCACCGTTCAGTAATACCCATTTTCAGACCAAGAAGAAACGAAGAAGAAACGAAGAAGAAACGAAGAAGAAACGCAACAGAGAAACAACAAAGAAGGAAGAAATTACGAAACACGAAGAATCAACAAACCGCAGAAAAATAGTATAAACAAACCCATTTATAAACAATGGTGAAGCAGGGTAAACAACAAGGTTTGATTTTTTATTTTTTTTTCATTTTCTTGGAAACAGACCCATTTGGGTGTTGCTTAAGCAGGGCAAAAAGGTTTATTTGTTATAGAATTGCATGATTTTGAACATATCCACTCATGGGTATTATGCCTCGACTTTATTCGGTGTTTGCCCTAATCATTAAATCGGTTCCAATATTTGTTGTTCTGTTGTTTGGGTTTGCAAAGATCATTTATTTGTTGTCGAATTTCATGATTTTGTAACAGTTTTCTCATGGGTATTATTCTTCGGTGACATTAGCATGTCCCCAAAGCATTTTGAGTCCTAACAAGGGTTTCATATAGGATATGGGAAAGAGGCTTATTGTATTTTTCGTACTGGTTCTATAGTATGTGTCATGCGCAGTAATGGTATTAATAGTGCATTTAGATGGTATAATCTTTGATGGTTCTGTAGCATGTGTCATATGCCACAATAGTATTACCAGTGACTTTGAATGGTATTACTAGTGACTTCGGATGGTATTGACATGTGGTACTAGAAGTATAATGTTGATGGTCATGTAGTATAAGTCATATGCCATAATAGTATTACTAGTGCCTTTGAATGGTATTACTTGTGACTTCGGATGGTATTGACTTGTGGTACTAGAAGTATAATGTTTGATGGTCCTGTAGTATAAGTCATATGCCATAATAGTATTACCAGTGCCTTTGAATGGTATTACTAGTGATTTCGGATGGTATTGACATGTGGAACTTTATAGTACGTTGTATTTGTTATAATTGTATTTGTTTTATGTGTATGTAATTGCAGGAATTGTTGTAAAAGAAGATTGCAGCAAGCTATCAATAGGCTGCAGGTGCTCACCGATCGCTTTTCACCTAACTATGGAAGGTGTGAAAAAAGTGATGAAGAAACAACATCATGAAGTACTGAAGAAAAATCCCTTCTATCACTACATGGACATGCCTAAAATAAACCACAGCTTCCATAGGGTTGTGTCTCTCATGCAAGCGTACAATCCAGAAGATCGGGCCTTCTGGTTTGGGGGAAATACTATACGCTTGGAATTCACTCCGCAGCAATTATCTATCGTATTAGGGCTGCAGTACGAAGGCGTACCGGTGGATGTGAATATGGATGGTAGAGACACTGATTTCATCACACGTATTTTTGATGGTAAGTTATCTTTAGTGACGAGGCCATATATTGGTTATAAACTGGAGGCATATGCAGTTATGACCGATCAACAATCTGTTGAAGATTTCAGCAGATTGTACACTATTTATCTGTTAAATACTATTCTACTGCCAAAGGGGAACAAAACGTTAGAAAGGTGGGTTTATCCGCATGTAGAAGATTTGGAGGTTTTAGGGTCTTTTGCATGGGGAAAGTTGGTGTATGATATTCTTGTTGAGAATATGGAGGGGTATCTGAAGGGGGGGTTGAAGTATTTTGATGGATGCACTATCGGCTTATTGGTAAGTGATATCTAATAGTGAATATATATTATGTTATATTGAATATACCAATTAATATTGATTCCAAAATACGCAGGCATGGGTGCATGAAAGGATCACGTCACTAGGGGTTAGCACCAGTGTTTACAAATTTCCCCGGTTCTTCCGGTGGCAAGACAGCAAAATCCCAATCGATGAAGAAGCAGCTAGGTTGCTTTTTGATCAGATAAAACAAGTGCAGGTAACACTTTGAGTTACAAAATATATAATGTATTAGGTATTTGCTAACAAATTTTTTACGTTTATTAGGTTATACCATTTTCTGTGTACCCGAAAGAGAAAGCGTTGCTTTCTCCGGTTTTGGAAGTAATTTCTGGTCCAGTTGTTGGAATTAGTGCTGACAGATTTGTGGAAATAAGTTCTGAGAGTAGTGAAGATGAGATTGGAGACGTGGAAGCAACATCTGTAAGTCATTAATACAATAAACCCTAAAATTCATACTTCCATTCCCATTGGAACATACTATATGTCAACTAATATAATACTATGGTATAACATGTTTCGTACTATTGTTTTTTTTAGTTGCAGCAGATGAAGAATAACTTAAAAAGGAAGAGGGGGAATGTAACAGAAGAAAAAAATAAAGAAAAAAAAATGCAGAGTAAGAGAAAGAAAGAAAAGGAGAAAGAGCAGGAGAAAGAGAAGGAGAAAGAGAAAGAGACAGAGACAGAAAAAGAGAGAGAGACGGAGACAGAGAAAGAGATAGAGATAGAGATAGAGATAGAGGAAAGGGAAAAGGAAGGAGAAAATGAAGGAGGAAAGGGGATGGAAGGTGAAGGAGAACGAAGTGAAGAAATAGAGAGAAATCAAGGAGACGAAAGTGAAGAAAGAGAGAGAAATCAAGGAGACGAAAGTCAAAGTCAAAGGCCAAAGTCAAAGGCCAAAGTTCCACGCGTGCGAGGACGAGGACGAGGACGTGGTCGTAAACAAGTTCCTGTGTCCAAGGTTTCGGTTTCAGTCCCTGGGATCAAGGTATTTATGATTATATTAGTATTACATTATTATTATTTTTTGTCATAATTGGTGTGATTTATTCGTTGTATAGACTGCCGATTATTACCGGGGAAGAAAGGACTACGTACGTCGTGACCAAATATCCGAAGAAGATAGGATATTGTTGGATCTGTTCTTGGAAAGTGTTGATTTAGGGTAAGAGCACAACCACCTTGATAGTACATGTTAATGTCTTTAATGGTATATGTCAAGTGAATACATAGTACATGTTGACTGCATGTTATAGTATGTAGTAACTTTGTACATAGTATACGTTTACTTATCCAATAGTACATGTTGACTGCATGTTATAGTATGTAGTAACTTTGTACATAGTATAAGTTTACTTATCCAATAGTACATGTTTACTGCATGTTATAGTATGTAGTAACTTTGTACATAGTACAAGTTTACTTATCCAATAGTACGTGGTTATGTCTTACTGTAGTGAAATTATTGTGGAGAGAGGCCCACATCAGTTGACGGGAAGGCATATGTGCGAACTTTTATTTGATGAAATGCTGAGTGCAGAACACATAGATTTGTACTTGAATCTATTATGTTCCGAATCTATCATGACCCAGCATGGACATGAGATTGATTACCTTGACTCCCCTGCCCAGGTATATAGTGGTTTAACAAATAATTTTGCATACATTACAATGTTATCTAATATTCTCTATTATGTTTCGTAGCAAGAGTTAATGTCGCGACCTCGGATGGACGTAGAACGAATGAGCGATGCCAAGTTTGATCGTCTTCTCAATGATTTTACTATTTTTGGAACGATGGCTTTTGACAAGCTAAACACAGCAAATATCTTCAGTAAAACATTTGTCATGATACCTATCAATTCCAGTGAACACTGGTTCCTGCTTGTTCTGAACCCAATAGATAAATGTATTTACCATTGGAACTCCATAGACTATTCTCCGAATTTCCCAGGAATTGCGGATTATGTCGTAAGCCCATATTCTTGTAATTAGTTATTCTTTATTCTTGCGAATTGTTGTAGACTAATATAATATTTTATTTTCGTAGGCCTCGTTTTACAGCAAGGTGGTTGAAAGAAGGTCTGGGTTGCAGATACAATCGGAAGCTAAATGGGTTCATGGATGCAGGCAGCAGGATGGGAACCTTGATTGCGGCTTGTTTGTCTGCATGTGGGCATATTGTCATGCTGTAAACAGTGAAGAAATTTGGTTTAAGGCAAAAACTTGCGATATCAAAATACTTCGCCCAAAACTAGCAGCTATCTTTCTGAGGCATCGGGGAGTAGAAGTGGAAGCTAAATATGAAATAGATCTGGCGTTATTGTGAAAAAACTGGGAGTGGAAGTGTTTTGGGGTTCTTGTGTTTTTTGTAATTAATTAATGAACAGGTGAATGTGTTTTTATGCCATAAACAATCTGTCCTTTTGTTGTAGAGCTAATAATACTATTGATTAGCTCTACTCGTACTTTTTCATTGTATACATTGTACTATATGTTTCGATGAAATGTACTTGCCTTTTGAACACATGGTACTTTATTTTGCGATTACATGTGTATTCACGAAAAACTTACCATAATCGATGTTGATCGACTCCCACATTGTCTCCATTTATGTTTTAGATGATTATTTTAAGGTAGGTGAGCATTATTGTTGCGTTTGGAATACAAGATCCCATAAATATGTTGAATTTCATACATGATACTCATATACTATACAATATATTCATACAAGTCTACAATGCTCAAGTGTAAAACTAATACTTTCCTCAATTCTTACCATAGTCGATGTTGATCTACTCCCACATTGTCTCCATTCATTCTTAATAGTCTAAAACTGAAGAGTTGTGTCTTAAAATGCGATCATATGGATGCATTGGCCCGACAATAATATATAGACTGTAAAAATACTATATGAATGGCAAACATATACTTTATCAGTGAACAAATCGTACTATCGTGACGACTCACTTGTACTTTACCAGCTAATACATTATACTTAATTGGTTAACAAAGCGTACTATATTTTTTGATGAATTGAATTGTACCAATTTCATCGACGTTTTAATGATCAATAAGTACGGGAGATGCATAAATTATGTTTTAAATGATTATTTTAAGGTAGGTGAGCATTATTGTTGCGTTTGGAATACAAGATCCCATAAATATGTTGAATTTCATACATGATACTCATATACTATACAATATATTCATACAAGTCTACAATGCTCAAGTGTAAAACTAATAATTTCCTCAATTCTTACCATAGTCGATGTTGATCTACTCCCACATTGTCTCCATTCATTCTTAATAGTCTAAAACTGAAGAGTTGTGTCTTAAAATGCGATCATATGGATGCATTGGCCCGACAATAATATATAGACTGTAAAAATACTATATGAATGGCAAACATATACTTTATCAGTGAACAAATCGTACTATCGTGACGACTCACTTGTACTTTACCAGCTAATACATTATACTTAATTGGTTAACAAAGCGTACTATATTTTTTGATGAATTGAATTGTACCAATTTCATCGACGTTTTAATGATCAATAAGTACGGGAGATGCATAAATTATGTTTTAAATGATTATTTTAAGGTAGGTGAGCATTATTGTTGCGTTTGGAATACAAGATCCCATAAATATGTTGAATTTCATACATGATACTCATATACTATACAATATATTCATACAAGTCTACAATGCTCAAGTGTAAAACTAATACTTTCCTCAATTCTTACCATAGTCGATGTTGATCTACTCCCACATTGTCTCCATTCATTCTTAATAGTCTAAAACTGAAGAGTTGTGTCTTAAAATGCGATCATATGGACGCATTGGCCCGACAATAATATATAGACTGTAAAAATACTATATGAATGGCAAACATATACTTTATCAGTGAACACATGGTACTATACTCACGACTCACTTGTACTTTACCAGCTAATACATTATACTTAATTGGTTAACAAAGCGTACTATAAATGCTGAAGAACCCGAACTTTACCAGCTTATACATTGTACTCTTATGTTCACTAATTTAACAACAGTACATAGGTTTTACATAGCATGTAGACTGCAAATATTACTAGATTCAACACTATCAAACTATGAACTACTCCACCTTCAGAATTGCAATTCTTCACTTCACTTTCTTGATGGACTTGGTTCATCGACGCACTTGTAGCTTCATTTTCTTCACGATTTGAGTTGGAAAAAGTTTGCCCAACTTCAAATGGTTCACACCAATGGGAGTAGCCATGGTGTGGGCAACAGTAAAATAACCTTCCGGGATTCGAAATAGTTTCTGAAACCATGATTATTGTTTTCTTCCCACAATCAAGACGCTTGCATTTCCCTTTTTTGTATTTTAACCCACTCATTTCCCTTTGAGTGGTGCTACTAGAAGAAGCCATGAATTAGAAACAAATGAGCCTATGTGTCATTTATGGTCATATTATGACTTGACTAGTTCTGACAATAAGCAACGGCTATATTATAATCAACGGCTATATTGTAACGGTCATAAATTGAGTAAGTCATACCATCCTATCTCATAGATAATACCATGCGTAAATCAAATCAGTACCTTTATACTGAAAATGATAAACCATCAAGCAGCAACAAGCATACCATCATATCGCATATCTAATACCATGTGTAAATAAAAATAGTACTATTAGACTGAAAATGATAAACCATCAACCAACAATAGGCATACCATCCTATCTCATATCCAATACCATGTGTAAATAAAAATAGTACCATTAGACTGAAAATGATAAACCATCAATGAACAGAGTACCTAATACATAGTACAAACTACAAATAGCAAAAACATAGTGCAAATTGAAACATAGTACAAAGTTCAAAACAACATAGTGCAAATCACATAATAATAAAGTACAAACAGCCAGTTTTCATTCACTTCAATCACTTGAATAACATAATGGGCAATCATGTAAGCTCTCCTCCATCTTGTCCTCCCTGATGAAAAACATAAAATTTACATTAGAAACAAGACTAGTTAGTTTAAGTAACACAAATGCAGACAATATTTACATTAAAAAAAATTGCTAGTCAGATTGGTTGTGTGCAAGTACGACGATTGTGTCCAGGCTTCCCACACCGAGTACACTTCAGTTTACGAGTTTGCACTTGTGAAGGAATTCTTTTTGTCTTTCTACGTCCCGGTCGAGTTCTCGAATCAGGTGCATTAACAAAGACATCGGGCGGAGCATTACACGCATCGTACAAGTCAAAGTCCTCATCAAACGAGGGAATTGGGTTAATCGTGAATTGATATACCTGTTTGTACGTATCAATATGAAAGCATGGATCAACAAACTCATATACTGAGTATCCTTTTGACTCCAAACATGCACATGCATGTTTGCATGGAAGTTTCTCTAATTGCCATGCTTTACAAGAACAAGTCTTGTGCTGCAAGTCAACCTTATACGACTTGTCCTCTTCATATACCTCAAAAGCGGTACTACTTGATCTACAATATTTTAAGGAACGAGAGGCCATATGATTGATTGTTAATCTCTTTAGAATTTTCTTGCACAATATGCCAGTCATTGCCAAACTTTTTCCTTGTCGTTTAACTAGCATCTCCATTACTTTGATCCGTATGTGATCAATCATGGATGGAACAGGCAAAGATCGGGCATCTTTAACCCAACCATTCCAATTTTCTGCCTGATTATTGTTCACGATTCCCCATCTTTCTCCAGAAAAATAGGCATTCGCCCAATGATTTGGATCAGAATTCGAAATAAATGATGCCGCGAGAGGCATAGATTGCACTATACGAGAAATAGTTGCATCGAACTCCTGCCGAGTAGGAGCATATGCAGCATTATGTAAAACACTCGCCCAATATGACTTGTTGTGCAATGGGTACTTCCTCAGGACCTATATTATTTTGAAACATGTTATACAAATGTATGAAACATGCTATACAAATGTATGAAACATGCTATACAAATGTATGAAATGTGTTATACAAAAGTATGACACATGTTACACAAATGTATGAAACATGTTATACAAAAGTATGAAACATGTTATACAAAAGTATGACATGAGGTGACAAAATACCTGAGTTCTAAAGTTATCCACCAAGTGTCGCAAACAATATGCATGGTGGCTACTAGGAAATACCAACGGGACGGCTTTAAGAAGCCCCGAATGACGATCAGAGAAAATGGTAAAAGATCTATTGTCATTGTGAAGATCTAGAATTTGTTTCAGTTTAATGCAAAACCACTCCCAGTTTTTATCATTCTCAGCATCAACAACTGCGTATGCCAATGTATATAAGGAATCATTTGGATCCTTGCACACAGCAGAAAGCAAGCATCCTTTGTACTTATTTTTAATGTGAGTCCCATCCAAACATATCATCGGCCTACACCGATAAAAGCCGGAAATAGAACTCCCAAAACTAATAAATATTCGAATAAACTTTTGAGTAGCAGGTTCAATCTCATACTCTGCCATGCTACCAGGGTTATGCATTTTTAATGCACGACAATAGCGTCTCAGTTTATCATAACATGTCGTCTCATCACCATGGATATCACGCATTGCTTTTTCTTTACCCCTCCATGTTGTGTAGTACTGAAGCTCCAGACCATAATCGTCTCGGATATCTTCTAACATACCACATGGTGTGTAAGCTGGCTGCGTTCTCAATTTTCGTTTCATAATTTGGGCAATCCATGTAGCATCGGCTTTAGGATGACCCCTTGTACGAAGAGTAGCATCACCACAAGTGTGCTCGAGATTGCACTTGCGAATGCTAAATAACTTATCTGACTTGTACAATGATGCATAAACCCTCCATTTGCAGTTTTCGTGAATGCATACTGCTATGATCTTTTGTTGATCATTTTTCATGTACTTAAATGATCGATTATTAGCAATAGAATAGTTTTTCAGCATATGCCTAAAATCATCAGGATCTTTAAAAAACTGATTCTCCCCACGGATGCAATGTCTCCATGCATCAATTGAATTTCCAAGCGGATTACCCTCGATTTCCATCGATTGATCGCCGCTTTTGGTTTCAAAAAAATTTTAAAAATGGATTACAATAGAGTGGAATCCAAATAACAATGTACATGAAAATATCATAACAATGCACTGGTTCCATACTATCTTATCCATTATATAATACTAAGTTTTCCCACAAATAGTACCAAGTTTACCTATCACCCATACTATTCAGATGAAGGTTACGTACTATCTTCCCCATTATATGATACTATGTTTTCCCATTAACAGTACCAAATTTACCTATCACCCATACTATTCAGATGAAGGTAACGTACTATCTTCCTCATTATATGATACTATGTTTTCCCACCAGCAGTACCAAATTTACCTATCACCCATACTACTCAGATCAAGGTTACGTACTGTAAGTATCATACGTCCATACCATATTTATATTAGCATGATACTATTATGTGCCATATTTTATACTATGTATCACACAATAATTAACAACCATAAAGAAATGCATTTCAGCAGTACAGAAAAAGATGGAGACCTACCAGCCATCGGTGCGAACCCTCTTTCCACGCGAATTAGCTTCATCTTTGCAGGTCACGACAATGTCGACCACACTCATCTTCATTATCAGATGCAATGCAACCATATTCTCCACATCTTCATCAGTGCCCAATGTCACATACAATCTTTCCCGAGGAGCCAAGTATTGGAGGATCAGTGCATCTGGATGGATATGATTCCATTTGTTGATAATAGCACCATATATCTCCATTAATGTCGAATTACTTTTTATGGAAATAATGTGAAGTTGATTTTTGTATCGACAACTTCCAAGAATCACACTGGGTACATCGTTAGATACATCATTTGTAGCCATTGTGGGGTGGGTGGGTTTTACAGTGATTTTTTCGCCGGAAAAAAGGGGAAACCAGAGGAGAGAAATGGAGAAGAAATAGAGAAGAAATAAAGCAGATAGAAATGAAGAGAGAGAAGAAAGAAAGAGAAGATGAAGAGAGAGAAAAGCAGGAGAGAGAAAAGGGTGAGAGTGAGAAGAAAATATAATAAAATATATAAAATTCACATTAGGGACTGATCTGCATGTTAGGCGTGTGAGTAGGGACTGAAATGCTAGGGCAAACTACCTAGGGACTGATCTGTGTTTCAAGTTTTGGATTAGGGATTTATCTGTAGTTTCCCCTTTTTTTTATCTAATGTAAGTTTTTTCTTACTGGTTCTTTAGTAGTAACTTTTTTAAAAGTTGCTATGAATTAGTGTGGAAATAGAAGGAGTTAGAGTGGAATTAGCACTTTTAAAAAGTACGACCTTCAAATAGATTAGATTTTATAATTAGTAAAAATAGCTTAACTATGAGATCAGTATTCAAATATTTTAAAAATTAATTCTAAAAGTAAGACGTAATAGGTTATATCGGCTCTTAAAATAGTTTATCGACTGTTTAAAATAAACGTAGCTAAAAGAAAGTCTATAGAATGAATTACATCTCAAATTCTAAAACTATTGTAACAAATTGTATTGGATCACAATTATAATGAATAAATTCATATCATTCATCTCAAACTTTACTATTTAAGTATACAAGAAACTCATAATTAAATAGTTTTTATGTTTTGTGATAATATTTCCTTCAATGATTAGACTCACCACAAGAATGCAAAATTGCAGAAGAGTTTATAAATTAATTTAGGCCACTTGGCAGTCTTATTTTTCCACTTAATATAATAATATAATAATAATAATAATTCTTATTATTATTTTGTCTTATTTATGACTGAGTTTGTTGGTATTAAATGATGGATATGTATGACTTTTTTTTTTTAATTTAATTTTTGGCAAAAGAAAAAAGCTAATATAATGCAGCTCAACATTTCCCAGAATTTAAGGGCGAGCCCACGTGGAATAGCTAAATTCCACTTTCAGTCCACCAACACCACTTTCACAAGGAGAGACCATTTTCTTGTCCTAGTATTTATTTTATTCATTTATTTAACAACCATAATATTATTTATTTATTTATAAAACAAAATAAATGTTATTTTACCCTATTATTTATATTGACCTTTCAATTTCATAGTGCAGCTTGAGGCTCATCTTTTTGTAAAGAAATTATTTAGTATTTTTTTTTATTGTAATGTAAAATATGGGCTCCATAATTCCCTCATATCCGCATTTAAGTAGCCCACACGGGTGACGATCTATTTTATTTGTTTTCAAACTTGTATTTAATTATTATTCCAAAAGATGTTTCTTTTTGCTGCAGTATGCCCAAAATATTATTAAATTAAATTAATATAACTAGAATAAATGGAGTAATTAATTAATACATATAAAACCATCTATAAACTAAACAGTCGGAACTAACAAAATTCTATTAATTTAGCGAAATATTAAATCATCGGAACTAATAATTTAATACATTTTTATCGAGTTGAACCGGAATAAAATATCATTTAAACAAAGTTATTAATTTATTGAAATTATACCGTATATCTATTAATATATGCATATATTTGGGCTCAGAATTGGGCCTCCTAATAAAGAAATTAAATTGATACAATTGGTAACCCGAATTAAATCAAAGCCCAAATTACGACCCATTGCCAATCGGGTTAATTTTGACCCATTTCAAGTCGGGTTAGACAACCCGGGTTTCTGGAGGTGTATGCGCCTCTCATCCTTGAGTACTCACCATCGACCCTAATGGAGATTATGTAAATTATTTGGAAATAATATTCAGCAAACGCGAAAAAGGTAGAGAGATACACAATATATACATATATATACATACATACACGATTGTGTATATATATATATATATATATATATATGGCTTCTACTGGTAATATATGTCAGAACGCCCTTTCTCCATTACTGTACTCTTCTAAGAACCAGACTTTTGCTCTGAACACATCTCAATTTCTTTCCTCCAATTCCATTTTCAAATTAAAAAAGTACTCACCCATTCAAATTAAGCGGCTCAACAATCCGAATTTGCATGCTCCGCCCATTGTTTATGCCGCGCAGGGCAATTTCCTGAAAGGTATTTTCTTTTGGAGATGGTGTTTGATAATTTTTTTGAGAATTCTTTGCGCATTTGAATGTCAATTTTTGATTTGGGTATAGTTAAAATATCTCATTTTTTAATGTCAATTTTTGATTGGTGGATACTTTTCTATATGAATATCTATTTGTGTTTAACTGAGTGTAATGTGTAATCTACCGTTAAACCTCTATAAATTAATTTAGCGAAATATTAAATTATCGAACTAATAATTTAGTAGGTTATTACCGAACCGGGACAAAAAATCTATTATTTAAGTGAGGTTATTAATTTATCGAGGTTCTACACTTCTACTGTAGTTGGAGGGTAGTTGGAGGGCTCATGGATTTTGATTTATGTGACTTTTCTTAAGTGTCGTAGAAGATAGCCTTATCGATGTACAATCAGTGGCAAAGCCAACATAGGGCTTAAAGGGGGCCATGGCCCCCTCTCTACTTCTCAAAATTAGGTATTTATTTTCGAGTAGTGTAACATTGTCGACCCCTAGATTTCTTTTGGCTCCCCCAGACGCAAATACAAAATCCTGGCTCCGCCGCTTAGTACAATTCTTTCATAGCTAAAAATAATAGCTTTATTCTTGAATTCCATGAGGTATTTATATTTTTATGTTTGAATGTTTCGTTCGATAGTTGCGCAAACAGTGTGGAAGGTTGGCAAGGATGGAGTCGAAGCAGGAACTAACTTGGTGCCGGTGAGTACTTGTATTTAATCACCTCTCGTATTTAAATCTCGCCGCATTATGTAATTAACGATAATTTGTTCCTTTATAAAGGAAACTATTCCAAGACCTATAGCAAGGATTTCCGTAACTATAGTCGCTGTGTCGGTGGCACTCTTTGCACTTAAGTCGTTTCTTTCCACGGTGTTCTTCGCTCTGGTATCCATTTTTCTTCGTTTTCATCGCCGTTAAATGCTGTATTTCATTATGGTCGTTTTATATTTGTTTAAACCGTATGACGTGATTTGTGGTTGATTATTAACAGGCGGTGATGGGGCTGAGTTATTTCACATTCATAGCATTGAATAAGGATGAAGGTCCGAAAGTAGGTGGAGGAACCACCACTTCTGTTGAAGATAGCCTTGAAGAAGCTAGAAAAATTATGGACAAGTACAAATAACTGTGTGTGTGTGTGTGTGTGTGTGTTAGATTGGGGATTTACAGCACCATTCAATCAATTTGTTTGTGCATTCTTCTGTGTACTATATGTAGGGAGATTTAATTTTCTCATCAAACAATAAAAATATATCATATTTAAGATTTGCTCCTTGTGATTTTTTATTTTATTTTTACATCGAATAATCAATTAGGGCAAATTACGGCCAAATTACAGCAACTCTCCTGCTGTTTGGGTAATTACAACCGTCCCTTATCTATGTACTGGTTTATGCGTTTATTTTTACCGTATCAAATATACCTATTAAATGAGGGATTTTACGAATATACCTATTAAATGAGGGATTTTTCCGTAAAAGAATACATAATTGAGGAGTAATTATAATTATTCAAATATAAAAGATTTCTTCGTAATTAGACCTTACGTCAAGGGACGAGCAGTAATTTGTCCTAAACAACTATTACGAAACAATTCAAATTCTTAATTCATATTATTTATTTAATTAAAAAGACACGTTTCCCCTTTCCATCTTCCGCCACTACCGCCACCACCACCGCCACCGCCAACTATTGCCGCCATCACCGTCGTCTCACATTCTTCTCTATTTTTCCTTCTTCAGTTTCCTTCTATTCTTTCGCCCTTCCTATCACCTCTTCTTCCTATCATACAGCGTCGCTGCCACCACCTCCGCCTTTAGCCACCGCAGCGGCGCACCACCTCCCGTTCTTCTCATTCTCTCTTCATGTTCTCCGATCTCATTTCCATTTCACTCACCGGCATCTAGGGCTTTTTTCGGGAATAATAGTAACGAAGAAGGGTATATTAACTGTGACATGAAGGCTAATTTGGTCTTTTCACTCGATCCATAATCGATTTACTCACATCAAATTACAATATTGGGCCGATCGTCAAGCCCAACCAAACAAGCCCCTAATCTGCCCCCGTCGTGTCGAGGTATACCTCCGATCAGTAGTCATTTCGGAGTTGAAGATAGCTACAAATTACCGTACTCTACAAGGTTTGCGTTGATCATCTTCTTACCGTGTACAAATCTGACCTATCTACTCGATTTGCTTTTTTTTTTTTTTTTTCAGATTCTAAATTTTCCTCGATATCTCAGTTTGCAGGTCAAAATTCGATAGTATGGCATCGGTTTCAGTTCATCAGTTTGCTCAGTGCATCACTTCCCATGCTTGGAGCCCAGATCACTCGAGTAAACCCTCTTCCGCAAATTTTCCTTAAATTTTTTTTTGGGTGGATCATTGAATTGGTTTTAATTTGGTTATTTTTCAAATGGTAGTGATAGCATTTTGTCCGAATAACAACGAAGTACATATCTATAAATTGATGGAAGGCAAGTGGGAGAAGATCCATGTTCTTCATAAGGTAAACTGGAACCAATTTTTTTGGTTGTATTTTGTAGTGTTCTGCGAGCTTCTCAATTGCTGGCTTCGATTTATGATCAAATAATTGGGAATTATAGTGTTTGTTTAATTGTTTATGGGCCTTTTTTTTATTACAAAAAAAAAAAAATGTGATGATCTAGGTATGTTAAGTTAATCTCCAAGTGCGCAAATACGAAATTGTGTACTCGTGTTAGAGAATGGAGAGGCTCTGACTATGGTTCTATTCCTGTCAGCTTTTTTTTTTCTTACTGTTTTGTTTTGGCCACAGCATGATCAAATTGTTTCCGGAATAGATTGGAGCACAAGTTCAAACAGAATAGTTACTGTTTCTCATGATCGGAATTCGTAAGTGACCTTAGCTTCAAGCACTACAAATATTCTTCTTCTTTTATTCTAAAATTTTGCAAGTGTTCTTGCCCGAAATTTCATGCAATTACCAATTTTTTGTTCTTTCAAGCTTTAGATTGACATATTTAATTCAACTTTGTTTTAGATATGTTTGGTCACAGGAAGCGACGGAGTGGGTGCCAACTCTTGTTATCCTCAGACTAAATCGTGCAGCACTTTGTGTACAATGGAGTCCAAAAGGTATGGAAGTTAACTATGAGGCCCTTTCGTCCCCTTGTCGTGACATTTACAAACACTCCCAACTTCTAGAATAAGCAATTATTCTTAACTTTACTCTGTCACCAACTTGTACCTATTTAAAAGCTTTTGCAAAGACCACCGAAAGATTGATGTATTTTTGCATGGTATAGTAATTGTATTAGATGTATGCCTTTGAGAGTTCTTATTTAAATGATCCTATGAAATACAGGTTATTCTCACAGGTTTGTTGGGAGAATATTTTTTAAATGACCCTATGACTCACGAAACATGCTTTGGTATTGAAATTACAAGATCTCATTTGGGATTTCTTGCATCCTAAAATTATCAAGTGGTGAATCTGATCCAATCTTCTACCTATTTCATTGTATTTCTTTCAGAAAACAAGTTTGCTGTTGGAAGTGGGGCTAAAACTGTTTGCATATGCTACTATGAGCAAGAGAACAATTGGTAAGTTTTCCTAGGCCTATGTCTTATTTCTCCCACCTTTTAGGTGATGTGTCATATCAATATGTCTTATTTCTCCCACCTTTTACGTGATGTCTTATACCAATTGTTTTTTTTTTTTAATATTTTCTTGCTTGAGTTAATCCTGCTTACTATCTTGTTTGATTATCATGAGTAATGTTTAACTTGTATCAAAATAAGGTATACACGATGATTCTTTTCAGCCGCATCACTACCAGTTAGATGGTGAATTTTCTTGAACTCATGATTGACCTTCTAAGAGAGATGCCTACATGTCCTTTGTGATATTTATCATCTTTAAAAATCAGGGTCCATATACATATCTTTTGCAATGTGGGATTGCATTATCTTTGTGGAAGTCTTCATTGACATAACTGTTTCTTTCATTCTCAATACATGTCTGTTACACTTTGCACAGGTGGGTAAGTAAACTTATAAGGAAGCGGCATGATTCTTCCGTGACGAGTGTTGCCTGGCATCCTAACAACGTGAGTGTTTCTCATTTTTTTATACGCATTTATGCCTAAGTTCCGGTGCTCAATTACCTTCAGATCCATGCATGTGCTCCCTATTGCTTTCATATCGCTTCCAAATAAAAACTTTGATATGTCATACCAGTCATCTTTATTTAAGAGGAACAAGAAAATTGGAATTTAACTTGGAATAAAAATGAGTTTTCAATGAAAGCAAACTTTTGATTAGAAGAATGAGAAAACCTGTATGGAAGATGTAAAAAAATATGTTTCTATATATTTAGCCATTGTTCTCAAAGCAATTATATAGATAAACAAGTATTGGGATTCAGGATATGATATCTAATTAAATTACTAAAGTTTCGTTTTCATCGAGCCACACTTTAGTAATTCCATTTTGTCTTCAGATATTACTTGCAACCACATCAACAGATGGAAAGTGCCGAGTGTTCTCTACTTTCATCAAAGGTGTAGACACCAAGTATGTTTCACTAAAGATACAGAACCTTCTCAGTCCTTCGCGCTCTCCTCATTTTCTAACCGTCTACATGTTTTCTGTGATAATGTTACAGGAACCCTGCAGGTTCTTCTACCGATTCAAAGTTTGGAGAGGTTTGAATCTGTTCTTTTTGGTAAAATAAAAATTCCTGGTTACTGATTATTGGAGAAGTCTTATTATTGATTGCTAAGGGAGTTATTAAGTTCACTACATATACGAAAAATCTGAAAATAATTTGCACTAGGCATATCAAAGGTTATAAATCACGTTTTTCATTACATAATCAGGGAAAAGCTCAAGTATTCTGCACCTTAAGTGTGAATTTGCTTCAATTTTGAGTATCTATATATAGCACGGAATAAATTTTTGTCTTCCGCAGTATGTGCCATTTCCTTAAACTTATCCATGGGCATAAAACTTGAGAATCTGTATTATATGACTTTTGACCATTTAAATAGTTCCACTCTGCAGTGGCATTTCTTTGTTGGCCTTTTAATATGACTTAGTGTGCCCACATGATTATTGTATTGGTTCACGGCATTTTAAAAATCCAATGTTCTCATAGACCTAGGCTTCTTCAACTAAGAAATAAAGCACAAAAACGATGGTAATACCAATTGAACCACCTAAACGTTCAAGATCTCAACTAGAAAATTGTCGAAGCACATAAAGATCTTAAAAAATTGTAATGAATAAAAGAGTTGTTCAGCATGCATGATCTTTGTACCTTCCTATTTTTCACAAAATATATGCATTCCTTTACAGCACATCATTGTATGCAATGCGGAGTTGATAAACTCTAATATCACTTTGTTCTTTTCCCCCTTGGAGCAGCAAATTATGCAGCTTGATCTCTCATTGAGTTGGACATTTGGTATGAAGTGGTCCCCTAGTGGGAATACCTTAGCCTATGTAGGTCAGATTTTCATCACTTTGCTTTGTTGTCAGAAATTATTCGTGTTAGCACTTCTACATCATTCAGAACTTGAAATATAAATTTTTACACCCTTAATTTTGGTTGATATTGGATTAACTTAAAAACAATTAGTAAAGTTTGAAATAGTAAACCAAGTTCAACACTTCTGTTGTCTTTTCTGATGTTCTGTTAACGGAGATAAAACCACAGGTCATAATTCGATGATCTACTTTGTGGATGATGTTGGACCTTCTCCATCTGCTCAGAGTGTAGCATTCCGAGATTTGCCCCTTCGAGATGTGGGTCAGCATCCATTCTTTCTCTCATCTTCTTTATGGTGACGATATTGATAAAATATTGATAAAAATATCTTGATTGATACGTCTGATTTAGGTTTTGTTCATTTCTGAGAGAATGCTTATTGGTGGCGGATTTGATTGCAACCCCATGGTATTCATCGCAGATGAAAGGGGATTATGGTGAGTTTAGCTTTTTATCTAATATACTAGTCTTGTTTTCTGATTGGCTATTTTATTGCCTTATTTTTGGTCTTGTTTCTTATAGGAGTTTCTTGAGGTTTCTTGACGAAAGAAAACCATCTTCAAGTGCAAAATATAGCTCACAGGTATTTGTATATCTTAGCCTCTTCTGGTCTAATATATTGCTCTGAATATAAAGAGGCTGGAATTACTATCGATGGTATATTTAATCCAACCACTAAAGTCCACTTTATATGTATACCGTCCAACATATTTAATCTGGACAGACATCAACGTTATTTCTTGACTGGTATACTGCTACCTAATTTTTCCATTTCCTTCCATTTTTTTTTCCAGTTGTCAGAAAAATTTGGCAAATTATACAATCAATCAAAGTATAGCACTAATGACACGAATGGAACTCCAAGAACACGTGGTGGTGGTGGCGGTGGTGCTCATGAAAACTGTATCACGTATGACCTTTGCTGCCTTCGTTTTAGTTTTCCATTTTTGCCCTTTACCTTTTCTCTTGCCTTCACAACTTGCAAGGGAACTGAAAAACACGGTACAATAGACCATAACTCTTTATCCTTATTCCTTGCTTCCAAATTGCAGTTCCGTTGTGCCCCTCAAGAAAGCCGGTGGTACTACAATCACCAGCTTCAGCACTTCAGGTTTGAATAACTACAGCTCGAATTTGTTTCTACAAAATTAGACAGATTGTGACTTTTTATATGATCGAATAATAACAGGATTGGATGGCAAAATAGTCATATGGGAATTAGAAAAGCAAGAAGATTTGTTGGAATACTTGTGAGGATGAAGTGTGTTTTGCTAACCACATTCAAAGGGCTTGTCCTCAAATAGCCTGGTGTCCATTGTGTATCATTATTCCTGTACTTTATATAGGTTGATTTACCGAAGCTTTTTGACTAAAATCCTTAATGAATTTTATGCTTGTAGAGCTTGTAATTTCTTGGTGGTATTGGCTTTTTTGTATGATTGTATCCGTCTCTGTAATCGTTGGAGGAAAATAAGTTGATCGGTTACTTGATTTTACCTTTTTAAGTTTGCATATCTTTGTAATATATATATATATATATATATATATATATATATATATATATATATATATATATATATATATATATATATTAGTATATTACAATTACGATGATATTTCCATCAGTATGGGGGCTCCCGGGCCAATAATAGAATGGAATTATTTTCTTGTTACTCCGATATTAATCGTGAATTGAGTTTTAACATGCATTTGTTGCAATCCAATCCTCAATGATCTGTGATGTCGTTTTTTTCGTTTTTGGAAGAACAATTGTTGCACATACATCCAAAGCTAACAGTTTTCTTCTACTTTCATATTAAAAACGAAATCAAAACAAAAAGTATTTTTTTTTCTTTTCTCTTTCTCTGTGCAGTGAGTTTCGAGTTCATCTCAGAACCACGAAATTCGATCTGAAAACAGGGGAAGAGGGAAAGAAACAGAGTATCTTGTACCCAATAAAATGACTGGCCTGGAAAAAGATGTATGAGTGTGGAATGCCTGTTCACATGTCTCTCCATCATCTCACATGAGTTAATTAAGATACATGTTTTATATATATATATATATATCCCCATGATCTTGTCACATGGGTTACATGCTCCTATTTCTCCTTAATTGGTACAGAAACCAATCAAATTCCAAAAGTGATATTGCATTCAGTCATGAGAATGGAAGTATATATATATTATTTATAACTGGCAAAATTTTACAAACAACATGACAAACTCTAATTACATTACAGACAACAACTCTTCAAACTTACAAGAATTTACCACTTTGAACTACCGACAATGATTAACATGAACAAATAATGGGATGATTGAAGGAACAAATGAAATAACAGGAACAACGCTTCTGTGCCGGGCTCAAAAGACTTTGAAGCAGGCCGAGGTTGATCGAATCGAGAGTAAAAATGGCTATAGATTTTACTATAATGCTATATATAATAATAATAAAGACCTTTTTTTTTTTATTAGCATTGGACACCTTTGCGGCAGTTTAGTACACCAGCATCAGAGGTAAGAGTCGAAACCAACGAAGAAGGTTTGGCGGCAAGACTTGACGCTCTCGCATAGCTGGCGGAAGCACCACCGCCCGATGGGGTGAAGTAGGCCCCGTTTAGAAGAAGATCACCCTCTGATCTCCAGTTCCATTCCTTCCATTGGTTATCATCTGAATTCACTATTCTCTTTGTTACCTGTCACAATAATCAAAGTAAAGTTTCGATTTTTCTTCTTCTTCTAATCTGGTAAAAAAAAAAAATTAAAAGAAAAAGTACCTCTTTAGTAAACTGGTTGTTGGAGGCAAGAAATCTGTTGCCCTGGCTGTTAATGGTGGGATTAGCACTACCACCAATAGCATACATCTCCCAAGAAGTGTAGTCATTGTTTACCACATGGAAATACCCATGTCTGCACCTGCATATATCCAAAAAAATTATTTATATTTCAAAAATTTAATGTACAATATTAACAAAATATTGTGAGTTTTTATTTATTTTTTAAAAAATTACAAAATTAAGGAGTATGGTGTATTTAATTTACCTAGGCATTCTCTGGGTTAAGCCTTCTCCGAAATGGTTGTAGGCAACAGTCACCTGCATCACCTTGTCTCTCGTGTTCGAATCGCTGTGCCCCAATAGCATAACCTAATTTAATTTCAAGTAATTAATACATTCAGCTATTGAAATTCAAATTTTATTAATTTTGGAGATATTATTAAAATTCAAAAACCACCCCAACCAACCTCATTGTGTTGAGTGAAGTAATTGTTGGAGATGGTGATGGCGGTTGATCCCATGATGGCATCAATCAGGCCATCGGAGCAGCCGGAGAGCGAATTGTGGTCAATCCAAACATGACTCGCCCCAAAAATCGAGATCCCGTCGCCGTCGGCCATGGTCCTCCACCCGTAGTGCGACGGCGAGCTCCGCACCATGGCGTTCCCCGTCGGCTTGCAGTCGTGGATGTGTAGGCCGTGGACGATGACGTTCGTCACGTACTGGATCGTGATGCACGCGCCGTTGGCGATGTGGACGTTGGCGCCGCGGCCGTCGATCGTCTTGAAGCTGTTCATAATCAGCTCCTGCTTTAGGGTTATGACCATGTCGCGCTTGAACACGATCCACAGCGGCCGGTCCTGGATCACCGCGTGCCGGAGTGTCCCCGGCCGGGGGTTCACGGCGTCGTCGTCGCTTGGGTCGGTCACCACGTAGTAACGGCCGTCTCTGCCGCCGACGGCGTTACGGCCGAATCCGATGGCGCAGTCCGCCAGCCGCTTGCGGTTGCGGATCCAGTTGCGATCGCACCGCCAGCAGTCGTCTATGGGGTTTCCGGTTCCGCATGACAAGAACCCCAGCTTCCTTCTCTCCGTACTGTTCCGAATATTCCTGATTTTTTTTTTAATATTATTTAAATTGATTAATTATTTAAATATGTATTATATATATAAATAAAGGAATGTGATAAATGTCGTTCGAGCTTTAATAATGTCGTTTCGACTTCAAACGTGATTTTGATCATTTTTAATTCCAAATTTTGCAAAACCCAAAAAATAGAATTTGTAGTATTCTGAGTTAGTTTTCTAATCCAACTTGAATCACCAAAATTGGATGTCGGACGAGAAAGATATGCATGAATCAATGGATACTGCCCACAACTTTAATGTATTGAGGTATCTAAAATTCAAAATGTGACTCATTCATGCATAACTTTGTCACACGACATCCAATCTAACGGATTTAAGTTGGATTAGAAAGCTAACCCAAAGGACAACAGTTTTCGTGTTCAAATTTTGCCAAAATCAAAATATAAACATGTCAAAATAAGGTTCGAAGTCAAAACGACATTAATAAAATTGAAACGACATTTAAAATTTCAGATAAATAAATAATATGTCTGTTTTTTGTATTTTAGTGGGTAAATAATAAATAGTTAAATGCAGGCAGTGGGACTGGACCCGTGTACATACTAATCGAAGAAAAAGTGTGACAAAAAAGTCCAAAAATCAATTAAGAAGGGGTAAAATAGTAAAATAAAAGAGTAATACGAACCATACGGAAACTGAATCATATTAAGTTGGTACTATAAATGAAGAAAATTGGGAATTAAATGCATTGTCTATTCACTATTGAGGTGCGGCAATTAAATTGAAATGCGTCGGTGGAACTTACTTACTCCATTTAATCAATTTTTATAATTTTATTTAGGTCAGTATCTAATTCATTTCGTCAATAATTTTAACTAGAGCAAAAATAACAAGATGAATGAAAAATAATAATAAATAAATAAACATGAAAGTATGGCATATACTGCAACAAGTAACGATCACACAGAATATAATTTGTATCTAATATTAATTCTGGGTAGGTAGAAAATGCGATGCATTTAAGTGTGTGTACTGTGTGAGAAAATGTACGGATCATGTGAGTGTTACCTTTCAAGCCTAAACTTTATTTTCTAAAATAGGAGGAAAAAAATGAAGAATATAAATAATAATGGGGGTAGCATTTATAATTATGAAGAAGATAAAGGACTTACGATTCAACCATGGCAGCGATAGCTTCTGGATCATCTTCTGCATGTTCATGCTTAAGCTCACCGCTTTCATCTAACCTGTGAATATTAATTATTCGGCGGAATTAAAAAAAAAAAAAACATGTTATAAAAATGCGTGATCTATCATAAACAAAAAAAGAGGATAAATTGAAAATTCAAATAATCTAATCAACCTGTCCGCCATTGTTGAGTTCCTCAAGCTTTTCACGTGCGTACTTTCGTCACCAGTGCTGTAAAAAGACCAAAACACCCGTAACAATAATAATTAGTTTCTGTTATGAACTCGAATTGTGCAGATACGCACAGAAATCTGGCAATTGATAACAGAGCACTGAATTAGGTTTTAAATTCCAGAAATGCAACCACCATTGGGAGAATTAAACCGATTTGCAGAACAGAAATATGAAAATTATTAAATTTTGAAGTCAGAAGCTTCACAAATTCTGAGATTTGAGCTTCTTCTCAGACTACAAAACGACACTCGTCATACCATGAAACGACACAACTATGAGAATCACACTACAAATACCTTTCTGATCTCACGGCAAACATCATCGCAGTCAGAAATGCACAGAGAGCAATAATCCTCAGAGAAACCGCCATTGATGCTTCAACAGTATAATGTACTTCGCTAACTCTCTCTCTCTCTCTCTCTCTCTCTCTCTCTAAATGGAGTTTCTCTCTTACTAAATCTGCAGATGTATCTATCTGTGTGTGTATAGATGTTCGCAGAGAGCAGATGGAAGGAATATGAGTTGATGAAATGGCGCATGTCCTGTTTTTATATAAGAGAATGAAGAGAGAGAGAGAGAGAGAGAGAGAGAGAGAGAGAGAGAGAGAGAGAGTCCACGTACAAAATGGTATTTGCTCCGTATTTTGCCTAACTTCATTAGACTTGGACTTAACCACAGTTAGGTTTTTTATTAGGTTATTTCCAATTCAATTTAGCCCCCGCCTTAATTTGGGTGCTTTTATGAACTTAAAAAACAATTAATTTGTACTTTTTTTATCTTCTAAGGGCATCTCCAATGGAGTAAGCAAATCGGGTCTCCAAATTCGTATTTGGAGACCCGTATAGAGACCCGGTGGAATCTTAGAGTCTCTAAAAAATAAAATCTCACAGTGGAGGGCTCTATAATTTTGAGTTCCTAAACAAAGTCACATGAAATACACATGAGTCTCCAAACAAAGTCCTATATTTAGGAACAAGTTTGGAGATTATGCAAAAATCTGAAAATTTAGAGCCCCACTAAATTTCTTGTTGGTGTTGAATTTTTTTCCACAATTTCTATATTTTGAAGACAAATAGAGTTTGCTTACTCCATTGGAGATGCCCTAATAATTTAGAAATAATTATGCAATAGTTGACTATACTGAAAGATTAATTGTTGCACTAATTACCCATTAATATAAGATTAATTATGGTAGCATAGTGTTCAAGTATTATTCATCCGGAAGGGGCAGTCTAGATGGTAGTTAGTTGAAATTTGAAAAAAACATGTCATGTGTATAGAATATGTATTTATAAATATTTTTTAAAAATTCATATATTTCACTTCTAACTTCTGTAGCACAAACACCGAAACAAACATGGAAACGGCTTATCCCGATAATGGGGATACGGGAGCATTTGCTATTTAAACACGTTTCTAACTTTCTAGAAATCGCAAAATGGACCATAAGGTGTCCGGCATATGTCCTTGAGTGTTCGACACGAATAGTGTCTGAAACGCGAAAACGTTAAGAAGTTGAAGTTTTCGTGGTACATAGCTTCTAGCTGTAGTTTTTATTTTACTAATTTAATTTCAAAAGGCCTAAATTAAATATATAATGGTATTATACCCAAATTGTACGCGTAACTCAGCAAATATTCATGGTCTAAATTGTCTAAAGAATTACCAGTTCTAAAATTTTGACCATACCATGAGCTACGTAGTTCTTAGTTGACCAGACCATGACTTATTATTTTGTTCGGCGTAACTTGGATTGTTAATTGAATATTATACTTTTGTTTAGTCAAATAATATAATAAAATAGTTGAATACATGGGTAAATATAAATACTATATTGTTGACTTTGGATCTTTATTATATTATAATTACAGTGGAAGGAACACTGCCAAAAGAAAAATAGAATTCTACTAAATTTTAAATTAGATCTTAGTAGTGAATAGGAACCAAATATTACTGATCCAAAAAAAAAAAAAAGAATAGGAACCAAGTATTTTAGTAAATAATTAGTATATCGACACGCAATATATAACTCACGAAATACACCTGGGATGTAAACCTCATTAAGTGTAAAACTGTAAGTCGTGTGCGACAAACTCAATCTTGATATATAATAAATGATAAAAAAAATTGTATTTAGTTCGGCCTAGAGATGAGAAATTTTGTAACTCTTTTCTTTTAAACGGCCCATAGAAAGGCCCAATTGGCCAATAGGACCATAACAAAATTTATTTTTAAAAAAATATATTATATATAATCAATAATAAATATATAAAATTATATTTCGTCTCATAATTGTTTGTGGATTTGTTCGACCCTATACCCGGTGATAAACACCGGGTGGGTCTTCTGCTACAACGTGTAGTTTTTTTGTATTTTATAATACATTCACCGCTAGGGTTTACCTTTAGGAGTTTTAGAAAAATAAAAAAAAGGACACGTGACAGCAGAACACCCACCCGGTATTTATCACCGGGTGTAGGGTCGTAGGAGCCTTGTTTGTGTGCTTCTCCATGTATATTGAATATATATTTGTAACTAACAATGCATTACCTGCATCATCAAATCCTAATAATATACTTGTACATACTAAATAACTGTCTCAGTTTCTTTTTAAGTGTCTTTTATAGTTAACAGCAAAACACAATCTAAAAGATTTGTTTATTATAAAGAATATAATTATACTCTAATAAAATCATTGAAAAAAAAAAAAAAAACTCTCCCAAAACATACTCAAAACTGAAACCTCGTACTTGTTTCTCTCTCTACAAATGAAGAGACAAGTCAAGCTTTTGATCCCTATAATCCCCACGGCCAGGGCCGCCGCTCTTCGGACAATCCTGCCCATACTCATTGCAACTAATTACACTCCTGTCCCAAAAAGTGGATCTCTTCTCATGAACCACGTGCTCCGCACTCTCTTGGTACATCTGATGCTCCCCCATGAAACCCCCACCGTACAGCACAACATTCTCGAACCTCGGCGCGCCGTTCGATCCGAACGGATCGACCACCATCGGCCGGCTCTGGAGCTGGCAGAGGCTGCCGCCGTGAGGGTTTATGTACGCGGAGGGGTGGAATATGCCGAAAGGGTAGCTCGGGGAAGAAAACACCATTGACTGATGCGGCGGCGGCTGTGGGATTGGAGTGATGTAATGATCGGTGGAGGAATAAGACCTTCGCTTCTTTCCGGCGGCGCTCCTCTCTTTCTTGTGGGCGTTCTGGTGGCCGCCTAATGCTTGTGAGCTGTGGAACTTTCTAGAACAGTACATACATGGGAAGTATTTTGGTGTGTTGTTGTTGTTTTCTTCTTCTGGTTTGATGTTTGGTTCGCCCATGGTCAACTTTTTTTAATGGAAGGGAAAGAGTTTAGGAAGTTAAATTACAAGGTTTGGAATGTGAGAAGAGATGTGTGTGTGTGTGTGTGTGTGTGTGTTGGTACAGTGTATCCTATTTATAGAGAATAGTGCATTTGGTACAGTGTATTGTGTGTTGTAGTGTATGGGCTTTTGTTAGAGCAGAAGAGATAAGAGAAAGATAAGTGTTACATGCAACTATGCAGGTTTCTGAATACTGAGGCAAACACTCTGATTGGTGTGTTTCTGTTTCTCTCTCTCTCTCTCTAGACTCTCTCTCTTTAGAGAGAGAGAGAGGGAGGGGGAGATTGGGAAATGGAATTGATCCATTTTCTGACAGTAATGGCCTCCAGAGGAAAGGAGTTGTTGTTTTGAATTTGATGCCTTTTTTCTTTTTTTCTTTTTTTTTTTTTTTTAATTTTGAAGTGTTTGGTTCAGTGATTTGTTTGTGTATTCTAATTATAATAAATTTTTACAAGTGTTGATTTGTTGTTAATTGTAATAGAATCAAATTCATGAAAAAATGTGCTGATTAATTAGCAGGTTCTCCACAGGTTCAAGTAATCAGTGCATGTATCTAGTAGAGTAGCCCATCAATTAAGGACCATTTTTGCCACTTGTCAGACACTATATTTACCACATTGCCCTGCAATATTTGTAATTTATACTTTTTATGTACTTCTTATTGAGATATATAAAGAGTTACAAGAACGAATAGATAATAGAAGATGAGAAATTGAATTTATTGAGGTAATGAGATGGATGGGGGATGGTAAATAAATGGGGATCAGAATGAACAGAGAAATAAATGTAGTAGTAATATGGGATGTATGTATTTGCAAGAGTTATGTGATTCAAAAGCTGATCTTTTTGTCCAACTCTTTCCCCATTGGTTGTTAGAGAGGTGTGAAATTGCCCCTCTCTCTCTCTCTCTCTCTCTCTCTCTAGAGGATGAATAAATAGTTACTGGGGGGCAGTGAAAGTAAGATATATGATCTACTACTACTACTGCAAAAGGCAGAAGAAAACAGAGTGGTCCATTTTCCCATATTTGGCATGTTCCTATGGTTTCAAGTGACTACACCTTTTTTTTCTTCTATCAGAGACATAGTTAAGGAAGGTCTGCTTTACTTTGTCAGCTCTCCACAACTCTTCCCATTAATTCTTTTTTCTTTTCCAATATATATATATATATATATATATATATATATATATATATATATATATATATATATATATATATTAAACTCTGTAATTCAGCCCCTATTTTTAAATATATATATATATTCAGTAATATTATGAACCTCTCTAAAAGGTATCCTCACTTAACAATTTGCCCTTGAAACCCCATTCTCTGCACACACATATCAAGAAACACAACACTTGTACAACAATCACTCTACAGAGTCAGTTAGTAATGCGAAACACGAACCGTAAACGAAAAAAATGATGCGTAGTGTCACCAAATATTAATCAAAATTTATAAATTAAATAGCCGACAAAGAACAATCGAAAATCTAGGAACAACCAAAGCATTGACGTACAGAGAAAAGGCTCGACGGTGTTGACGGTGTAGGTTCTGGAGAATCGGGCTCGAGTTTTTTACGAGGAAGATGTTTAAGGAACGCCTTCACAGCTCCCGTAACTCCGTCTTCATTTTCCATGGCCTTCGCAAGTTCAATTGCACGCTCTTTCACCTGTGCATATATATATCGATCTAGTTTATGTTCGAGCCAAAAAAAAAAAGATCTTGTGCTTGTCAAGTCAAATGCACGTATGAAGATCAACGTTCGATATGATTACCTTGGGGTCTAGCATAAAATTGATTGCGTCAACCAATTTTTGAAGCGAAAATTCGTCGACTGGAATTGGAGGAGGACCCACGCCTCTGGCGTGGACTCTCTCTCCCCAGAAAGGTTGGTCGCCGAAGAAAGGGATGATAGTTGTTGGGCACTGTACGAGACGGAAATAAATAAATTTACTCCATTTTAGTTATCGAGAAAAATTACACGAGCAGAAAGTTCGAGAACACCGTTTCTTGTAAAATCATTACCGCAGCTTTAAGACCAGCGGCTGTTGTTCCTGCACCTCCGTGATGCACCTAAAAACAGATTGAAAAATAATAAATGCCTTCTTACAAGGATCAAAATAGACAAACAAGATTTTGCAAAGTAATTTTCGAGGCGTAATTGGTTATTAATTGTTAAAAAAATCATCTTAAATTGGAAGCTAACCACGGAAGCACATTGCAAGAAAAGCCAGTCATGAGGACAGTTATCCAGCAGATAAACGAAGTCCTTTTCTTCTGCCACTGAGAACAATTATTAAATTTTAGATGAATTGGAAACAAAAACGGAGATCGTGAGTAGTTAGTGGATAAGATCAAAAGAAGGAAAAGAAGCACTCACAGTTACCAAGACCACCCCAGCCTTTGTTAATAATGCCCCTCTGATTAGTTATTTCTAAAGCTTCGACAATGATTTGCGTCATCTTCTCTGGTTCCTCGACAGGCTGAAATGGTGAAGAGGAAAAAAAAACAGTTGAATTTGGCGATAATAGTTATTTCGAGGGGAAAAAAGAAGAAACGAACACGTTCATGCGAGCATTTGTACGCAAATACAAAAGACCAGGATGTAGATGAGAAACAACGAAAAAAGAAACAATTTGTTGCCAACAATAATTTTCCACCATCGATATTGTAAATGCGAAAAACCTCTCCCAATTTAAGTGGAATGGCTTTTATCAGTGATCACTTGTCTTCCCGACATTCATACCATAACAATAGCAGATCAAACATGACACAAAGCAAACTTCAAACAATATGTCGAATCAATCCCTAAAATCAAAATCCAAGGAAAGAGTTGTTCTAACTTCTAACTGACTCGTCTAATCGATTCATTTATCTTCCCGACAAAAAAAAACCATAAAAATATCAGTTAGGAGCAGGCAGAAAGACTCTTTTCCATCTCTTATTGATTTCTAATATTTGGAGAATTGGGGATAAAGAAGATAGTGTTCGAATACGAGGGAGTTTAGGTTACTCACAAGGCTGCCAAACCCAATATATATTGGCTTTCGACCAGCGTCAAGCCAGTTTAGAAGTGGCTTGGGGGGCTCGTAATTTCCTGCAAGATCAAGGAAGCAAAATCCAACTACATCAACTTTCGGGCCCCAATCTGCAAGAGAATATAACCACAGTTAGCAGCTATTAACTTAGACATGCAATGGAAATGGAACTGTCGTGGATTAAATACAAGTTTAACAGAAGTTGGAAAAAATAATACAAGTTTTCGTTTCACTATGAAAAAAATGCTTAATTTGTTTCGGAATAAGATGGTTCCGAGAAAATGAACACCTTTCGGTTTCGGAACAAGGTGAGGACTCCAGATATATCCGTGCGGAATATTGGACTCGGAGCCCTGCGATCCACTCAAATATGTGACTGGCCTTAGCTTCAACTTTTTTTTCCTAACATCGTTTATCATGTCTCTTATCCCTAGCCAAATCAAGGAGTCTACAATCTGGTACGATAACTGCAAATACATGGAAACACAACGATGAGTCGATGAGAATTTCTTGAACAATAACGAAAATGCAAATACAAAATAAAAGCATTCTCAGGGCGCACTCTGTATCCAGCTGATTGCTTCACACGAGATAAAGGATGCGGGAATTCACTGGTTGGCCTGGCAGGGAGAAAAAAATATCACTCGGAAAGAAGAGAAGGTAAGTAATAAAAAACAGAGATATCTGTTAAAAGTTTCGACGGAATCTTAGTTCTTTTGCCAAATCAAAAGGGAACAAATATATATATATACGGGGAAACCGTAGAAGACTTACGTCCACGGCATTGTGAAAAATATATGAATAGGTATGTTTAATGCCTCTGCAACATGTGTATGTCCTGTAATAAAACAGTTTCTCCATTAGTCAATATATCTTTGCGTGAGATCTTTAACATAACGCTTAAGAAAGAGGATCACATAATCTAACCATAAGCTGGAGGGTTAGCGATAATTGCTTCTGCCCTGAAAGGAACCCCGGAATCAATGTCGGGCTCTTTGCACGCAGGGAGTAGAGAATAAATTATTTCCTTCATTTGGTTTCTTTGTACGGGGATTTCCGAAGGTCCGGATGGTAAAAAGCCTTTGTTCTTAACCATGTCTACAGAAGAATGAGCACCCGAGCCATCAGTTTATTTCTTTAATCATTCACATATGGTCATAGCCACTAATAAATAAAGAAACGCAGCAACTTCATCAAAATTTGTTCATCAGAAACTCGTTATAGATTTCCTATTGGCTTGGCGGATCATAAAAAAATTGGAATCTATTCTGCAAGATAATAAAAAAGAACCAACACAACTAAGAGGATCGAGAAAATGATTTGAGGAAGGAAGAAACGTGGAAATGGCACAATAAATCACGATAAACCACAAGTATTATTTTCCGTAACAAAAAATCCGTAGACATGGTATATAAATCAAAAATCACGAGACCCACTGGATATCAGAAAGTCAGCTCCAGCAGAAGAAAAGGCGGTAGAAACATACATCCTGCCAGAACTTTCGGGTCACCACCAAGGGGATAGAATTCCAAACCAGAAGTCAAGACGAACTCTTTGAAATTTGAATGTGTAGCCAATCTAACACGATGGCCGTAATCCTGCATCAAAGCATCCTTACGAATAAATAACTTCACGAGAAAAACCCTTTCATTTTTCCGTTTAAAGGCTTTTGAATCAAGAAAACGAAAGTCATTGAAGTAAATAGACTCGTATACCTGTAGTCGCTTTCCAATTGCAACAAACGGCTGTACGTCTCCACGAGTCCCAACGATAAGCATTACAATTTGCAACGGAGGAATGTATTGGAGATCTGTTGCATCGGTAGTCTCGTCGTCAACTTCATCGCGTATGCTTCCGGTACCAACTCCGAAAGTTTGCGGTCCAACATCTCCTGGAACTTCAAATTCTACGGTCCCGTCGTTTTTAACGGTAGCTATTCTGTTCAACAATGTTAACTGCAGTGTTTTAAATACTTCACAATGTCCCAGGCATTATTCTCCGACAAATAGCAATAACTTCTCCGATAAAGACGCAATCCAACAATTCTGCAGAAACATGAACAATTTATTACACAATTTATTTACCTTCTGCTGAACAGAAATTTGATCATCGAAAATCTGAGCAGCATCTTCGGCGAGTATGTCGTCGTGTTTTTGCGGCGTCTCGGTCTTGGATCGTTCCAACACAACAGGAGAATCTAACTTCCCGGAATTCAAAATTTCAGGGGGCATAGTGTTTACTCTAGAAACACTCGCGCCACCATTCCCTGTCAATAGTAATTTTAACCGATCTCAGATAGTCGAATTAAGTAATTCCACAAGCATAAACAATTAAAAAAATTCCACAACCCTATCGTTCACTCGCTTAACCCTCGAATTAAAAAAAAAAAAAAACAAAAAACTACTCGACCTGAAAAGTTGCTGCCGCCATTGGAAGGTTGAGCGGCGGCGGCGGCGGCGGCATCTTTCTCGAACTTGACGGAAACTTCACTAGAACTCGAAGAAGAGCTGGCTTCTCCAGACTGAGACATCGGCGGCGGCGGCGCCACCGCCACCGGCGGAGTCCGCGTATGAGCCAGATCTGGGGAACCTTCCATAAACAATTACGGATAGCTTTCTGTATGTATAGAAACACACATAGTGAGTGTGTATGCGTGTTCGAGTAGAGGGAGAAAAGGTAGAGTCACGTTCAAAAGTGGGAAACTCTGCTGGAAACTCTTTAGAAGAAAGATAAATAAACCGCTCTGCCACTGAATTTTCTGAATTTCTTGTCGAAGTATTCGAATATTCAAATGCTACGGTCAGCGCGTGGGTTGAATTTCCTGTCGGAGTTTTTTATATTGTTTATTTCACCAAGCACGTTTTCCAAAATCGTTCTCTTTCTAGCATTTTCAGACAAATATTCTAAAGGTTAAATTACAACCAACCCCTGAGGTACGGTTAATTTACGAAAAAATATCTCTTGTTTGGATAATTACATCTACCCTTTAATTATATTTTTTTCTTACACCTCCACTATTGTGGTGTTAAATTCAACATAATTATCTAGATTTCATAGAATTTGCTCTAGTTTGTACTCGTTTTGTGTAAAAATACAGTTTCTGATGCACCACTATCTGATATATACAAGCCAAAAAACACATCTTATAATCATCTTGCTTCAAAATGTGGAGTTCGAATGAGGTAAAAATGGTACAAGAGTGGTAATATTTCATAATCTCGAAAATTCCACTAAATTTGAAACCGCAATAGTGGACGTGTAAAAAGATTAATAATTGAAAATGGTGGTTGTAATTACCCAAACAAGAGGGGGCTTTCGTAATTTGACCATATCTCAGGGGTGGTTGTAATTTACCCTCTTCTAAATCACTATAAGTCACGACGTTCAGTTTCGACAAACTGATATTCTGACCGACAATGAGAAAAGATCGAAAACCAAGGAAGAAGAAAAAGGAGAAGGAGGAGGCGGAGGAGTTTCGACAAACTCTACGGTTCAGAGTCATTGCATCCCGCATTTTGAAGGTTCCGATATCTTGTTCATGAGAAGTTGCATACTAAAGTAAATTTTGTGAAAGGAGACTTAGTGGGAGTGATATTTGGATATATTTAGTATTTACATATTATTTTTCTAATTATAATGATATAATTTCTATTAACCAAAATAATATCGAATATCTTAAACTTGCCAAAGTAATTTTAAAGATAGAAGATATAATATCAAGCCATGAGCATCCCAAACTCAAGCTTCATCTAAATTAAAAAAAGATAAAAGAAAATAAAAGGCGTACAAACGTCCTTGATTTGATCCGAAAATTCAAAAATAACTACAAATTCGTAATTCCCGATTACATTATGTTGTTTTAGCAGTTCGATTGCTTTTGATTTTTTGCAGTTCTCTGATAAGAAGGTGCAGTGAACCTAGATTTTCACCACCAAGAATCAAGAATCTGAGAACACGTAATTTAGTAGCATGACTACGTACCGAGCATAAATTCGAATAAAACAGACAGTTTCCTAAAAATTTACATACTAAATCCGAAGAACCGTAGGTTGTTGACCTAGAGACGTAACTGTAAGCTTCAACTAGACATTTTTATACAGCAACTCGAATTTAGGTATTCGCTCAGGTGGCAGTGGGCAACTTACAATAAGCTTGCCCTTCATCGCCCCTCTGTATATTGCCTGCATAACAAAGACAAGAACAACACATTTCCAATACATTCATCCATAACAAATAATTTTCGGGCAAGGCAAACATGCCAAAAGAAAGTAATCTAATGATCATATTTTCTTTCGACAGATTCCCCTGTTCTTATAAGCTAAGATAGTCATCAAAACACAAACAAATGAAGAATGAGCATATTTAGAGAAAATACGATTTTGCATATCGAATCAACTCTTGATATTATGATAAATTGCTTGAAACAAATTGATAGTCAGTTATCGAAAAATGAAAACCAAGAAACAACTGACGAATAGCAAAAGACGAGAAAACAAGGTTCTAAATGATAGTTGCAATGAATAGAAAAAAACATAATTAACCCTTTAGCATAAATACTTTAGGTTGAAAAAAGAAGAAACAAAAATGACGAACAAGAAAGCTTGAATCTGAAATCGTACATAATTTTCTTACGCGGATAAAATAAGAAGTTATAAGCCGTAACTCATGTTAACACGTCATGAACATTTATTTGACATTTCGGTAAGCAACAGAAAATACCTCCACAACATCGACGAAATCTTGTTTTTTCTGAAATGTACCAATCCACTTAGTGTGGTCTGCACTTCTGAAAGATGTAAGATACGTAAGTATGAGTAAATCAAACCACAAGTAACAATATAGAAGGCATCAATCGGACAACCTTCCGATTCTTACATAACCCTAACTATTGACTTAATTTTCGATTATCAACGCAAAACCAACAAGGAAAAGGGAATCTAAAAAGTCGAATATTACCGAAGGAACCTATGCATGAACGAAGGACCTCGGCATGTTCGGTCGGGGGCAGAGTATAAAATAAGATTGCACAGAGAATTTTGTTATATAATTACCTTTTTTTAATTTTACATTTTATTACCAATTAAAGATAAATATAAGGTATCATATCAAATTCGCAGTGAAATACAAGAGCATCACAATATACTCATATAACACCCAAAAAAAAAAAAACTACTGGTCAATAAGTATAATTCACCCTGCATTGGAAGCATTCAAATTAAGAGAAAAAATGAAGTGAGTGGAGTATAAATACCCGGAATCCATCTTCATATGGTGAGCATTAAAGAAGAAAATCGTGGAAGGGACGAACGTTATGTCAAAATACTTGAGATAAACTTGAATCTCCGGCGAGTCCACATCCACCAGCGCCACCGTCGCGAATCTCGACACGTCTTTCGCCGATTTGTACAGCTGCCGATCAATTAAAACAACCACACACACATTACCTAAAAATTTCCCCCCCAAAAAAAAATTAATAAATAAATAATCGATGAATTTAGGAGAGAGAAGCATACGACGTCGTCGAGTTGGAGGCAAACGGAGTCGGAGGAGAGGCCGAAGCGGAGGACGAGAACTTTATCGATGGTGTCTCTGATGAGAGAATCCACCTCCCGCTTCTCCCTTAGCGTTGGTAGCAAGTACTCCATCGCTAATGTTTACCTCAAATCTGATTCCACGCCCTTTAATTTTTTTTATTTTTTTATTTTTTGAAATTAATAAACATAATGGTTCAATATTTAGTTTACAAATTCACAATTAATGTAATTTAAAATTAATTTAATACATTTCATTATACTGAGTATTATTAAAAATTATACGTAGTCGATTTTAAATTTTTAATTATTTTTTAGCTCCCAAAAAATTAAATATTTCAATTTTCGCTCTAAAATAGCTTTTCCGTTGCTTGCTACTAGACGTGTAACGATATGTACCGAAAGTGTTTAAAACTGAACTTTGGAGGTGAAATTTGTTCACTTTGGAACAACGGAGACCAAACATGGAATTGTGCCAAACACGAGCGACCAAAAATGTAATTCTAAAAAAAAAATTCAGTAATTACAATCAGCCTATCAATTGTGAATTTTCTTACACGTCCACTGTTGTGGTGTCAAAGTTAGTAGAATATTATCCCGTTTCGAGCTCCACATTTTGAAACAAGATGGTTATAAGATGCGTCTCTTGACTTGTAAATATCAGATTGTGGTGCATGCGAAACTCCATTTTTGCACAAAACAAGTACAAATTAGATAACATTCCACGAAATCTAGAAGATTTTATTGAATTTGATACAATAAAAGTGGACGTATAAGAAGATCTATAATTTGAGGCATAGTTGTAATAACCCAAACATGAGGGGTTTCTTCATAATTTAACTTTAGAGTGGGGGTGTGACTGTAATTTACCCAAAATAAATTAGTGTTGAGGGCTGGGTTTTATAAAAGCCCATATAATTTGGATTTGGGATAAATCGGAATAGTTTGGGCTGTCCAAAGCTTCATTACTCGCGAGCCCAACAAAATCAAAATCGACTGTTTTAGGGCAAACATCAGAAACAAAATAATTTCGAAAGGGGGGAAATTTTTTTAGAACTCCATTGAAGGCAGCTCGAAGTGAAATTCAACATGGCCAGCAATCCGTCGCAGCTCCTCCCATCAGGTACCTACCTTTCTTCTTCAGTATGTATGTACAAATTCTTTTTTGCTGATTTGTTGGACTGGTTATGAAGTTTCGATTACGTTAATGAAAACGCAGAGCTAATCGATCGGTGCATCGGTTCGAAAATATGGGTGATAATGAAAGGAGACAAGGAGCTCGTCGGCACTCTCAAGGGCTTCGATGTTTACGTCAACATGGTGCTCGAAGACGTCACTGAATAGTTTGTACTCTGACCTAATTGCTCTGAGAATTATTATGCAAGTTCTTGTTAGCATACTTCTGCAAAATTGTTTTTCGTTTTCGTGTTTTTTGTGATTTAATTTCATGTTGTGCTGTAGCTTTTAATTTGATTTGTTTCTCTAAGCGGAAGCTTTTGCGGCATTCACCAGTTGAAATTCCCCGTTTTTGGTTGATTCATAGCTTGCGTTTAGGGAACTTTAAACGGATTGTAGTATAGTGTTAATTGTTTGTGATTGCGTTTTATTAGGTCACTGTTTTGCCCTTATTTTACTATTTCTAGAACAATCCTATCGTATCCGAAAGTTTGGCTGCATAGTTTATGTGGTACAAAATTATCTTGAAGGCGATAGGAATTGTGAATAAGTGATGTAATAAACAGTTCTGATAGATGAATACACGATGGAGTTATGTGTAGTTAAGTTTGGTGCTGAGAAAAATGGAGGATCTAATGTTTGTATCCATTTGAGTATCTTTTTTCCTCTGAAGTGGAGGGTGGTTTTTTCAATGGTATGCCAGTTTTGCATAGTTTACGAGATCAATCACAACATCATGTTTTTTAAACAAAGAGAAATTAGAAATGCATTGTAAGAGATAAGTTTCCGGACATTATGAACGAATTTGTTACTGTAAGCTCACTGGATAGTTATAAGTGTATATGTGGTACTTGTGAGTGAAATTAGTTATAATCTCTTAGCTTCAGAGATATTCTGTGTCGTGTTCTGATTGATAGGCATTGCATTTTGTTGGTTATGAGTCAGGGTGGATATGTGTGCCTATTAGCTTCCCTTTGTAATGGTTTTTAGACTGCTGTTCAATTAACTCTGACAGCTTCGTGTTGCTCCTCTGATATGGTAGTTGTGTCACTGTCCTAACTAAATTATTTATTGCTTCTTACAATTTACAGTGAAATTACTACGGAAGGCCGACGTATTACAAGACTTGACCAGATTTTGCTCAACGGGAACAACATTGCCATTGTAAGCACATAAAAACAAATTCCTTCATTCTCAGTTTTATTAAGTGCATCACCTTTTACGATTTATACGCTCCATTTCTCTTAAGAAGAATCTAATCTTAACAATCTGTTTGCGCTGCAGTTGGTGCCTGGAGGTTCCCCAGATTCAGAATAAGAAAGATGGCTTGGCTTCTCTTGTTTTGTATGGATTCTGACTGTTACAAGCCTTAGTTTTTATTTACTGTAGATTATAATGCTCGTGACTTTCGCCCCACTTTTCGTAATCTGAATTCAACAACATCAACATTTAGTTTTGTAAAAATTATGTTCTTACAATGATCATCATTCTTCATTATCTGCTGAGCTTTGGCTTGAAAATTATAATTTCTATAAGAAAGCTTAGAATTATTTACGCAGATACGTTACAAGGTAAGGTAAGGGATTTAAGAGATCCTCTGTTTTCCACTCAAAAGACCATATCAGTCACCGTATAGAGTAGTGCTATTTACGTGTATTTTATTTCACACATCATTGTGAAATAAAAAAAACAAGTCAATCATCATTCGTACTTAGTAGTATGCCCTTATAACAATAAACCAATCCTACGTCACCTTCGATATAGGCTCATGTGGTAGCTAGTTTTGAAATACTGCCATGATCTGGAACTGTGAATGTAGTCTATGTAACAGATTTCTGTAGCAATAATAAAATTATTGTTTCAGACAAGATTCTTTTGTACCAGGTAGTACTGTTAACAGAGTTAACATGCAAAAAATGGTAAAAGGAATAAAGAAATGTTAGTGGATCAGAGATTTATATGTTCTACTTGACATTAGTTATTATTGTCTGATCGAAAGTGACTTTTGTTTTTTGTTTCGTTTCACATGGAGTAAGTTGTCTCTTCTGCAGCAGGTAACATAGTAAAATAATCGGATCGTCTAAAAACCTTGCTTGTCGTTTAGATGTGAAAGTCACTTATTTGTCATTCTCTCGAGTTTTCTGAAACAACACACCCAACGTATTAATTGCTCACCTAGAATGATCGGAATCGTCTTACGTTCACACAATGTTATAGTGAAATATTACACGATTTTGTTTGTGGGACAGATGAATTCGGATGTAGGGAAAACCTGCACGCGCTGCTTATTAGAGATGGGAAGAAGAAGAACGTGGATTTGAAATCCAACGTTAAACAGGTATGGCGCACAGGTTTGCAAGGGTCGCCCTCTATATTAAATACAGTGCCAACATGGTAGATATAATAAATTCTCATTCATCTTCTTTATTCCCCCTGCTTTGAACCCAGAAAAAAAAACAATTCTTGCAACATAAAGAACAAACTCTTTTTAATGTGTCGGAAGAGAAAACATTTGGTTTCTAGATTGGTGGAGGGAGGGCAGCCTCCTAAATCTATTTGATGAACTTAACAGTTCCCTGTGAGGCCACGTCAGCAGGAATACTCTACCTGGAATTCAAAATGACACGTCATTATTGAAATGGGAAAATGACACGTCATTAATAAAGTGGTCCAATTCTTGAATTTGAATGTGGCTCAGATGCGACACTTGGGTCAATTCTAAGGACTTGAGTCCGATTAGTTGCGGTTCTTCTGTTAAAAGAATATATATATATATACACGCATTTTTTCCGCCTGCGATGCAGATGCACGGAATATTATTTTAAAAGTGAAAAAATAATTAAATTAATACATAATAAGAAAATATAGTATACTAACATAATAAAATTTAATAATGTAATATTATTCATATTTTATATAACATTACTTTTTTAAATATGACATATTAAGATTTATAATCCAAATATATAGATTAAGATTTATAATCCAAATATATAGATTAAGATTTAACGAAATGAATTTCTATCTTTATCTCTTAAGATTTGATATATATTGATGAAAAATAGGAAATTGATAATTGTTGAAAACTATAGTTAAAAAATTAGTAGACAAAAAATATTAAAAATAAATAGTTACAAAAGTACTATTAGATAGGATTTTTCGGGATTTAGTTTCAATTTTGATAATTGTTAAAAATTATAGTTAGAAATTAGTAGAGAAAAAAAATATTAAAAATATTTAATGACAAAATACCATTAGGTTGCCCATCGTTTCTTTCTTTTATATATATATATATATATATATATATATATATATATATATATATATATATATATATATATTAATTAAATGAAATAAAATTATATACGAGTCTTGGAAATTAGTGGTTAGGCCACATGCACGACAAACACTGCGGCGCTAGATGTGTGTAGCAGAAGGTGCTTAATTATGTACAATACGTACATAATGCATGGATCTTAACACGGTCTCCCACGTGGCTAATATGCCCAACACCAAATTAGGTTGACCTTCACTCACTCTTTCACTCTAAAATTTGTAACGAACAGTTATATAGGTGCACTGCGTAAACTTATATATATTTTCAATTAAAAGACGGGATAAAGCATAATTGCGAGATTAAATCCTTGATCTCATCACCTACTTCGATTATGTTCTAACATCCAAATTTTAATTATTGATTTTTCTTTTATTTACATAAAGCTTTTGATTTAGTATGATTACCTAAGATTAGGTCCATGATTAGTCACATGCTCACTTCTAATTACTACCATATTCTAACTCGAGTTAGAGGGTAAGCCCTTACATCATCTAACCCTAAAAGAAGTTCCATATCTGTTTAACCTACCGAATCAAGAATTGGGACCAAAACCCAAAAAATAAATAAATATATTTATATTTAAAAAAAATAAAAAATAAAAATAAAAGTTCTTGGAACAAATGCACTTAGGACCACCTGAAATTCTCCAAATACTAAACAGCCCTACACTTGTATGGTAAAGTGAAGTGCCACCAAGGCTACATCTTAATTACATCTAATTGGAGGATCAATTCATTCTTTAATACTTAATCATGAGTTAATCTATATTGATTAATAATTAATAAAGTTCATATGGCCAACTTATAAAAACAAATCATTTGTTGCTCTCACAATTATCACAAGCCAGTTGTCTCACCATCTATATATCTATCTATCTTCTTCTTCTTCTTACATTAATCCCATAATAATATTATTTTTTTTCTCATTCTTCTTTCTGCATGTGCTCATATGCCTAAATTCCTCATAAGAAAAATAGCCAAATAGAAGGAATCTTTGATATATATATTATATATATATACAGACAGCACAGATAGATTTCCCGTGTGCTGTTCATTTGACCAAACAAATTTGTTTCAGATATTCTCTTGCAATAGCTATATAGCAAAAATAAGAGTCAAATAAAAAAAAATTAATAAATAAAGAAAAAAACCAACTAACCTAACATGCAGGTGAGCTAGCTCTGTAATTATTATAATCATTTTTTAATTATTATTATTATTATTATTATTATTATTATTATTATTATTATTATTATTATTATTATTATTATTATTATTATTATTATTATTATTATTATTATTATTATTATTATTATTATTATTATTATTATTTTAAATCAAATTGATCATTGCATTAAGAATCCCTCTTGATATTAATTTTCATATCCATTATATATAACAGATCCTTCAATGGCTCTCCAAGATAGCACAAGAACCTCCAAGAGCAGCAAATTCCAGCCCGGTCAACACGAAAAAAGTCGATAAAGGTAACATCGTAAATATTTCTATTTTTTTTTAATTCAAGAATTGTGTAACTTAATAAGTAGTTCTTATTTTTTTTTTAATTTTTTTTTTTGTTTGCAGATCAGAGAGTTAAGTCGAAAGATACATCGAGTGGGAATAGGCAGAGGCGTCTAAAAGGAGTCGAAGAGAGCAAATTGAGCTGCGAAAACTTAAATCTTTTCTACTATTTACGCAGAAAAGACTTGTCGAAAACTTACTTCTATCGCACACTGAATTTGAAGAGGTTAGGAAGCTTCCGAAGAAAGCCTCAAAATTCTATCGATCCGATGAAGATGATGACGAAAGAAGATTTTGCTCGAGGGCTCGGCATTAGTCAAAAAACAGATAATTCTTCCACTCATAGCCATATTATAGTCGGCAACAAAATCTTACCCATTACAGATCAAACGACGAAAGACCAAGCATGCATGAACGTAGACAAGAAAGAAAAGTCAAAGGGCGACAAAACGAAAACCATTTCCAGGATGAAGGAACTTCTTAAATGGGCTGCCGCTGCTAAATCCGAAAAGGGTGGAAAATATATCGGCCGAAAGGTACACACACACACATACATACATACACATAGACATATATGTATACATATTTGAATATAGATTGTTGAATGTACTAATTATGTTTGATTATTTACAGATGATGCATTTTAGGAATAGGACAGCTTTGAAAGCAGTTCCCGATGACGAACAAATGAGCAACGATTCTCCGAAGATTAGTTTTAGATGGGAAGTGGAGAGTTGCTCCACTACTACTTCGTCGGTTTATTCTGCGATTTCTTCGGTTATGGCGGCTTCTTCTATGAGGCACGACGAAATGATAATGAACGGAAATTCGTCGGTGAATTCTACTCCGGCACATGTTAGAGATCTAAGTGTTGCTCGACCGGGAAATTGGATCACCACCGATTCTGAATGTAAGTCTATAAATGAAAATTTTAAAAAGTGATTTTTTGAATATTCTTCGAGTTTTTGAGTTTTTTTGTTCTGATTTCTGGTTTTGGTTTTTCGACAGTTGTTGTGCTGGAGCTATGAAGATCATCGGGCGGGGTTTTACACACACCATCATGGATGTGTGTGTTTGTGTGTGAAGCATATCGTGACCGTTCATTTGCACACACCAACACGGATGTGTGTGTTTGTGTGTGAATGAACAGTAATGATGCACCCGATGTAACGAAAACGAAGAATTGTGAATGGTATCGGCTGAAAAAATGTTGAACTTTGATTATTATTATAATCTACATGGAAATTAATGCCTTAAACTAATTCAAGATCTTTTTGCTGTCTGTTTTAGATGTTTTGTAATTAGTGACTGCAATTTCATTACTTTGGTAAAGATGATTAAGAAATGTATTAGTTGTTAATTTCAGCTAAACAGAGATCTGAAAACTTCTTCACATCTCTTTTAACAGAGCAAATATCAAAATAATAATTAACTTTACAAACTTTGTTAAAAACGTGGGAACGAAGCATAATCTACCGATCCATTTTTCAAAATATTACGAAAATGCCCCTGATCTTACGCTAAATTACAAAAATACCCATCCTATCTGAAATTACCAAAATCCCCTTAATGTTTGTTTCCATGTTACACCGACCCCTAACGGTGTACTACTAATATTTCTCGAAAAATGTCAATTTCACCCAGCTAGACGTGACATTTTCTTATGCAATTTTTAAAACACAAAGCTTAAGAATAATTTTCATAATTACCCTTTGATATTGATAATATACAAACTATTATGAATAATAAATGCCCCCCACCAAATATGTAAAATATTTTATTAAATAAATGGCCCAAATCTTTTAATTTATATCATAGATTATGTCATAAATCATAATATAAAATACAAGAAACCCCAGCCATAATCCGATTTCAAATAAATAGCCCCAATCTTTTATTTATTACATATCATAAATAAATAATTAATTAATCCAAATTTCCTGAAAATAATCTGCCAATTAGATTCCCACCATTATATTGTGAAAATAAAAATAAATACTATTATTACTACTCGATTTCATATTACTTAAACTAAACGCCCAAAAAATGTTATAAATACAGAGGCTCACCACTTCATTTTTTATCATCATTCATTTTCTCAATATCACTTTGTCTTCTGAAAAAAAAAAAAATGGAATCAAGGAGAGTTAGTTTCGTGACTCTTTTCATCGGACTACTTTGCGTCGGTTTGTTCGTAAACTCAGGTAAATTCGTAAATCATTTTATTTACAAACCAACTAGATCTTCGGTGTAGGTGCATTCACAAAGTTTAAAGATGAATTTATTTACATAAATGATACATTTGCCCACTTCTGTTACCCGTCATCTTCGACGATACCCGTAACATAAATTTCAAAAAAAAAAAATAGTTAATTAACGTTTTTTTTTCCGGGAATTTCAGCGTCAGGCCGTGAAGAGTGGCATGTTTATCAGGGGCCATGTTCGAAATATCCAGATTGCAATAAACATTGTATTAAAGGTGGATTCGGTGACGCTGGAAAATGTATGGTTAATCCAAATGACAAAAAAGGACCTTTAGTTTGTGTATGCATAACTTATTGATTTTTACTATTTTATTATGTACGAACTCATAGTTTACTTTATCTCTTATATGAGTTCTTGTAATAAAATATATTTAATTTAAATTAAATACTTTATTTTATGGATCATCAATCAATTACAATTTCTCTCTCAGTGTGTGTGTGTTTGTGTGAGGTTTATTTCATACAAATCACTTTACTATTATCAATTAAGAAGATCACTCAATAAATACTAAGATCACTCTATGAATCGTTAATATTTATTCAGAACTGATTATGCAATAATATATAAAAGTAATTAACGCTAGAGCAACAACTTCAAGGAACCGTAACGATATCTTTGTAAAGTTTTTTGTTTTCTTTTTCTCACTATTGATTTTGTTTTGTCCCGTGCATCGCCCCGGAAATCTAATGGTATTTTTGTAATTATTTTTTTTCTCTATACGATAATGCCCAGTAATCTTAATTGTATCTTTGTAATTTTTTTTTTCTCTTCTAATTATGGATGACATTTGCGCCCATTTCCGATTTCATATTTTTAAAATATTATTAATCTCTCACTTTTGGAATGTCGCCCCGTGGATCGCATGGGGAAAATACTCATTTTTCTAACTTAAAAAGGATAATTGTAATTTGTAACCCTAATTCTCAAATACAGTAAAACCTCGATAAATTAATAACATCGGTTAAATAATAGTTTTTTCTAGTTTCGACTCGGTAAAAATCTACTAAATTATTAGTTCGGTAATTGAATATTTTGCTAATGTAATAGAATTTTGCTAGCCCGACGGTATTTATTTATAGAGGTTTAACTGTATTCAATACATTTTTTTGATTATATTGATTTATTCTCAAACGAGGCCCAATTAGATGAATTTGTCTGCGTACAATAGTCCAACTATGGGCCCAAATATCTTCGTTCGGCCCATTATGAACCTTCCTGCAAAATCATCTTATAAATTACGAGGGTTTTTGCGATTTTCCCGCAAAATCTCCAGCTTCCCCTGTGCTGCTGTGCATGTATAGATACACAATTTTATATATACATATATATCACTTCCCCTTCCCCCTTTCTTCGCTTCCTAGGGTTTTGAAAAAAAAAATGGATAGATACATAATAAAGGTGAGCAATCCGAAGCCTGAATCTCCCGTCAACGAGAATGAAATCCGTATTACTTCTCAGGGGTTGCTCCGTAATTACATCACCTACGCCATCACCCTTCTTCAGGTACCCCCCACCCCCACCCCCACCCCTTTTCTCCTGGCTGTGATGTTGTATTTGATCGTTTTACTGTTGATTTATAATGATTGTGCGCGATACTATTTGATCGTTTGATTTTTTGTTTTATTTTTCTCCGCCAGCTGTTTGATTAAATACACTATAGTAAAGATCGTGTCAAAATTGATGAACATTGTTTGGGTATCTGGATTTTTAGGGTTTCCTGATTTACTAATTAATGGAACTGTATGTAAGATGTGAAAAATGTATAGATTTCTCAATCAATTTTTCATGAGATTTATGTCTACATTAATGGCTTTCTCTATTGTAAACTTTGTTCCATTTATTTTATGCATTTGGGATTTTGCAGCAGTCACTAATTTCTTCCTCAGGAGAGACAGGTAAACGAGATTGTATTGAAAGCAACGGGCCAGGCGATAAGCAAGACCGTAGCTATGGCAGAAATCTTAAAGGTACTTTCGTAACTAGTAAGAGCCCATTCATACTTTTTTTTTTCTTCTTGTTTTAATTAATTTAAATATCGTATGAAAGAATTGGTGTTTCGTTTGTTTTTTTGGAATAGAGAAGAATCCCCCAACTTCATCAGTACATTACAACCAGTTCGGTGAAGATAACCGACACCTTTGAACCAATCGAAGAGGGCCTTCAAACGTAAGTTCATCACAATCTTGCACCTTTAATTTAATTACCCTGTATGTGAATCGTGATTCTCTAACACTAATTATAAATATCTAGTACAGTCTGGATCAAACTCGCCATGTCCCGATGATTTCAATCACCCTGTCTATGGAAGAGCTTAACCTTAACAAGAATTCCCCTGGGTAAAATTCCCTCTGCTTCGTTGCGTTCGTCTTAGTTACTCATAGATTTGTGTGTTCTGAAATTAGTATATTTATGTTGTTGAATTAGCTCTCAATCTCCATCTCAAGTGGACCAAACTAAGCAGCAAAACAATTATCGGAGGCAGCATTACAATTATCCGCCACCGCACGAACAGCTACCTCCTAGACACGAATGTGAGATGTACGACTCTAGTAATGGAGGTAAAAAAAAGAAAAGAGAGTTACTTGTGGTTTATAATTTGTGTGGCCAAATGTTTCATTAAGTCTCGTCTATTTGCTTCCGACTCCAATATCGATGTTTTTGACAATATGTGGAGCTTTTGACTAGTAGATTTAACCATGGTTTATTTAATAGGTGTTGGATATGGAAGAGGTATAGGTGGAGTTACTAGAGCAGGCTATAGCAGAGGCCGTGGAAGGATGGGCAGCCGCCCGAGGGGTGGCGGCTGAGTATAGTCGGAAGTCGGTTTTGTTGTTTGCTTTGTGCAGGCTTCAGTACTTGCACAATAGTTAAGATGGTTTTCAATTGTGGCTTATTTAACAAGGGTGCTCTGTTTCAGGTATTTGTCTTTCATTATGAGGCAATAGCAATAGCAATAGCAACCATTTTCTGACTTCTAAGTTTCATTTATTATAGATTATTTACACATAAATATACTCCCTCTATTTTATTTAAACTGACGTTTCTTTAAGTTGCTACACATATTAAGAAAGTTTATAAATAGGAATACAAAAATAAAAAACATAATTTAAGACTTGAATACTAACTAGTTCCATATAACCCAAATTCATAATCCAAATGTATATGTCTTGTATGAAGGCCAGGTTCAATCTGTTTGTGTTGGTGTCTATCTGTGTGCGTAGTGAGTGGCATACCATGAATGGTTAAGTTGAGCTGGGAAAATAATATTTTTTAGCTCATAAAACTGACTTATTATTTTAAACTAAGTTTTTATAATTATTAAAAAAAAAAGTCAAATACTTTCCAAAATTATAAATTTTTATAAATAAAATAATAAACGCAAATCATACAAGAGAGGTAATGCACACTAGGCTAACCATGCGTGACAAACTCGATCTAGTGACCGTATTCAAACTTGAGTCAATTGACGCAATTCACTTGCTCCAACCGCTAGGTTGTGCTGGAATTTAGAATTTTACGACCAAATATTATAATATTATTTAATATTATTCCCAAGTATAACTTTTATTTTCATGTACTATAACTAAATAAATATTTTCTTCTTTCCGGAATAAATGCCTAAAAATTTATTCTTGTTCAGATAACCAATTTGCCTATTTTAAGTTTTTAACAGATGAACGACTAAAAAGTAAAAACTAAAATTACCGATCGAACTCCGAATCTTCAGGACGGTAAAAAGGAACTGACACGTGTCAGCCAGCAAATCAGTTTGGTATTGGTTCTGGACTTCTGGCCCTTGGACAAAACTGAGATTTGTTATCCAAGAATGAACCTGGACGTGCTTTGGTCCACATTCATTTCTCTCTCTCCATAACCGAGTGCACGCTGAATATGTATGTATGCATATAACTCGGTGGCTACTTTTCTCCATCTTAATCTGCATCTGCTTTCAGCTAGATTCCAGCCATCCCCAGCTACACAGTTTATACATAATACACATACACATACACATACACATACATATACATATACATATATATTTAGAGAGAGAAAGAGAGAGAGAGGAGAGAGAGAAAAGTAAAAAATGGAAAGTGGGATGAAGAAGAAGAAAGAAAACGAAATGTTTCATGTAATTCACAAGGTTCCTTCTGGTGATGGTCCTTATGTTCGTGCCAAACATGCTCAGGTACTTCAATTTTGCTCCTCCCTTTTTTTTTTTTTTTTTTTTTTCTTTTTGCTTGCAATTTGTGCTAAAGTTCATCTGATTCTACAGCTGTGTTAGACTTCTATTTATGATGCTGAAGCTTAAATAATGATCCTTTTTTTTTTAATCCTGTTAATTAGTTGATTAAATTTATTTAAGAATTTAGAGGTTGTATTAATTAATTTATATATAAGAGCTAGGTGTTTGATTAATAAGTTTTAAAATGAAAAAAATCTGCACTGCATTTAGTTTACCCTAGAATAAACACTTTGCTTATGAACTGTAATTGGAAAAATCTGGATCGTTTATTGCATAATTTATTTTTTCTAATACCAAATTCTGTTTTATCGAGTCAAGTGGATATACATGTACACACACACACACACACACACACACACACACACTAATGACATGACATCATTATCTCAAACACTTTCATGCTACATAATATGTATATTGATTGCATCATTAAGGTAAGCAATACTGTAATTGGAATGCGGGAAATACGATTAGGCGTCTTTCGGTTTGAAGGATCATCAGAAATTATTTATCGGCTTTAAATCAATTTTTTAGCTCTCACTTTTTTTTTTTCCTGAATTTGAAACTTATAAAGAGTCATTTGAAATACAAATTGTGAGGTTGTGACTTTGTTAAGAGCACAGACAAATTATGTGCTCCAACTGTTTTGAATTTTGTTTCACATTTTCGGTTGTTGGACCTACTTTCGCCCGTAATTTCGTCAACTTCCTATTCGTAACCACCATATATTGTTTCTATAGATCTTCAAACAATGAAGTGGCAGCCATTGTAGCTTTAAGAATAGTTATAAAAAACTGGATCTTAAGTAATGATGGGCGGCCAAATCATCGATCTAATTAATACGATCAATTTGGTGTAACCTTGTTATATAAAACTTTGCAGCTACTTCAATTTATTAAATAAAAATTTGGTGTAACCTTGTAAACATTCTTTAGTTTTGACTTTTTTATTTCGTAATCAGCTAGTTGAGAAGGATCCGGAGGCGGCAATTGTGTGGTTTTGGAAAGCTATAAACACAGGAGATAGAGTTGACAGTGCACTTAAAGATATGGCTGTGGTTATGAAGCAACTCGATAGAGCTGAAGAAGCCATTGAAGCTATCAAGTCTTTCCGATTCCTTTGCCCTAGGAATTCCCAAGAATCGCTCGATAATGTTCTCTTCGACTTGTACAAGGTATATATATATATAAATTTATACGGATATGTAGTTAGTTTGTATTTTTTCTATGTTGGTGTTGTGACGAATAATTTGAGGTATACTAATTGCAGAAATGTGGAAAAGTTGATGAACAAATATTGCTGCTCAAGCACAAGCTCAAATTGATTTACTTAGGCGAGGCTTTCAACGGAAAACCCACTAAAACCGCTCGCTCTCACGGCAAGAAGTTTCAGGTTTCTGTCAAACAAGAAACTTCTAGAATACTGGTAATAATACGAACTTCGATATATATATATATATATATATATATATATATATATATATATATATATATATATATATATATATATATATATATATATATATATATATATATATATATATATATATATATATATATATATATATATATATATATATATATATATATATATATATATATATATATATATATATATATATATATATATATATCTGTCACCTTAGAGAAATATTTTTGCTCCATTAAATTCTTTTTTTCATGTTTTACCCCCACTTATTCAACTCTTAAGTATTAACCCTCTCTTATGACATAAAGGTTATTTTAGTTTTTTTTTACGTGTTTTTCGTAGAATCGAGGCACATATGTTTTGAGATTTTTAATACTTGTGCAAAGGTGAATAACGACACTTATTAAAGAGAACGGAGGGGGTATATTTCAAGACATTCTCATTGTAAGCAAAGACTTAATAATTTGGTGAAACTGATGATTATGTTCTCTATCTCAGGGAAACTTGGCTTGGGCTTACATGCAGAAATCGAATTTCGTGGCGGCAGAAGTTGTGTACAGTAAAGCACAAATGATTGACCCCGATGCAAACAAGGCCTTGAACTTATGCCATTGCCTTATCAAACAATCTCGATTTGAAGAGGCTAATTTGGTTCTTCGAGATGTGCTGCAGTACAATCTTCCTGGTTCTGATGACTTCAAATCGAGAAACCGAGCATTTGAATTGTCGCTGGAATTGGATCAAACGAATCGACACGACCCGTTTCCGTTGAATATTCCGGGTCTGTGTTTTGAGGATGATTTTACGGAAGCGCTCGATCGTGTGATGAATGAATGGGCACCTACAAGATCAAGAAGGCTGCCTATTTTCGAAGAAATTTCTCAGTTTAGAAATCAATTAGCTTGTTGAATTTTGAATGTTGATAATATAGTGAATAATGGTCCTAATGAGGCCAGCAGTTCTGTAGTTCTGTATATACTGATGTAAAATTGGGATCTGAAGTTTGGTGAAGTGAGTAAAATACACGTGTTTTGAATTCATGGGTTTTCAAGTTACACTAGAACCTCGATAAATTAATAACCTCATTTTTTCTTGGTCCGGACTCGGTGAAAATGTTTTAAATACTCGATAATTAAATAATTCGTTAATTTAATATTATTTTTTTAATTCCGATTGTATTAATATAAAGAGGTTTAATTGTAATTACAATTTATACCATGCATATATATATTTGTATATTTGGGCAAACAATAATTTAACAATTCTGACTGCGCGCAGTGCTGAGTGGTCTGTCATTAAACAACCAAAGCAGCCTTCGCTTTTTATAACCCCAAGAATCCAAACATTACTAAATTCCCAAGGATATTAAACCCTCATGGACCAAAACACAAACAAAAAGGACCAAGAAATAATTAAACGAAAATACAATATATATATAGCTCAGTCCTCACCGATTCTCACTGATTCGCTGATTAATATCAGGTATAATTTGTATTTTCTCAATCTGAATTCTGCAAATATCTTCGATTCGATGGCGAGCAAAGATCCGTTGATAATCAGAGGTAAAGATGAAATGAGAGAGTGGTCGAGATCCGCCAGAGCAGAAGGAAAGACCATCGGCTTCGTTCCGACGATGGGGTTTCTTCACGACGGCCATCTTTCTCTGATCAATGAATCTAAAAAACACGCAGATCTCACCGTTGTCTCGATTTATGTAAATCCAGGCCAATTTTCACCCAACGAGGATCTCTCCACTTACCCGTCGGATTTTGACGGCGATATTCAGAAATTGAAGAGCGTTAGTGGCAGCGGCGTCGACGTCGTTTTCCACCCCCAAAATCTGTACGATTACGGGCAGAATGGTGGCCGGAGAAATGGCGGCGGCGGAGAAGAGGGGAAGGTGGTTTCATGTGTGGAAATTAATGGTGGGATGGGTCATGAGACGTGGGTGAGAGTTGAGAGATTGGAGAAGGGTTTGTGTGGGAATAGTCGACCTGTTTTCTTCAGAGGGGTGGCCACCATTGTTGCGAAGCTGTTCAATATTGTTGAGCCTGATGTTGCTGTGTTTGGGAAGAAGGATTATCAGCAATTGAGGATTATTAAAAGGATGGTAAGTAAGAACTAATCTTTTCCATTTTCTCTGCTTTAGGAGTTCCAAATTTTTTTATTTTTTTTTTTTGATTTGTGGTTATTTTAATCCACTGATTTAGATGATCAATAGGAAGGAAAATATACAAGCTGTGGGAAAATGCCAGTGTTGTAATATCGAAAAACTTGCTACTTTGAAATTAGATGAAGAGAAAGGAGTTATGTCGATGCACTCAATTAGTTCGATTTTTTCTTGACCTTGTCTGGATGATTGCCTTTTCAGGTTCGAGATCTCGATTTTGGGATAAATGTGATTGGTGCAGATTTAATTCGTGATGAAGATGGCCTTGCAAAGAGTTCGCGTAATGTGCACTTGTCTCCCCAGGAAAGGGAGAAGGTATTTTCATTCTCTTTTTTTCCCCGGAATATTGAGATCGAGTAGATGTTCATTGTCTAGTTAGTTGCATATATAATCTTCAAAAAAATAAAAAAAAGAGAGAGAGAGAGAGAGAGAGAGAGAGAGAGAGAGAGAGAGAGAGAGAGAGAGAGAGAGAGAAGGGAGAATTCGATTAAACTAAATGTTGTTATTTTGCAGGCATTGTCTATAAGTAAGTCGCTGTTGAATGCGAAATTTGCAGCAGAAAAGGGTCAGTTAAATTGCAAAGAGTTGAGAGATTCTGTTATCCAGGCCATACAAGAAGCTGGTGGAAAAGTTGATTATGCAGAGGTGAGGCCTATGTATTTCCAAGTATTCCGGTTTCTTTCTCCTTAATAAAGCAACGTTTCAAATAAGCAACATGGAATTTCTCGAGTTTTCTTTATTTATTATGCTCTATTATTTTATGCAACAAATTCTCAAATTCTTTTTTATGTTCATGCGACAGATTGTAGACCAGGAAAGTTTGGAATCACTGAAAGAGATTACTAGTCCTGCTGTGTTCTGTGTTGCTGCAATTTTTGGAAATGTCCGCCTCCTCGACAATATGGAAATCAACGCTTGACGGAATGGCTAAAAACATATGAATACTAACTACAACTGGTTTACCAACCATAAAAAATGATCCTACAACACTCATTTCACATATACAAAAATGGGAAGCTCGTGAGAATTTTACTCGGAAAAGTCTTGAGCAGCGACCAATATCATACTAGATTTATGTCGTAGAGTTGAATATGTAATATCTGACTCTACAGATCAGGAAAGTTTAAACCTGCATTACCATTTGAATATAATTCGATTTTTATTTATATTCAACACTTGGATGCACTTTTTTATTTGGTTATTTATCTACCATTTAACATTTAAATTATAAGTTGACACGCATATTCAGAGGATTCAAATAACTATACTATACAAGCATAATAGCAGTCTCACCACGGAAATACGGATTACAGTAGGTAGGGCGAAAAAGAGTCGGCCAAAAAATTTCATAGGAAAAACAAAAGCTACTAATCAAAGTTCAAAAGAAACATGATTTTTGTCCTGGAACAGCAAACACGCGCTAGTGACATTTGAATCCACCACATACTGATAAAACAATGATAAGGATCAAGGCAACTATAATACCAAGGACAATCAGCTTTATCTTCATATTCTGCAACCACATCTTTCTCCTCATCTGTGTTCCTTGTGTCCTAAAATCTTGTGCCTGCAGCAGCACATATTCTAAACTTCAGAAAACGCAAGCAAGAATTCGATAAATTGAATATGTAACACTGCAACGGGAATTTATCCGCAAGTAACCAACCGGAAAAAATAGAAACAAAAAAAAACAAGTCGAAAACCCAGTCCATGGAGAAAATGTTAAATGAAGACAGTATAATATGAAAATGACTAGAGCTGTTGATGAATAAGGAAATCATAAGAGGTCAAACAGATGAACTTCAGCTCTAGCAACAATTATAACAATTCCATTTATTTCAATGACATTTCAATGCATAAGGAGCCCTAATATTAGCCAATATGCCTAAAATCTGAAATTCAAAACCAATATGAGCAAGGATGCACCCTGCTGGACATAAATTATCTTCTTTAAATAGAAAATACAACACGCAACTACAAACCTGAGAGCGAAGATTCTCAGTTTTATCCACCAGAAGCTCAATTTTCTCTCCACGATCAAGAACCTGCAAGGACAAAAGCTTGATGCTAAAATCCATACCATTTCAATGACATTTTTTTCTTTTTTTTTGGGGGGGGGGGGGGGGGGGTCAAAATTCAAAGACGGTTGACAGCATAAAATGAAAATGGACAACTTAAAAAGAACATTAATTGAATTTTTGAAATTGATTTACCTTTTCAATGTTTTCCATCATAACTCCTTTGACTTCTGAAACCTGAGCTTTTACTTTGGAAAGCTTGCTAATCTCCTCAGGATGATCCACACAGTATTGCATTTGTTCCTTCAATTTGGGCCTAAGTTGCAGAAATTGTGCCACAAATATCACAAACTATGAACTTTTGAAGTGGATAACTAAAGGGGGGAACAAAAAAAGCAAAACTGACAGACAAAATTACCCAAATTCTTTATTCAGGCTGTTGGCAACAGCGGTAGCAGCCTTCCCCCCACCATATTTCTTTGTAAAATCTTCCTTTATTCGCTCAAGATAGGCAATAGGAATTTGTCTTCCAACAGATTCAACAGCCACAACACAATAAGCTGTTAATTGAAAATAGAAACCATTAATCCACTAAACAAGGTTGAGGGAAAGAGGGTGAATCATATAACGAATACCACACAAGCAAGAGAGGATCCATACACCCTATATTAGTAGCAAACTGTGCATACCCAGAGCACCTCCTAATAAAAGAACAAGTAGTTCCTCAAATCAAGTAACTACCAATTTATTCTTGAAGACACAAGTCCAAACCCTCTACTATTCGCTAAAATATATACTAAATACAGAAGAATCTTAGTAACAATGTTACACAGGACTCTCATACGCAGTTTATGCTAATAAAGCAGACATAATGCCTCAGAACTCTATGAGGATTAGAGCAATGGAAATCATTGCTCAAGTTAAATAAATAATAAAAAAACCACCCTACCTAACAATCATAAGCAAATCCCAAATAAGTGGCTAATGCAAATGTTCCTTTAATTAACGCAATATATAATTAACTTAATAATAATCACATAGGCAGGTATAAAATTAAATGCCAACTATGAGGATTGAGAACAAACATCAGGGATGAACAATTCATGCAAAGTAAAATGTGGATTCAAAATGTTGTGTTATAATAACTATTATCACAAATACTAATTAGAACGATTCAATTCAACAGGAGTATCCATAAAAATCATTTTGGCTTTAGTAACCGCACTCCTCATAACTAAAATACTTCTGTAATTAAAACAATTCCACACATAAACAGGTCAGCCCAATCTAGAGTAAGGAACTCATTTGCATAAGTTCAAATACTCTCATCTGCTCATATCTTCCAGTCTCGAGATTCTGCTCATTTCATCAGGATTCATCAAGAGGTACAAGTGTACAACGAGATCATACTCTAAAATTAACCGACCCGCGCATACTAAAAGTTAATTCAGAATTTAATTTCATCAATAGAAGTTACTCGCATTCAACTAAATCTAACCTCTTCACAACGAAGAAACCCTAAAATCCGATCCCAAACCTCTAAACCCCGACATCAAACAGAAGTAATATGCAGTGAAGAACCTATAATCAAAACACTCGGATCGGAAGAAATGAATCAAAATGAAAGGACAAACAGATCAGAGAGGGCGGCTCCACTTACTAAATCCATCCTCGACAAGGTAATTGAAGGTGTGGCCGTCGCAATTGTAGGTGAACTTGTTATTGGTGGCGGGGAGTTTCTGGAGGCACTGCGCGGCGATTCCGGTGAAATTCCCGGTGAACTCTGTGTATTCCGACAGGATCACCGTCCCACGGGCTACGAAGCTGTAGATCAACGACTGCTGCCCCATTTCTACACCTCCTTCTCTCTCCTATAAACCCTAGACCAAATATGTGTGTGTGTATATGTATCCTACAAATGTGCGTATAGCACCGGAGACTGTAGAGAGAGAAAGTGGGATAACGAGGAAAGAGGAAAAGAGGGGATTCTAGAGAGAGAAAGAGGGATACATTTGAGAGGGGAAGCGTCAATCGTGATGATCAGCGTTATAACTTTCTTTTTTGTGTGCAGACGCTTAGAGGGGAAGGCTTTGCAGTGAGTTGTTAAACTACCCTTGTAGAGAAATGAAATTACGGGATTGCCATCAGCTACGGCTTGCTTTTCAAATATTCCGTGTTCAAATTCAAATTTTTTTTGAACTTTGCTGACAAAAATGTTTCATCTCTTTTTCTTTTTTATTTACTTTTCCCACTCTCCATTCTATGATGAAAGAGAGTTGAAAGTAGTGAATTTTTGTTTGAAAAATCTCAATTATTCGATTTATTTGATTACCAAAATAATTTTCTATTGCAATATTATTGGGTTGTTTTCAGTGGGCCGAAAATCAACTCATCTACAACTAAGGTGGTGTTTGCAAATGCTTTTTGAAAGTGATTATGCGGTTTTTTTTTCTCATAATCTGTTCTAAGGTGTTTGCAAAATCAACTTTTACTTTTACTTCTCTTAAAATAATCTGCTTTAAGCTATTTTTTTAAAAGCACCCATAACCCTGCTTTTTCAATTTTAGTTCATTTTCCGAAATATTTGCAAACACCCCCAACTTTTAGAAATAAGCACTTAAAACTAACTTAAATCACAATCACTAACTTCTGCTTTTAAATAATCATTTGCAAACACCACCTAAATAAGTTAATGGGTCAATCATATTAGTTTAAGGTCATAAGTTCATTAAATTTCGTTTATACATGTCTTTTTATATGGATGCGCATCTATCGATGATCACTAGCTCGCGTGCAGTGACACTTAGTGTTTATGTTTTCTTAACTTTGATGTGATCGTTGTCAAAATTTAGCTTGAATTTGACATACTCGGCTGATGTCAACGACCTACATAAGCGCAAACGGTTAAATGAATAAAAAAAAAAGTAATATGGAATAATAAAGTTTGAAGAACTTTAATTGAGTCTAATATTAGTAAATTACATATATATAAATAAATTATTAAAAAAGAAAAAAGAAAAAAGAAAAAAGATTGGAGTGTGTTTGTGTGTGTGTATGCCGTAGAACCATTGATATAAATATAATACAATATTTCTTATTAAGAAAAAGAAAATAAAATATAACAATCCCCTTTAAATTTAGCCATGCAATAGGGGCCACAAGTTATATGGAAGGAAGAAAATGCTATAAAGATTAAGAGAGTAGTCATCTCTCCATTTGAATCCAAATCAAGATTTTTAGCCCACACAATAATAATAAATAGCAAAAAGGAAGAAAAAACAGAAAACTCAGTATAGAGAGAGAGAGAGAGAGAGAGAGAGAGAGAGAGAGAGAGGAAAAATGGTGACAGTAACACCACAGAACTCATCCTACTCATTATGTTCACGGCCATATCGTATTCCGTCGACAATTTACCGACAACATTGTTCTGTTGCTTACCCCCTATTTTCCTCGAGGAATCTCAATTCCGGATTGCAGAAATTTCCCAGAACCGTCAATTGCAGGCGCAACGGTAGTGCTGATTCCGGTACACATTCTTCTTCCTGTTCTTCTGTGTGTGTGTGTGTTTGTGAGAGAGTTTTTTTTTCAATTATGGTGCTTAGTTTGATAAATGTTTTCCAAATAAATTTTGCAGAGAATGAGAGCAGAGCAATTTTAGATGCATTTTTCTTGGGGAAGGCTGTTGCAGAAGCACTGAACGAGCGTATAGAATCATCAGTCGGCGAGTTTCTGAGCACTATTGGCAGATTGCAAGCTGAGCAACAAAAGCAAGTTCAAGAATTCCAGGTATACTTTTTCTCTTTATAACTTAAGCGATATTAATTCTAATTGAAGTGTTCTAGTTCAATCATTTAGTAGAGAAGATGGTTCCTTATCCTCTGATTATCGCTCTCTGCGGCAAAATAACAAACACCTTACAGGATGAGGTTTTGGAGAAGGCTAGACGAGCCAAAGAGCAAGCCGCGCGCGAAGCTATGGAAGCAAAGGGACTAATTCCAAAGGCTAGTACCTTTGCTCCGATACCACCGGTGAACGAGGTTGCCTCAAAATCAGCATCAGCCGTAGATTCTTCAATCGACGCTTCAATCTCAACCATTGAATCTTCGCCTACCACTGAACAAGACCCTCCAAAAGAGGACTGATAATAAGTTCAGTGGCTGAATTTCTTTTTTTTTTTTCCTACTCATAGTCGGATAGTCTATTATTACTCGAAACATATTGCCTTCAAAAATAAATTACATTGTCAATAATCAAGAAATATTGAATTCCAAAGACAAATTTTCACTAACAAAATTCCATTTTTTTTGGGATGGAGTATTGATGATTCGACTACTCCAAATCGGTATGCATACTGGTATGTATATTTCATATTTTTACTCATCCAACTCTACTCCAGAAGGCAGCTCAAATCTATTTTTATTGCTCTTTTCCGCCACGTCATCATTATTGCGAACATCCATGTCACAATCGTCTGTCAGATCATCAACCTTAAAATCATCGTCCATTGCGACAGGTCGATTTTCCCTTTTGAGCCTTTTCTTGCTCGCTTTTCTCAACTTGGTGTTTAGCATACCTTCTTCACCATACAGCTTCACATTTTGCCTTCTACTGCTATTGCTAAGTTTCTCCTCTTCCAACACAGTAGCATTATCCTCTTCATCAGATTCCATGGGCTGGTCACCGTTGCCTTCACTCGTAGACTGAATCTGCCCATCACCCTGTAGAATCAAAAATCAACATTTACGTATATTTTTTTTGAGATGCCGCATAAATTAAAATCGCAAATGAATAAAAAGATGTAAAGAAACCACAAACCTCAAGCATCATGTCGAAATTTAACTGAGGGTCTGAAGGTACTTCAACTGGATTGAAATCATTGACGGATTTCAAACTGCCAATAAATGAAGATTCTTCACCGTAAACTTCGTCAGCGTTGAATTCCTTCCCCAGTTTGGAGATAATCTTTGCCTCAGAAGGCTCCTCTGCATTTCTAGTTGGAGGCATGGTGTAATACGGGATTTTACCTGCAATCGGGAAAAAAAGCAAATCATATCAATTTATATATGCTGTATTAATAGTTTAACAATCCTACTCCCTCCCTTTTGTTTGCATTCACAATTACGACGTAGTTGACAACCTTTGCTTGGTTTATCGACAACATATCTAAATAATAGATTTTAAAAAGATTTTTCATAAAAATATAGACTGCATTTGATTTGATGCAAAACAATACCTTCATTCCAGTCATGCAAAACAATTTTGGCCGCAGCATCCACGTCTATAATGCCACCCTTTTTAAGCTTTCCTCTAACAGTAGCAACCTTCTGAAGAAAGTCATCAACAGAACTAAAACTCGAGATTTTGTATATTGTCAACAATACTTTCTCCGGACAAAGCTTGAGAATTTGTTTAACTGCACAGTTAAACACAGCAATTAAACATTAACAATCCAAATTAGACACTCGATGTAAATGTCTAACGAGGATGGCAAAACCAATCTCACCAGGACCAACTAGATCGTCTAATTTCTCAATTCTCTTGCAGTTGCGAAGAGCAATAGAGGAATCACTTTCTGCAGACTTAAGCATCACGACTCCAGGGCAATCCAGTAATTTCACATTTTTATCCAGCTGGACTTCTTGCATAGATCTCGTCAGCCCGGGAGTAGCACCAACATTGACAACATGAGATCTTTTCAAACTATTAATCAGACTACTTTTGCCAACATTAGGCAGCCCAATAACACCCACAGTAATAGATCTTTTTATCTGCACAAACGATCGGAGTTAATAGTAGACCATTAAAAGGACTCGTTAAAACAGAGCAAAACTGATAAAAAAATATATACAGAGAGAGAGAGAGAGAGTTAACAACACACATACATCGTGACTTCTGGAATAGTTTTTCAGCAATTTGATAAGAGTTTCAGCCCCAAGACAGTCACTTGTTAACAGAAGACTGCTTGCCTTGCCCGTTTTCCCAGATTTGGGGGCTGATTTCCATCCAAGGTTAGATTTCTGTTCTTGGGTGCTGCACTTAAATGCAACTGCTGGTAATTCCTCTCTAAGATACTTGAGCCACTTTTCTGCAGCTTCACGAGGGACAAGATCTGTTGTATGTATACACAGCCATGGTTGTTAATATCGTTTATTACAACAAAAACTCGTAAACACTTAAGATTTAGGAATACAGACATACACCACAAAGACAGTGCAGTTCCATAAATATGAAGCTCGTATATAGTTACGGTTGAAAATAGTGGTTGGAATTCCGCTAGCGTAATATTAACTCATAATTGAAGATTATTATAAGCTTGTATAAGAGGTAAACAAGCATACCGATTTTATTGAGAAGCAGAACAAGATGCTTATCGTGCCCTGCTTTCATAACCATCTTTTCCATGTCGACGCAGCGAGTACCCAAGGGGTCTCGAGCATCAAGAACTTCCAGAATTACATCGGAAGCGTCAATCACCTTGACCAACTCCTTGTAAAAAGTCCTCTCTGAGTGGTCTGTAGCAAATTTAAGACACATAAATCTAAGAACATCAAAAATATAAAAAAAACCTTCATAACGAAGGAAAAGTTGACATTCATCTTTTACATACCCCGATTTCTAGTGACTATCTCTTCTCCAGCAGGATTACGTTCATCATCCTCCAAAACCCCCAATTTTCTCTTTGGAGCCTAGATAAGAAATAGAGTTGAGTACTCAAACACATTATAAGAATAGAAATTGTCTACACAATATTAATCGTATAAATAAAAATATTCCTAATTTAACTAAATCAGTAGCCGGCATCACCAAAATCATAAGTTTCAGTAAATTTTGTTACAGATGTGATGCACAAAATTCATAATCGGAAAAAACATTTCCATTATTTAAATCTAACGTAACATCACCGTTAATGAAGCAAACGAGATCCTACATTACCTCCAAGCAAACAGATTGCAAAGGATAAGTACCACAAATCTCTGGGTTAATAGAGCTATCAAAAATCCTAAATTTCCATCTCTAATACCAAACCAGTTGCCAAGTGCTAATAATATATCATCAATTTTGAGCTCAGTTGAAAAATGAACCAACTAATTACGAACAATTATCGAACTTCTCACCAGAAAATACAATTAAAAAAAATATTCGTGGAAATGAAATTGAAAAATTGGGTGATGAAAAAATATGAACCCACACAGAAGAGATTTATACCCTCTCAATACGGGCGGATTTCTGCTCCTCCGCCGCGTGGATTTTGTGCTGCCGCCGGGCCTCGAGGGCCTTGAGCTCCTGTTCATTGAAGGGCGAATCGTTGGACGCGCCGGAATCCTTGTCGATTTTATGCTTCCGATTGATGCCCAATTTGTTGGCTTCCTTGGCCTTCTTCTTGTGGTGTTCCTTCACCTTCTTCAATACCTTGCTCTTCCTCTTCAACGAAATCCTCCTGCTCGTGTTCTCTGTCCAATATATATACCCACACAAAATTAATTTAAAAAAAAAAAAAGACGCAATAAAAATTTCGACAGAAATTTGAATAGTGAACTATAATTGAAGTATAAGAAGAATGCCGCCGTACTTCTGCCTCCCTTCACCATGTTCACGTTCGAGTGGGAGAAAGAACAAGTTTTTTTTTTAGCAGGAGAGGGTTTTAGGTAATTTATTAGGGTTTTGTTTGGTGGAATAGAGAAATTGGAATTTTAATTTGATAAGCAAAAAAATGAAAAAAAAAATATTGGGGTGAGAGAGGCTCGAACTCTCGACCTCAGGATTACTCTTAAGCTATGAGACCTACGCGCTAGCCAACTGCGCCACCACCCCTTGATGTTATCTGCAATTGTAGCAAGCTATTTCATTATATCTTACTGTTTCTTTTGATCACTTTAAGAATTTGAATGTTGTGGCTGCAAATAATTGAAATTATTTAGTATCATTAAAATTAATTACATAAAAATAAAATTGAAAATTGTATATTGGGCTAGCTTTAAGTGTTAAGGTGAAGATATAATGGGGCTGTTTCCACAATTTGATGGGCCGAAAGATATTATAAACCGGAAGGGGCAATAGTTGCTTGAAAATGAAAGTTTATTGATAATTGTCACAATTGAGACTTAATTGTAATTATGCATGCGTCTAAGTAACTTTGAGAATTAAATTTCTTATGAAAGAATTTTATTTAATTTTGTGCGGAAAACCTTAATCACAGAATCTTGAAATCAAATTCATCTTAAGAATATAATCACGTAAAATAGATTGTTGACATACCGTTCGCCATGGATTCCGATAGAGACGATGAACGATAGCAATCTACAAGCTGAGCCTAGCCAGGCCTCCTTCGAATCTCCTTGAGAATTTTATTCGTAGCACACCTTCTTCTCTCTATCTCTCTAATATCACAACTCACTAAGTTTTCTGTAAGTGATGGAATTCTCAATTGTGTCTGATCAATGAGGAGAAGAGCTGTGGATTTCTTTTATAGACGAGAGAAGAGGGCCACGATTGATTTGTAACGGCAGAAGACAAATCCCACCCATCATGGTCTTTTATTGCCTTTAACGTTACAAATCAATTACCATAAAATCACCTTAATACCATGATTTGAATTACCCACAATTTAATTAATTAAAATAAAGATTAGTGGACCAAAATTTAAAACGTTTTAAAACGTAAAACTAACATTCTCCCACTTGGTCCACTGAATCGATTTAAGAAAAATAAGTTTAAAAAAAATATTTGACTCGGTGGGTTCTTCATACAAAACATTTGACACGTGATCACGATTTTTTAAAAGAAAATTAAGGTGATTACCATAATAGGTAAATAGAGTCCTTTAATACTAGAACTAGTTTGAGTTATTAATGTGAATCATAGCGGTTATATGATTCATTTATCATATTCCCTTCTATGTATCACGCCACTAATAACCCTTACTGTTCTAATCCATAATAGCCCCTTTAATTTTGTCTTGTTAGGACAAACCCTGTTAAATCCAAATATAATATGTGCACACATAATTGGAAACAGGAAAACAGAAACATTTCATTAAATAAATTAAGTGTCAATTACATAATCATAACTCATCAAATCATAGATTGCTCAAAAGACCCATTCTAATAACATGTTCCTCATATGTCTTTATAGGCAATCCCTTGGTTAATGGATCAGCAACCATAAGAGTTGTACTTAAATTTTCTATTGACACTTGTTGTTTCTGGACTCTTTCTTTAACAACCAAGTACTTAAGATCCATGTGCTTGGATCCACTTAAATACTTTCCATTCTTAGAGAAGAAAACGGCTGCGGTGTTATCACAATATATCTTCAAAGGCTTAGCAATTGAGTCAACAGCCTTAAGCCCTAAGATAAAATTTCGCAACCACAGTGCATGACTCGAGGCCTCAAAACATGCTACAAACTCAGCCTCCATTGTGGAAGAAGCAATAATACTTTGCTTTACACTCTTCCACGAGATTGCTCCACCGGCTAGTAGAAATACAAAGTCCGATGTGGACTTTCTACTATCTACACAACCAGCAAAATCGGAGTCTGAATAACCAATAACCTCCAATTGGTCCGATCTCCTATAAGTAAGCATGTAATCCTTTGTTCCTTGAAGATACCTCATAACCTTCTTTGCTGCTTTCCAATGATCTATTCCCGGATTACTTTGATATCTACCAAGTACTCCCACTGCATAACTAATATCTGGTCTAGTACACGTCTGTGCATACATCAAACTTCCAACTGCTGATGCATATGGAATCAATTTCATTTTCTCATTTTCCAAATAATTCTTTGGACATTGCTTTTCACTTAATTTATCACCTTTCGTGATAGGAGCATTAATGGCTGAACAAAACTGCATATTAAATCTTTCAAGAACTCGATTGATATATCCTTTCTGAGACAAGCCTAACAATCCTCGAGATCGATCTCTAAAGATCTATATCCCAATAACATAATTTGCCTCACCCATATCAACCATCTTAAAATTCTTGGAAAGATAATTCTTAGTTTCGTGAAGTAAGCCAAGATCGCTACTTGCTAGTAAAATATCATCCACATACAAGACTAAAAATATAAACTTGCTCCCACTGACCTTTAGATATATACACTGATCAACAGTGTTTTCCTTAAATCCAAAGGAAGTAATGGTAGCATTGAATTTTATATACCATTGTCTAGAAGCTTGTTTAAGTCCATATATGGATTTCTTTAATTTACAAGCCAAGTGTTCCTTTCCTTGTTTTGCAAATCCTTCAGGCTGGTCCATATAGATATCTTCATCTAAATCCCCATTCAGAAAAGCGGTTTTCACGTCCATTTGGTGCAACTCCAAATCATAATGAGCTACAAGAGCCATAACGATTCTAAGAGAGTCTTTCTTAGATACTGGAGAGAAAGTTTCTCTATAATCAATGCCTTGTTTTTTAGTGAAACCTTTGGCCACTAATCTGGCTTTAAATCTTTCGATATTGCCCTTAGAGTCACGTTTGGTCTTAAAGACCCATCTACAACCGACTTTCTTACTGTTCTTAGGCAATTCGACAAGATCCCAGACACCGTTATAGTCCATTGATTTCAACTCTTCATTCATAGCATCAATCCATTTACTAGAATCTTTACTTTTCATGGCTTGTGAATATGAAACTGGATCATTTTGAATACCAATATCAAAATCAGATTCTTGTAGATACACCACATAATCATCGGATATGGCAGATTTCCTTTCCCTTTGAGATTTCCTCAAAGCTACCGGTTGTGGTGGTTCTATAGTATTGCCAATAATAACATCTTCATGAAGTGGTGAATGGAGTGGCGAATCATTTGTTTCATCAACCTGCTGTATAGGTTGAAGAGTAACGTTATCTTGAGGGAAATAAGATGGTAAAATATCCACCCTAATTTCCTCAAGTTCTACCTTTCTTGATTCAAGACTCCCACTAACTTCACCATTCTCTAAGAATTTGGCGTTTCCAGTTTCAACTATCCTCGTAGTATGGTTAGGACAATAAAATCTGTACCCTTTTGACTTTAGTGGATAACCAATAAAATATCCAGAAATTGTTCTAGGGTCCAATTTCTTTTCATTTGGATTGTATATTCTAGCCTCTGTTGGACAACCCCAAACATGTAAATGTCTTAAGCTAGGTTTCCTACCAGTCCACAACTCGTAAGGAGTTGTTGGGACCGCCTTACTGGGAACCCGGTTTAAGATATACATAGCGGTTTTCAAGGCTTCATTCCAAAATGAAATGGGTACAGTTGAATTACTTAACATACTCCTAACCATATCCATGAGAGTACGATTACGACGTTCAGCAACTCCATTCTGCTGTGGTGTTCCAGGCATTGTGTATTGAGCACAAATACCACGCTTTTCTAAGAATTTAGCAAATGGGCCAGGATTTTGTCCCGACTCATCATATCTACCATAGTATTCCCCACCCCGATCTGATCGTATAACTTTAATTTTTCTATCTAATTGTCTTTCGACTTCCGTAACAAACACCTCAAGCATGTCAACGGCTTGAGATTTTCATGAATTAGATAGAGATAACCATAACGAGATAGATCATCAATAAAGGTGATAAAATACTTTTCTCCACTAAAACATGGAATAGGTAGTGAGCAGATATCTGTATGGATTAACTCAAGAAGCTCTTTACTTCTTGTGGCACCCCTTTTATTGTGTTTGGTTTGCTTACCCTTAATGCAATCAACACACATTTGAAAATCAGTAAAGTCTAGATTTTCCAAAATTCCAGTTTTTACCAATCTTTCGATTCTTTCCTTGGAGATGTGCCCCAAACGTTTATGCCACAAGATAGAAGAATTTTCGTTATTTAGGCTTCGCTTTAATCCAACTTCCGAATGAGTGGTTAATAATGATTGTTCAAACTCATGATTCAAAGATATTTTATATAAACTATCACATAAAATACCGGAACCAATTATTATTGAATTAAACATAAAACTGAGTTTTCCACAACCAATTTAAAGCTCATTCAAATTCCACTTATCTTTTTGAGTATTATAGTGGATTTTGAATGGGCCGAACTTTGATGGAAGTGAGTTAAGGATAAATTGTACAAGGAAGGACTCTTCCACCTTTATGCCAAGAGCTCCAAGTTTGGCAGCCTTATCCGTCATATTCAGAATGTGTTCCTGAATTCCCTTATCACCACCATATTTCATGGTAGTCAATTCAGCCATGAGTGTCCCTGCTAACGACTTGTTCGCTGATTTAAAGCGTTCTTTAATAGCAGTTAACAGTTCCATAGCATTGTCAACCTCGGGAAGGGAAGTCTTAATGTTATTAGCAACAGTCATTCTAATAAGCATAAGACTAAGCCTATTGGACTTGGTCCAGGCTTCAATTAGGCTAACTTCTTCCTCACTGTTAGCATCCGTTATTTCCCCAGGTTTTTCAGTAAGCAATGCTAGGTCCAAATCCATAACACCCAAGGTGAATTGAATTTGTTCATACCATTCGGAGAAATTTGACCCACTGAGAGTCTTAATACCAGAAGCATGCGAGTACAATGAAGTAGGAATAGCAACTGAAATAAATATAGCAAATATATATAAGGTAAAGATAAAAGGATGTCCACATAAGACCTTGAGTCAAATAAGATGAACTATCGATATCACTACAAGTTCGCCTTTGGGTGAAATACAGCATACCTATTGTTCACTCTATGTTGGTGTAAATGATCTTTTATAACACCTAAGTAGGGTCTAACATAATTTGTCTCACTCGTCAATTATTCATGTTACCTTTAGGTAAACAATTCTAATTGCTAAGTAATACAAATTATGATACCCTACCCAGTTCATAATTAATTAAAATCGACTATCCTTTGAGCTAGTCTCAATTTCTTAATTATGACTGCAATTTGAGAATATTATAATCTTTAATATCATGTAAATGATTAAACTTTCATATAGTTCTTATATTTATTAGATTTTACTAATCTAGGTCACTTTAGCAACTACAAGATTAGTAAATTTTATAAATATAAAACTAATAATATTCTCATTATTTTATTTGAGTCATCGAATATACACAAACATGTATTTACCACACACATATCACATGATGTACTATATTAAACCCATCAAAAACATACAAAATGAGTACTGACATATTGTATCACGCAGTTAAATATACAAAATTTCATGCATTCTGATATGTACTATATAATCATATAGCCGACTAATAAATTTTCAGAGTTGTGTATATTCTATTATTTTATGTGTACAGATGCATTATGTGTTCAATATCACATGTGTGTGCAGATAATGTCCAGTGTTTAATTGATACAACAAACTGCCATTGATTTTTCCATATATAGACAAACTTCGAAACACACAGATTGATATTATTATAAAATTAAATACACATATAATAATTAATTTTAATCAAGACTCACGTATACTAACAGGCCTATGCTATATTCGTTACCACAGTGGAACACAACTAATCAGTCGAATACAGGTATACAAAATTTATCGGTATTATCATAACACGTATATAAATCAAGATTGTGTTTTGCAGAAGACTACCCACAAATAATAATATCCAATTCGTCAAACAGATTATAAATATCAAAACACAAATACTAATCATAATCGCAATTGGATTTCATAAAACCGTATAATTAACATATAACATATTTGAGTTCTAAGATGAATCGATTTCAAAACCCTGCTCTGATACCAATTGAAAGACTTTTATTTAATTTTGTGCGGAAAACCTTAATCACAGAATCTTGAAATCAAATTCATCTTAAGAATATAATCACGTAAAATAGATTGTTGACATACCGTTCGCCATGGATTCCGATAGAGACGATGAACGATAGCAATCTACAAGCTGAGCCTAGCCAGGCCTCCTTCGAATCTCCTTGAGAATTTTATTCGTAGCACACCTTCTTCTCTCTATCTCTCTAATATCACAACTCACTAAGTTTTCTGTAAGTGATGGAATTCTCAATTGTGTCTGATCAATGAGGAGAAGAGCTGTGGATTTCTTTTATAGACGAGAGAAGAGGGCCACGATTGATTTGTAACGGCAGAAGACAAATCCCACCCATCATGGTCTTTTATTGCCTTTAACGTTACAAATCAATTACCATAAAATCACCTTAATACCATGATTTGAATTACCCACAATTTAATTAATTAAAATAAAGATTAGTGGACCAAAATTTAAAACGTTTTAAAACGTAAAACTAACATCTTATTAAAGTAAGAAAATATAAAGGTAATTAATCCATGCGTTATATGGGCTTGGTTAAATTGGTGTGAAAAGTGATGCATGGTGGGAAACATATCATATTGGGAAAATGACATGCAATAATATTATTTAAAAAAAAATCGATAATAACTATTCTTTAAAAAAGATAGCAAAAAGAAAAGTACCCATGCATTATTATAATTTCAGAAGATAACCCTACATATCTTTCCACCACATGATCGATATTAAAAAAAAAAAAAAAAAAGACATTGTGGATGACCAGAACTAATTAAACATGATTAGACTATAATTAATCAAATATTTGTCTGGCTTAATTTGTCTGATTATAATTATGGTACACAGCACAACAGTACGTTGATGAAAAGGTGATCATCATCATCGGCGAAATTATATATTGTTTGAAAAAAGGGGATTAATTAGCTAGGGAAGAAAATATAGGCATGATTATTGATTAATATTGGGTAGATGAAAAATCACTGTCAAATTAAAACATGAAACTGTACGTGTAGTTAGTAGTTACATCATCTTTCCATAATTCCATGCATGCATGCATGCCATCGTTCCTATAATTATTATTATATATTATCAAAGAAAGTTATGTATGTGTGTATATATATTATACATGTGGCCCTGTGGGTGTGTTAATTGTGGGGTTATGTGTATCTAATTTAGTGGGAGTGGAAACAATGGTGAATCCAGGGCAATCCTGTCATTTTTTTTTTGCCGATCAGATTTCTATTTTTTTTTTTAAATTAATAATTGCCAGCTAGCTACTTTTATCACTTTAATTTACACTGAAAAAAGTGGCATTCAGACCCATTGAACAATGTTTATTTTTATTTTTATTTTTATAATTATGTATATATGTTGATCAATTTATGCTTAATTACTATATAAAATAAAATAAAAAATATTAAAGAATAAATTATACTTCAGCATGTATATATACTACACGCACATCAGCACATGTATATGTGTGTGTGGGAAAAGAATATACCTGTAGAAATATTGCAGAAATATTTATGCTTTTAATTACAACTTACAAGCGATATATATTAATTATTCTGATGCCAAATAAAAACTTTTGCTTTATAATATATCAGTTCTGATATTCCCTTCTCATATCAAATTGGTGCAGAATAATTAGAGAATATATATTTAATTAATTTGGTTACAACTACATTATTTATTTTGGAGATAATCTGCGTGCCAACTAATATTTGGAAGAAATTAATTAATATTATGGTTGCAATATTAGCTAATTAATTACCTCAATTTGTTGACATTTTGCGACCAAATTAATATTTTATCCCTAATTAATCTGGGGTCTCCTTCAAATCTTATGTCTGAATTAATATATATCATGTTTTATCCCTTTATTGGGGAAATATGCAATACCCCCCTCAAATGGAAAATATTATGAGTAAAACCCAATTGACTTTTAAGACTTTTGCAAAAACCCACATCCCAAACTTAATTAGTGAAACCCCCTCAATTAAACATAATAAGACATAAGTACCCTTATTAATAGTTTTTTTATAATAAATCAAATATTTAATCACGATATCTTTCCATAACCGTTTCCCTTTATTATAGGCGGATGTAATTCTCCTTGATATACAGGCGTGATTTCAGTCGAGATTAGGTGAGAATAGAGACATCGTCGCCGTTCAACCATTCTGCGATCGTTGCCGGAGTTAAACTGTGTTGAAGGTCAGAGGTTCCGCTTTAATTTTGTTGGTTTCGTAATTGTGGCGGGTTGTAGTGTGTGTATTCAGATATGTGTGTATGTGTATTTAGAACCGAAATTTCATTGTTTCTTTTTTGGGTCGTCTTAATTGGTGTAAATGAATGTTACTGATTGAAAATTTTATACCTTTTTACACAGAGTCACGTTGATAGTCACGTTGTGACTACTCTGCAAATTTTTTGTTCGTTTTGTGTTAATTGATACGCTAGTGTAATTTTATTGTAATTTATTTTTTTTGTGTTACTTGATATGTTAGTGTAAGTTTCAATGTGTTTGTTGTGGTTGAATTGAATTCACATGATATCATGTGATTTGTATTTACAGGTAGTGCAGATTTATTCATCAGAAGTAGTCACATAGTAGTCACATAGTAGTCACATATATAGTAGTCATATAGTATTCTGTGACGCTTTCTTCTTCATTTCAGAAACCAGATTCGAATGTGACTACGCAACTCAACTTCACTGGTTTATCACTACCGAAACACAGCTACTACAGAATACGACTATTAATGGATAAAGTGTGTGGACGATTTTGTATCAAATATCTTCGATTTTGGAATGTGACTGCAGATTGGAAGATAGGGTTTCGATTTTTTTTGCCGGTTTTTGATTTGGGAGAAAACCAAATCTCTGTGTGTTATTCAAGACGATGCAGTTGTTTTTTTTTTAATTTATTTTATTTAGAAGCAGTTTTATTAGGAAAAGTAAATAATTAAACCTAATTAGGAGGATTAGGTGCCTAATTATTAGGGATTTCAAAATATTGGATAAATATAAAAAATAAACGTGACTTACTAGAGGGGTAAAAATGGAATTAAATATTCTAGGGGGTTTTCACAAAGAAAGAATTATGGTATGGACATATCACTAGTTTTTATCTATAAGAGGGGTGTATTGCTAATGACCCCTTTATTTTTTCATTAAAAAAGAAAAAGAAAAAAGAAAATCTTGACAGTTGATTGACAATGGACAAAGATTGTCGTGGAAATAGGGGGAATGGGCGCGTGAGAGTTAGTGCCTTTATGCAGACATGATCATTTTTCAAAAATTTGTAGCACGTACGTGTTAATTATATGGTTTGGTTTAAATAATTTCATTTAGTTTTTCTTCTTCCTTTTTCGCAATTTTTGGCGTTTTCTTTTTTGGTGAGCTCCATAATTAATCAATATTATGGTCCACTGCCTAATAATTCAACATCAATTGTCCTAACGTGACATATATATCTATATAGAGATATAAATCATTTCATTTTATAAATTTATAATTATAAAATTAGTAGGAGAACCCCACAACTTTATGCGTGTATTTCATGTGGTGTGTGTATATGTATATGTATACGTATGTATGATATTTCTAATTGAGTCAGTCAAATGGGCCTATAATTTATTTACTTATTTCTTCATAACTCGACCCAATCACCTTTAAATAAGGTTAATGCCCGTCAAATTAACTTCAGCCCAATAAATAAAATATAAATAAGGATTTAATTCATTTGATAAGGTACATTATATATTCTAGCAATTCAGCTATTTGTATTCTCTCGACAATATCTATATAACTCATACGTCTGACTTGAGCGTCGGAGGGGTTTCCATCGAGTCACCCCCGGCTTAGTTTACATGTATTCTGGTTGTAGGTACCTCATGATCAGGATCATCTAGCTCGTGAACCACTGACTCCCTTACTTTTCCAGCTCATCCTATGACAATTAATCTAGGTGCAATCTATCTCTGGTATCATTGATTTCAATGTGTGTGTGTGTTTGTTACAAAATTAGTGAGGGGGTCCCAAGAATCAGTGATGGCGGAGACAACACCTTATTTTGGCCTTTAAGGTAGAGAATACGATGCTTTGCTTTTCTCTCTATTTAATTTGCACCACTTAATTAATTTTGTAACAAAATGCATAATATAATTCCACTTATTATATACAAATATGTTTGTCAATACCTCAATTTATTTAGTTATTATAGCAAAGATTAATTCATGTTTTCTTGACTTTGCCCAATATCTCCTTTAATTTGTAACAAACTTTTTAGGGGAAATTAAAGCAAAATAATATATATATATATATATATATATATATATATATGAGTCCTTTTCTGGGTCAAAGATAATAGTTTTACGTTGTAACTTTTACTGGGTTTTATCTATCCTACACCCGTTGAAGGTTACACCGGGTGATTTTTAACCGTTGATCTACACACACCAATGTGGGTGTGTGTGTGTTTGTGTGTATATTAATGGTAAAGATCTACCCGGTGTATTTCACCCGGTGTAGGATCTCAAAAGCCCCTTTACTGGGCAATGCATGCAGCTTTATGTATCTTGGATTGCAAAAGACATGAGAGAGACATTCTTTATTTTATTTACATAATAAATTATTAAAATTCAAAAGGGTAAAAGCAAAGAACAAGATGGCTATTTTTTTCCCTAAACATAGGTATTGACCAAGTCAAACAATTAATTTTTTTCTAACCGCCCAATATAGATAATAATTATAATAATATGCACCTTCATTTTTCCTTTTCAAGATTCTTTATCCATATAAACGCACAACAAAAGGAGCAAATTATGGGGGGTGATTTGTGACAATAATTAATTTCATCCACAAAATTCTAATTCCAAAGTCTAAAGGCCGATTTTTTTTTTCATTGTCTAACAGAACAAGTAAACTAGAAAATATAGTTAACAAAGTTTGCCGCAAGAAAAATGTTTTGTAATAATTAAATAATTAAATAGGGTAAGTCATGCTAATTAATCCTCAATAAAAAGTCCGGGGCACAAAAGTCAAGGTCTAGAACTTTTCACAATTACACGCAAAACCATAAAACAGCCCAATATATATATATATATATACTTCAGAAAAAAAGAAAAATGTGAGGTTTGAATTAAAAGGAAATAATTTCTTGTATTCTCATCTAAACCCCCCAAAAAAGAAAAAAATGTGTGTGGAATTTCAAACCCTCCTTTCCATCCACCCCTTTTTGTGAAGCTGCTTCTTCTTCTTCTTCATTCATTTCTCTCTCTAGTTTCTCTCTCTAAACTTTGGCGAGTGAGTGCAGTGAGGTATCATCATCACTTCCGTAGTGATCTGGTTAATGGATATTGATCTCTTGTGGTTTCTTGGGGGGCGCTGGTTTTTTCTTATTTTTTTATATATTAATCCCATTCTTGTGCATGGCAATTATTACACCACTTAAATCTTCTTCTTCCAAAAAAAAATCCCACCATTTTTTCTTCCTCTTCTTCTTCCTTCTCTTCTTCATCCTTTCTGCAGTTGTCAGTTCTTCAGAAATGGCTCCATCCAACAAAACCCTCGTCTCAAATTCTTCTTCTTCTGCTCCGAAAACGGTGAATTTTGAACCAGATTCTTATAAGAGGGCGAAGGATAATAATCGACGAGATTCGACGAAATCGAAAGGGAAAGATGAGTTCGAAGCGAGTGAACACGAAGTTCCGAGTGGCCCAAACCCTATTTCCAACTAATTAATGCTGCTGCTGCTCTGCTGTGGGGGAAGAAGATGAAGATCACTTGTAACGGCAAGTTATTATTATTATTATTATCATTAATATTAATATTTATTATAAACTGTTGTTATGGTCGCCTCTTTCTGTCTATATATATATATATATGTAATATATTGGTCCATTATATCAGTCGCCATTAATATTATTTGTCCTTGGTGACAAGTTTGTTGGTTATGTTATCATCCTCATTTTTATTAATTTATATATATATCACCATTTGATTTTTATTTTTTATTTTCCTTATTTTTCTACGATTTGTATAGCTACAAAACACAATTATATATATATATATATATATATATATATATATATATATATATATAAATCTGCATATGTTGAAATTTGCTTAGGGTTTCAGTGCCCTGCAGTAACAAAGGTAAATTTGATAGGGTTTTTTCGGGAAAGAGTGTGGGTGGTGGTGGGGGGGGGTGGGGGGGGGGGGGGGAGTATACAACTTTTATTTATTTTCTGTCAAGTGTGAACAATAATTTGAATAGGTTTGGAAGTTTGCTTTTGTCTTCTCAAACACAGCATCCAACAAAAGCTGATACCAAACCTATCATTTCATAATCATCACACTTTTATTTGATCCTCTCTATATATATATTCTGATATACATACATACATACATACATATGTATGTATATGTGTGTGTGGTGCCAAAACAATGGCATCATCAAGAAAATATTTAGGACATGATCCATCATTTTCCAACTCAACCTTTCACCTTTTCAGAATATAATATCACACACACACACACTGATAATGAAATGAGGTGTTCAGGAATTTAAGGGGAAAATAAAGATTGCATGCATTGCCTTAATTATATGCAAACTCAAGTATGGGTTTTAGTAATTGATTGTACTAGCCTACTAGGTAATCTTTTAACAATTATCATTAGATTCAAATTGATGTATATATGGGTAAAAAAAATTACCTACCACACATTACGATTTATGATAACTTTACTTGCGTATGAAACGATACTTTTATGATTTATCTAATATTTTTGTTATTTTAATGAAAAACAACACGTTACACGTGTATACATTGATCGTAATATTGTACGACACGTAATGCACACGTGTATATTGACGATAATATAGGTGTATACACGTGTGTGTGTATGTGCACGCGCTCGCGCGCTTGTGTATATATATCGTCGAAAATTACAAATACCATTTTACAGTAGAAAAATTCGAATTGTACTCATCCAGAACCACTGATTTTGATAATGAACCATTAATACAATTAATTAGTTCCAAATTAGAAAAATAGAAAATAAAAAGGATTACAGTGTAAAGCTTGAGAAAACGCATAGCCCTATTTCCGAGTGGGAAACTTTAAAAAGGGAAAACAAAAGCAATTAATGGATTTGGAGATCTATTATTAAATATTTAATTATATATATTAAAAATTATAATGTGCCAATAAAAGGTTGTTTTGGTCGAAAGTTTCACTTTAATTTCCATTAATTAAATTGGTCGACCAAATTCACCTGTTTTTCTGCTTTCACTGTAAATATATCCATAAATAATTTCCGACAAACTTCACTTACAAACTCTGCCAAATAGCTTTTTTCGTATATAAGCAGTAAATTAGGACAACAATAATAACCTCATAAAATCATAAATAAATATCAAACAGTCAAAAATTTGGCAAGTCCATATGTTCCATGGCTAACAACAATAAAGTTACAAAATTACAATCGAGCCCTCTTCTTAATGCATGACCAGCAAATCTCATTCAGCTACTACTTACAGTAGTGTAACATCGACCTTCACGGAGGAATCGGTTAGAACTATAGCCTTTGAATTATCCGCCTTTTTGTGGTCCCCACAACTAAACTTAATTCTCACGTGTAATGGTCTCGTACACACGAGTTCTTCGAGATCTCCGTGTGACGACATCAAGAGCTTAACGAGCAAATCTTTTTTAGTTTTTTTCTTAGGGTCAATCATATCAGCTATTCTCTCTGCTTTGCTCGCTCGTGAATTTGAATTCTTTTTAAGCCTCATGTAAAGTGCAGCATAAACAATAGCCTAGATGAATTATATTTAAAAAAACAAATGGGAATTAAAAAAAAAAAAAAAAAAAAAACTGGGTTTTAAGAGCGAAAATCGAGGAAAAAATATATTTACCTCACTTGTTCCAGGACTAGTGTTGACTGTGCAACAAATACGAATTTTCCCTTCTTGCAATTCTTCACCTGGGATTTTGCTTTGTTCTATTGTGCTTGATTCTTCTTGTGGCGTTGAAAAGCTGAGATTGTCGATTTCATCGTACCATTGCTGAGCAACACCTACCTGAACCACGCATTTTTTTAATTTTAAAAATTAAAACTAGAAATCCCAAAAATGTGAACAATCAAAGATATGAAAAAAAAATACCCATTTTATTTTTTGGAAAAATTTTAATACCTTTTCTGATGAAGCAGCCTTGTTCTCTACACCTGAGACTTCGACAGCTGCTCCTCTAGCCTGACGCCAAATGGATCCTTCTTGTGGTTGTTCGACTAAATCAGCATCTTTTGGAATATTCACATTCATCTCTATATCCACTCTGCCTAAGGCATATTTCACTCAAATAATTACCACTGTAAACTTAAAAGAATGAGAAAAATTGCTCGCATATGGTAAAGTATAAAATACCTGGTGGTAAATGGAAACTTTGTGAATGATCAGGGTCTATTCCCGAGATTTCATCACTGTGACATCAGTTCAGAATAAGTTAAAATCCAAATAAAAAACTAGGTCCATCGAAAGAGATATATATACAGCATTTTTCGAGCCAAAAACTCGTATACTTACACAGCATAAACTCGTTCGAGGGAAGATGCTAGCCAATAAGGCAGCCCAAGAATTCCGAAGTTTGAGAATCGAAAGCTCTTCGCAGATTCAGACCCTTTGCTAAACTTAATTACTTGCTGAGCAACTTCAGTAAATAAACCAATTAATATTTAGTATAAAAGAATTTAAGCCAAAAAAGAAAAAAGGGAGTACAAGTTTGAGTACCTGTATCACAGAACACTACATTGTCTGAACAAGTTGCAACAGAAGACATAAGACCAGCATACGGAATTCCGTCCAATGAACAATTGTTCTTGGTTTGCTCCTCTAACCAAATACTAGGTAACTGCTTTAACGGAATGCATTTATCGAGAATAATCTGCCCACAGATCTCCAAAATCTTTGAAGATTCTTTCATGTAAGGACAAGTTAGTTAACCGCAGCGAATAATTAACAACTTGAATTAGAGGGGAAAAAAAAGGTTCGTACCTTTTATAACTTCTCTGATAAACCCTGATTCCAAATCTACGATCCATAGAGTTTCAAAGCTGCACAACACGAGTCACGAGAAGATAAATCATACTAGCATAGGGAATTACACAAGAAGCAAGAAAAAGCATTGGTATTAAATTCTACCTCTGATTGAGTACAAAAATGTCATTATTCGATGACTTCAGAATATGCCATGGAAACAAAAACGAGTCGGAATCAAATTCTTCGGACTTCAAATTTGTTTTCTTTTCTGTCCATATCTTGTCCAGAATCCACTTCCATAAACCTGGACTTTTGGTACCCTCGGTGACTGGAAAAACTGTCTCCACAACCCTCTTCTCCATATCAGCTTTTCTGATCGCATGGTTCTGTCGTAAATAGAGAAAATAATTGATTAACAAACATAATCTGGTAGAAAATTACTGGAAATATCAAAAAGAGTCAAAATCATTGAAGAAAGCACAAGATCCGAATTATTATACAAACTAAGGACCACCCTGTTAAGAGTTTAGATAACGACATCTACATGCCTTCTCATAGGAGTGGTTCCTTCCTCCTCAAGTATTCATTTGCCTATACACTAAAGAGTGCCTGTAATGCACTTTTTAAATCAAATAGAAAACGAAAAAAAAAAAAAAAAAAAAAAAAAAACATACCTCAGAATCCACAAAATATAGACAGTCCTCAAAATCGTGATAAAATGAGGCTGCAGGGCGCATTAACTTAGCACTTTCAAACTCTCCATCCTCAAATCCAGGAGAAGAACCAATCTGAGAGAATAGAACATTAATAAATTGGGGCTTTTAATTTATGCGTACTGAATAGTTTTTCTTCAGACAGGAAAAAAAAAGGGCTCCTGTTCAATCCTAAGTATGAAATGTAATTCTGGTACGTACGGCATCTAAAATTTTCCCGTTGCTGTTGAACACAATTATCCTGTGGTGATTAACATCAGAAAGGAACAGGTGATTGCTACTTTCATCAACTGAAATGCAACCTGCAAAATTTACACAAAAGGTAAAAATATTTATTTAAAAAAAAAAAAAACAGGGGGGTGGGGGGAGATAATCTGAGAAGCCTTTACCTGGGAAGGAAAACAATAAATTTCTTGAAGCAGAACAAACATCTGGTTCCTTAACAATTTCAATGGATTTGACCCAACTGCTCTTCACGTCATCGAGTTTGGGTTTGTTGCTATTTTCCGCATTCAAATCATGAATGGCTGCAAGTGTGATGACAATTAAAACAATGAGATAATTAATTTAAGGCCTCGTTTAGTTGCCAAGGTAGGATTAGCAAAGATAAGATTAAATAATCTATTGAAACCCAATTATATTATTGGACCATGGGTGGTCCAATAAAAAAGCTCCCCAAAAGGCAAAATAAGCCATGATAACATAATAATTCCGGGTCGACCCGGGAAGTTATTCGGTATGCCAAACATCAAACAAAGTCTAATTATTTACTTAATCATGGCTAATCTCCCCAACCAAACCAGGCCTTAGAATGTTTCATCAAGCATGTTACATCACATCCAAAAGTGACCGGTCATCATAAAATTGAAGGATTGCATGAAGGGAGTTTGAAAAAAATGAAAATGGAATATATTCCAAATTTATATGCAACGGTTTCTTACTTAGACAGATATCATATGTTCATATTGCAAGAAGAAAACAAGAAATGGACCTAGTACGTTGGAATATCAAAGCAAATGAACATTTTTAATGAAAAAGGATAAGAACACGAGTACCTTTATCAAGAACCTTAAGATCTACATCCTCACTAGGATAGACCATAGGATTTTGAAAATCTTTAGATATGATGTAGCATGGTTTGTTTGCCATCTACAAAAGAAAGAGAGAGAAAATTGTATACAAAAAGAAGGAACACTATGCACCAAATAAAAAATACAAATATCGGACTGCACTATGAATCGAGAAAGTAATGCATAACTAGAACAACAAAAGGTGCCATCTCCAAAGTACTATACATCAAAATGTTTTGCAGGTTTTCAGAGAAAATGATTCCATTCTACATTTGTAGAATGTGTACTGTACTCAATATATCTATCCATTTACAAAGAGCCAAATAGAGACAAAAACCGAAAACTAAATAGAGAAATGATAATCAGAGAGCCAAATCTCAAAGCAGTCTACGGAGAATTTATAAAAAAAATTGGGATGTGGTATTCTCAAAGCAGTCTATCGCAATAATTAAGTGTACTGGCAGAGGTTTACATCAACTACATATATTTTTATTTTTTTAAATGTTTAAGTAACATGTCAAGTATATATATACATTCAGCACATGCATAATATACAACACCAGACATTTATTTAATTTTATAAAGTTCCAGTCAACGACAAACCTCAAATATATCCTTGCTACACAACACGATAGGAAATGTAACATATTTCTCGACAATTCTCTGGAGAAAATTTGTAGAAATATCATTCGGGCATATTGATTTGCCATGTTGTAATGCAACAACTTGAAGGAAAGGGTACCTACAACATCAAAGATCAGAAATATCTTATGATCAACCTAGATCTTAAGTGAGTTTTGAAAACATGAATACATATTATATACAATACCTCTGTTGAAGTGACTTTGCTTTTTCGAACATTTTGACAGTATTTTGATTAGCTTCGAGAGAAGCTTCCAGATATTCACCTATGAGAACTAGAATAATTCCATTTTCCTTGAACAAATCCTTGCTGCCCGTAGTTCTGTTCAACCAGTAGTGAGAAGGGCCTGCAAGCTCACTCGTATTAGAGTCAGATTTAGCATTGGATGCAGAAAAGGAGTCAAATAGAAAAAGAAACATAGAGATATTGAAATGCACGTCGATGTTATTTTCATAGGAAATCAAACAGGTACATTTTTTTTTCCTCTCCTGTTTCACAAATTTGATATGGTGTTTACGTGAAGTGTATCGTACCACTAATTCTTGAAACAATTTTTTTCAAGTAAAAAACTTATCGTAAAAAAGGTAATGCACACCTAAATTACAGCTCGTCGGATGAAATGAGTAACAGCGTAAGAAAAAGGTTAAAAGGGCCTACTGATAACAATCTAGATAAGCTTAAATGATAAGTACAACCAAGCTACTCTGTTAAGTCCTGAATATTCTCACCTCTAGGCCGATGGAGAGAAGATCGAACGAAGGACAAAATATCAACAGTAGAGAGCTTCTCGTGTTTCGTTTCAACTACAGAGGAATATCTGAAAAAGACTGTCATTAACTAGTTAGGATAACAAAATTTCCCAAAAGCTGACGACATAATTAAGCAATATATATATATATTCATTTCTATTTTCCCAATCAGCCCATGAGAATCAAGAAGTTACTGTAAAAATTCACAGTCCACACCACTGCCCAATTCAATTCAAACTTACAAGTGAAAACAGAGCAATTCCTTCCATTAATTGACCAACCCATGGACCAAAACAAAAACTACATAAACATAAATTCATAAAGAAGATTTTGCATTTCCTACCTTTGCCCTTGACAGCAAGCCAGATCAAGCCTACTGTAGATGCTATTGCTCGCAGTAAACCAAGCAGCAGCCGAACGGGGATCTGCTAAAACATTGATGCCCGCCCCAGATAACCGGTAAATAGTATCTGCAAAAGGTTCAAAACCAATTAAATGGCAATGGTGAATGATTAGTCTATAAAAATAAGGGCAAGGAAATTGCACTAGTCAGATTACCTGGATAAATCTTGGGCAAAACCCTAAACATATGACGCATTCGTCGAAATCTGAAGTACATCTTCGATTACACCAATAATTTGTCGGGATTTATTGTTAATTGTCAATACTATGGTCTGTAGATTCAACGTCGACTGTGATCTTAGCGCATCGGAGAAGAAGGGTTTCTTAATTTAGGTTTTCATGCAGGGGTTTAGAGGTTTAAGGGGATCCGAATTGGAAATGGATCCATTTCGGACCGGGTTGATTTGTCCATTTGTTTTGGCTTAATTTCACATTGATCCTTGAAATGTACCATTTGAGCAATTTGCACCTCCGGAAGTAATTTATGGCACTTTACACCTTCAAAACATGTTTAATCGTTCAAATTGCACCCTACTTTATTTTTTCAGCCTGAAATTTCATCATTGACCTATTTTCTGATCGTTCGATTACCGCTATAAGGTTTTACTGATTAAATAGTCGGAACTAGTAACACATTCGGTTGGCAAGATTCACATTTTTTTTCAAATCCGCTACTAAAATCGAAGTCCGTCATTAAATGCTATTATTAGTCTATTTCATTAAATTAGTAGCACTCATCATCGAGATTAATATAATGGTAGATGACTAAACAAGTAAAATAATATTTTATCATTCAAAATACATGTTAATTTTTATTAAATAAAATGTATTATATACAAATCGCATATAATATCATAATTTAACAGATTTAATATAAAATCGAATCCAATGAACCGAACGAGCCCTAAACATTTAAAAATATATATTTATTAATACTTAAAACTCTATGTACACAATCACATGTGAGATTTGCTCTTAGAGCCGGCCATGTATATACAATTATACATACATATTTTTTGTATATATATATATAAACACACAAAATTCAGGGCCTTTGAAAATGAGTGGCCATAAGCCATAACTGCTTCATTGGCAAATGCTCAAGGCCAGGCAAGATTTTCAATTCATTTCCCATACAAATGCTGTAAGAATTCTGAATTAATTTTTCTTTTACAAAAATAAAAAAATATTTGATTGAAAATTGTTGATATATAGGTATTGGTGCATGCCCTCCTTGGATTTAAAGTCTGCAACAATGAGTTGTTTCTCGTGTTTCTCATGCCACGGTCACGATCACGATAGAAGAGACTCGAAGAAATATAGGGGAAGAAAACACGAACAACTTCCCCCTTCCAATTCTCGCAGAGAACCCTCCCCTCAACCAAATGGTAATTACCATTTTCTTTCGTTTTTTCGTTATTATCGTTTGAAATGTGAAATTTCGACATTCGGTTTACGTTAAAAAAATGTTTCAATTTTTTTTCTTCCATGCAGAGCATCCGAGAAAAACGACGACAACAACAACAACGTCGGAAACAACAACAAATAACAAGGCCACCGGTAACAGAGAAGGAGGGGACAATAACAATAACAATAACAATAACAATAACAATAACAATAACAATAACAACAACAACAACATTGCTGCACAAACTTTCACCTTCAGGGAATTAGCGTCGGCAACAAAGAATTTCAGGCAAGAATATCTCCTCGGTGAGGGTGGCTTCGGTCGCGTGTATAAGGGTCGTCTCGAAAAAACCGAACAGGTATTTTTTTCATCCACATTTTCTTATAATATATCCCCAAAAAAATTGTCTATTTTTTTAATTATCGGGCCGGGCCGGGCCGGTTTTATTCAGATGGTAGCTGTTAAGCAACTCGACAGAAACGGGCTCCAAGGAAATCGAGAATTTCTGGTGGAGGTGTTAATGCTAAGCCTTCTACACCACCAAAATCTCGTGAATCTAATCGGCTATTGTGCCGATGGAGAACAACGGCTTTTGGTGTACGAGTATATGCCTTTGGGATCTCTCGAAGACCATCTACTAGGTACATACATAATAAATACGATTCGTCTTTGTTTAGTGTTTTTCCGGTTTTTTTTCAGACGAAACTCTATTCAAAATGTACTTGCAATAAAAACAAACTAAACCAATCAATAACGACTTTCTTGAAACAGACCTTTCGCCTCACCGGGCCCCACTACCGTGGTTCACAAGGATGAAGATAGCGATGCATGCTGCAAAAGGGCTAGAGTATTTGCACGACAAGGCAAATCCTCCGGTGATCTACCGTGATCTAAAATCGTCCAATATATTATTGGATTCGGAGTACAATGCCAAGCTTTCCGATTTCGGGCTGGCCAAGCTAGGGCCCGTTGGGGATAAATCCCACGTGTCCACGAGGGTTATGGGAACATACGGTTACTGTGCACCCGAGTACCAAAAAACAGGTCAATTGACCGTAAAATCGGACGTGTATAGCTTCGGTGTTGTTTTGTTGGAAATTATTACTGGGAAAAGAGCTATTGATACTAGGAGAAGACCTGATCAACAAAATCTAGTCACATGGGTAAATTTAATATATATTTTTTTGCATTCAGCACCCTTTAATTTAGTTTAATTGTTAAAAACCCCAAATCGCACTTTTTTAGCAAACGGTACCCCTAAAACTTCACAATTATGAGATAATACAGGGGTACTAAATGCAATAAATTGTAATATAATTGATGTGCTTTTTGTCAAAAAATAAAAAGAACAAATAGTAAATGAACATAATTTGGCTGATAAATTTGTGATTAGGCTGAGCCGATATTCAAGGATCCGAGCAGATTCGCGGAGCTGGCGGATCCGGTTCTTAGAGGGGACTTCCCAAAGAAGAGCTTCAATCAAGCGGTTGCGATTGCGGCCATGTGTCTGCAAGAGGATGCGATCGTACGGCCATTAATCAGCGATGTGGTGACTGCTCTGAGTTGCCTACCTGGGGAGCCGGACACAGGATTATCAGCCCGCCCCGTTTCTCCTCCTTCTCCTCAGTTGATAGGAAGCCCGACCGGCGCCAACCAGAGCGAAATCTCAGCCAAGGAACGAGAGAAAGCCGTCGCAGAAGCCATTGCATGGGGCTCGATGTCGAGGAACAATAGTGCACACTAATTCATATATATATACATGAGGGCATGCATCAAATTCGCTGACGTGTTTTTTCGACGATTTGATTAAACATAAAGTGATTTGTAGTAGTAAATTATACTATAGGGAAACGGAGGCGTACATTTGCAAGAACATGACTTGCGGTATATAACATTCGTTGCGGTGCGTGTGTACGTTTCGTTTATACGTATTTGATATGTATGTATGTGTTATAATACATGATATATATAATATACCTACATTGGTGTTAAAACATTATTTTTTTTTCTTCTTTCTTCTTCTCTCTTCTGGTGATAAAATTATGATCATAACTCAGATATATAAAGCATTAAATTTTTTTTATTGAAGGGCTTGAATTGCCACATTGGATTATTTTTGCACTACATATGAAATATATAAAGCATTTTTCATGCTAATAATTAATTATTCCAAAAATTAAAATAAATTTCAAGGGCATTTTGGTCCTCCTTCTTTGGTCTTCCAGTTATTGTAGCATGGGCAGCATTCCTTGTTTCCGTAGGTGCCAGGTGGCACACAGAGGCACGTATTACAGCATTTGTTGCAGAACAACAAACAATTGTTCAAATGCGATGTGGCTGAGCATCGACGGTTACATTGGCTTGCACATTCTATACGAAAATAAAATAAAAAAAATTAGAAAAAAATTTAATAAATTAATAATAATTTCGTTTTTGTAAGAACTCACGGTTTTGGGGAACGGCACATGTGGTTGCAGGGCTTGGCATTGGAGGACGCAGTGAAAACGAAGGAATAGCTTCACCTTCACCCGCCTGAATCATTCAAAATTACGAAAATGCCATTAGAGTTTTTCAAACAGTTCTATCGTTCATTACTTTTATATATAAGACATATTTAGCATTTTCACTTACTAGTGAAACCGCAACCATCGATAAGAAAGCAACACATAAGAGGAGTGAATTGAAATAAAACTTCGAAGAGGAAGCCATTCTTGATGCCTTTTTTATTTTATTTTTTTATTTTATTTTTTATTTTTTAGGAGATTTGTTTTTGTTGATATTATTTGCTATCTAAATTCCTTCTTATATAGAGGAAAATAAGGTTGCTAAATAGTCAAGTTAATAATACTTGAATTAATATTTGGTAGGTATGTACTGTACATGCACTAAATCTAAAATAAGATTTTCGAATTAGTCATACTTATTGCATATGAATTATGAAATCTATAACCAAATCATACAAGCTACTATGTATTGATATGTATTTGTAAGAATTCGTAATCTTTTAGCCTAATCACAACAATTATGTTTTAGCAATAGTAATCAATGTGTATTGGATTTTGGATCACCATGACATCTTATACATAGTAAGGGGTGTATTTGCAAAAGTTTATCTAAAAAACTCGTTGTGAGTAATTTATAAATATAAAATATTTATTTTGATCATCTCAATTCCAAATTTCATATTTTGGGCCCAAAACATTAACAATATGTACATATTATTAAAGTTTTGGGCCCAAAATATAAATTTTTGGAATTGAGCCCAAACTTAAGTAATTATCAATGGCCCAACTCCTGAAAAGTACGGCCAACCATTGAGTTGTGTACGAAACTCTCCTCCCGTTTGGGTAATCAACTACCCCTTAACTATGTATTATCTTACGAAAATACCCTCCAAAGGTAAGTTTTAGTGATGTTAAATCGGTAAAACCGCGAAATTTCGGTACGCGAACATTTCATACCGTTTATCAAACTGAATATACGATTTGATTCAGCAAATAACCGAATTTCATAAATGCAAATTTATTTCTCAATCTCAAATTAACGATCACGTTTTTTTTTTTCTTTCTGTGTTCGTAACTTCGTATTTCTTTCAACTTTTGTTTTTGCTTCTCTTAAAATAATCTACTTTAAGCTAATTTTTTAAAAGCACCACTAACCCTGTTTCTTCTATTTAAGTTCATTTTCTGAAATATTTGCAAACACCCCCAACTTTTAGAAATAAGCACTTAAAAGTTAAAACTAATTTACACGATCACTAACTTCTGCTTTTAAATAATCACTTGTCAAATACCATCTTAAAACAAATCCGATTCTCCTTAACTGTGAGAATCAGAATCACCACCATTTTTCCACGAAACCTGCAACAGGATTTCATATACACAAAATTCCACGCGTCAACGAATCATCTCACTACAGCTGGTACGCTGTTTCTGCATTGACTTTTTTGTTCCATTACCTTTTCTATCTGAACTGATGATCCAAATATTGTTGCTGGATTGAGTACTCGTGATTCAGGATTTACTTTATAATTTATATAAATTTCAAATTTCTGAATATTGTTCTGGAATTTAGGGTTTATAGTTCCGTTTCTTTTGTTTTCAGCTATTTTTCTCTTGATCCGGCTTATATTTCATTTCTTCCGACCAGATTCTTACGAGGGAAACGCTTTTTTCTGATGGGATGATTTCGCCACTGAATTTCATATATAATTTCGTTGGATTAGGAATTTAGGATAGGGTTTTGAAATTCAAAATTACACATCCACAAATTTTAGGTCTAAAAAATCCAGAAATTGGAATGAGAAGCCAATTATGGAGATGGAGTTTAGGTTTAATTTACATATTCGCAGTTGCAACAATATGGATTGCTGCTAGTTTCATCGTACAGTCGGTCGAAGACGGGGGCGTTTCCCCCTTTCTCGTAACATACATTTGCAACTCGTTGTTTGTGGTGTGTATACCTTTAGTCGAAATCGGGCGTTATTTGGAGGATAAAAATATAAGCATATTCTTTTGGCGGAATCGAGCGGGTCCCGCTTTGCAAGATTTAAGGGATTTTGAAAAGGTTATTCTTCTTGATGATGATGATAATGAAGCTAATGTATTGAAACCTAATGTGGTTGTATTGCAAGAGAACAATGTTCTTGCTAATGATGGTGTCGAAACGGGATTGGACGAAAAGGGTCGTTGGACTCGTCGGAGAGTTGCAAAAGTTAGCCTGTTGATATGCCCTGTTTGGTTTCTTGCACAGCTCACGTTTAATCTTTCTCTAAAGTACACTACAGTTACGGTAAGAAATTTGATCTCACGAATATTTTTTTATCATCTCTTGAATGTGAAAATTAAACATCAAGGCTGTGTTTGGTTAATGGATTTTGAAATAATGAAAGTGAAAATGCAAAAGCAAATCAAAACAAAGAATTCGAAAATCTGTAGCCTGTTTGGTTCCTAAAGAAAAATATATCTTGGCATTTTCCTTGATCCAAATAGAGCCTAAAGTTTACGTTGTTGATGTGTAGTCAAACACCATCCTAAGCAGTGCATCCAGTTTGTTCACGTTTTTAGTGGCGCTCGTTTTTTTGGGGGAGAAGTTCACTTGGCTGAAGCTTATAAGCGTTCTGCTCTGCATGGGAGGAACAATAATTGTCAGCATGGGCGACTCAGCATCGAGTGAAGTTGCCTCGAGTGCTGTCACGGGGGATATTCTGGCGCTTTGCTCCTCAGCGTTTTATGCTGTGTACATCACCCTGATTCGCCAGAAATTACCCGATGAAGACGATGAAGTACAGGGCCGTGCTAGTATGGCTCAGTTTCTTGGATTCCTCGGTTTGTTCAATCTCATGATATTTTTTCCAGTGGCTCTCGTGCTTCACTTTTCTAGGCTCGAGCCTTTCACCTCTCTTACATGGGAGCAATTTCGTCTTATTATTGGTAAAGGTATGATATATAAGCTTCATTTTTCTTTTCTTTTCGAATTAAATCTTGATTTATCATATTATGGACAACTCTGCTTTCTTACATGTCTAGGCTTAATTATGATATTCGGACCAGTTTTACCACGTTATTACGTTAAATATATTATTTTATAGTGTTGTTTTGCTCTTAAATCTGAAACTAAGCAATTATAACAGAAGTCGCGCATCATCGATTACACAATCTACACCTTATTCTCTTGTAGTACATTTAATGCCACCAAATTCTTCGATAGACATAACTTCCGCCGTTTCTGTAATCTTTTATCTTTTGATGTAATTAGTGCTAATTAAACTTGCTAATCTAGGTTTGCTGGACAATGTGCTGAGTGATTACTTATGGGCGAAAGCTGTGCTGCTTACAACGACAACTGTGGCGACAGCAGGTCTTTCGATACAGGTACCGTTAGCTGCTGTATTGGATTCGTTGAAGGGGAATATTCCCGGTCTCTCCGATTTTATTGGAGGTGCTGCTATTATGGTTGGTTTTGCCGGAATTAATATTCCTTCGGATTTTCTTTTCAGAAATAATAAAGATGCCATTGTTGAATTAGACAGTGCTAATGTCAATCCAAATGATCATGCTGACCTTTGATGTATGTTTTTTTTTTTCTTTTTCTGTATGTATATTGAAACTATACTGAAGAACAACTGCAAGAAGAGAATCAGATATATATATACCAAAGTAGGAATCCCTACATTTTATTCCTAAAAGCTAATGGTAATTTGCCTAAAGTGCATTAAAAACCCCATCGCAATTCAAGTTATTTTTTATGAGGTTAAATGACGGCCACCACTGAGATAAGACCAAATTACGAAAAAATCACACATGTTTGCATAATTACAACCATCCATCAATTATGAATCTTCTTATGCGTTCAATTTTATGGTGTCAAATTTAACAAAATCTTCTTTTGTTTGTACTCGTTTTGTGCAAAAATAGAGTTTCTAATGCACCACAATATGATATTTACAAATCAAGATATACATTTATTTCAAAATGAGGAGTTCGAATGGGATAAAACGGATACAAATTTGAGAATATTTCACATGGTTAAACGAGGATTTGCCCGTCAATTTTTATCTTATATTTATAAAAAGAAAAAGAAATAAAATATTTTGACTCATACTTAATGTTTAGGCCAAAATTATTTAATTACTTGATGTACATAGTCAAATGTGTCATACATTACATGATCATTGATTAATCAAACATAGCATCTAGAAAAGAAAACCATAAGAATGGTCACCGGCCATCGAAGATTAGTTGTTTTGTTACTAATATGAAAACCTAAAAAAAAAAAAAAAAAAAAAATGAAAAATTGAAATTTAAGATAATGACGTGTTGGGTGACGATTGGATGGAAGATTCCAGAAAGTCAAAGAAGCAGAATTCTCCAGGTCGTCGTAGAGAATCTCGCCCCCTTCTTTAACCGTATAAAAACGCCTTCCTCCCACATTATATGAGAAATTGACGTTACGAACAGAGCGCGTGCGAATTCTCTTTTGGTGGTTTTCTAATCTTCCTTCCTCTGCAGGTATTTTTTCTATATTAACTTTTCAATTAATTTAGGTTTTTCTGTATTTTTTGGGGATTCGTTTTTTCCCCGATTTCGTGCAATTTTTTATTTTATTTCTGATGTATGCGATACACGAGTTAGATTTTGTGCTTTCCGTTAGATCTAAGATATGTGGTAGTTTTTCTCCTCGTCACGTTCCTTTTACGGCATGGAGTTTTGTGGAATTTGATTGGGTATTCAGAGAGATGTTTTGTTGAAGATTTAGATGAAATTTAAATGAAAGGATGCGTACATTGTTGACAATGTGTTTTGAATTGATGTGATACGGCGAAGAAGATTGTAAGATCTATATTCTACCTGGAGCTTTTCTTCGATTACGGTTTTTTTTTCTTTTTTTTTTTTAATTTTTAATTGGATTGGTATATTTTCTGTTTCTTGAGCATTGGAAGTTAGAATTTGGGATTAGGGTTTTAATGGTGCCCTGGAGTGGGGATTTGATTCATTCACACTCGTCGAATTCTTCGTTTGTCTTGTTTTCCTGCATTTTTTTTCACTATTCGTCCCTGGCGATTGCATTGCATTGATAAGTACTTTTGGTTTCGTAGGTCAGCTTTTTCGCTTCATTTCAACACAGAGTCTTGCTCATCATCTATCAAATTATTTTCCGATTCGACTGGTGAAGATGGCTGAGGTACACATCTTATCTTTTTTTTTTTGTATCTGATTCATTAGAATAAATGTGCATATCGATAACAAACATTTTTATTCTTGCAGGATGGTTACAAAGTCTTGTTGAACGTGTACGACTTAAGCCAGGGTCTTGCCAGACAACTGTCTACAACGTTTTTGGGGAAGGCTATCGAAGCCATATGGTAAGTTATTGTTCGAAAACCGGGATTTTTCTCATTGATAAATAGGTTAGGTTAATATCGTCGTTGTCGTTGTAGTTTACATTCCTAGCATTCTACCATGAGTTATCGAATTTGGGTCTCGAAATGGATGATTTGGTTTTGCAGTAATCAAAGGGCTTAGCTCATGATATGTTGCTTTAAATTGTGCAGGCATACTGGAGTGGTTGTATATGGCCACGAATACTATTTCGGAGGTGGCATACAAAGTGCTCCGGTTGGAACAACTCCGTATGGAACTCCGCTCCGAGTTGTTGATCTCGGCTTGACACACGTGCCTAAGGATGTCTTCGAGATGTACCTGCAAGAAATTGGTCCGAGGTATACAGCCGAAACCTACAGTTTGATGACTCACAACTGCAACAATTTCAGTAATGAAGTTGCCCAGTTTCTAGTTGGTGCTTCAATACCCGATTACATATTGAATCTCCCAAATGAAGTTATGAACAGCCCCATGGGTCCTCTCATGTGTAAGTCCCTTTCCTGTGATAAATATGATTTCGTATGTGCTCCCGTGGGATTCAGTACAATCAATGAGAGATGACGATTTCTTCCAATTTTGTATACGCTGACAGTGTGTACGAGGATTATTATTTATTTCACTTTATATGATTAATTAATGATTTTCTTTTGTGCAGTGCCTATGATACAGCAATTGGAGACGACTTTACGAGCAGGTGCAGTACCTCAGGCACCTCAGTTCAGGCCTTCCGTAGCTGCTCAATCTGCTCAGACTGTTAAATCTGCCGTTACTCACAATGCTGCAGAATCTACAAAGAAGAAGGATGAAGATGTAGATAGAAAATCGAAAACAGAATCTCCGAAGAAAACCAGTAATGCTGTTCCTCTGGACCCACTTGGAGATGCTCGAAGCAAAGTTCAGGAAGAGATTAGCAGCGAGTTTGCTGCAATTATGGCGACGGGTACCCTGCGTGCAAGTGAGGCTGCGGCACTAGCAACCAAGAGAGTGATGCAAAGATACGGACATATGAATACAGCACAAATCTAGAATTCAAATTGGTTTGATTTGTTTCCACAAGTCTAAATTAGACATTATTCATCTGGTAATTTATTCATGGTGACTGGTGGATATTTGGGGTTTCATACAATTAGGTAATGCCAAATGTGGCATCTGTGCCCTTTGTGCCAATTTACAATTTATTGGGGACTAGATATTTGATGCTTATTACATTATTTTGATACTCTTTATAAAAATTATTTGCTCAAACCCTAGTGGCTGATTTTGCAACTCACAATTCGTACTATATGGATAAATTATGAACAATGAGGATTTTTTTAAATTTGTTATTCTATATAACTAACTATATGGGCAAATTATAGCCACATTGGGGTTAAATTACGAAAATCCCTTTATGTGTGGATAATTACAACCACCTTCTTCAATGAATTAAATTACTCGTTCATCCTTATGATTTGAAATGAATTAAATTATAATCTTCTAGATTATGTTGAATATTTTCTAGTTTGTACTTGTTTTGTACAAAAATATAATTAAGATATACTATAATATGATATTTACAAATCTTTTGACTTCTTTTGATCATCTTGTTTCAAGATAATATTTCATAAAAGCTAGAAGATTCTATTACATTTGACAACCATAATTTGACCTCATCTTAAACGGTGATTGTAAATTATCCTAACTATATATTGAATTTGAGTGTAGCGTAAAATGAAAGTAAACAACGTTTTCGGTTTTAGTTCACATTGACGTCCGGTTCGAAATCCAGACCCGAACTTGACGTTCCCGTACCCGCAGTTTAGCTAAAAAAGGCCCCGCACTTTCGAGATCTCTTAAAGATCGAACAGATTACAACTATGGGTTACGCCACGTCAGCAAAAACTCCACCTGCACTGGCCAGCTGTAAACTCCAGCGCCGCTTCGCTGAGCAAAAAGCCGTTCGACATTTAAACACCCCTGATCACAATCCCAGCCAAACCTCAACCCGAGCCTCCAGCCCCGTTATTGCATATATCCTCAGTCAGAACCTCAGTACGAACCTCATTCCGAACCTACATCCTATATAAACCTGCATTCGATTCCGCTCCCCATGCCTCAGGCTCAGATCCCTACGTGAACCACTTTTCCTTTACCGATATTTTTCCTCTCTCTAGCTTTCACTCTTCTAACTCGGAGCTTCCCTTCCAAACCAGAATTGATGAATTCTTTCTGTTCCATTTTCCATTTTTCCTGAGATTTTAAGTTCTTCGTTTCGTCATTACAATTTCGTGAAAACGAATAATCGTCGAGGTTGGAGCGTTTCGTGTGTGTGCCTACTTGCCATTTTTGTGTGTGCAATCTTCGAACAACTGAGAAGTTCAGCTGAAACTGAATTCAGGATCGCGATCGTCCCGAATTTGGTAAGAACTTAGCGTTTTTTATCTGAACTGAATTGGCAAACAAGTAGCAGGAGCTTGAGATTTTTGCTTTTTTCAACTAGAATGGCAATTTTTTTTAATCTATTTGATTTTTTGGGTGAAGATTGTTGTTTTGGTTAAGCGAATTTTTCTGGATCTTGTGCGGATCGTTATTTCTGAGTTTGATATCTCAATTTCCCCCCACTCCCCTTTTTTTTGTTATGAACTAGAGAATTGCGGCTTTATTATTTTCTTACAATTTTTTATTAGATTCACTAATGTTATTGAATTTGATTGTAGAGGCACAAAAGAGGGTCACGAGTTGAACTTTTTGGAGTCATTTACTGGAGCAGCGATCATGGCGCAAAGTAATTGGGAAGCAGATAAGATGTAATATTCCTAAATTTTTGGCTTGCCTGCTTCTGTTTCTCCTTGATTTCAACTGTAAAAAGAGTCCAATAAAGTCTTCCGTCTTGCTGTTTCTGTTTATGCGTAATGTTTTTGTTTGAAATACTATCTGGGAGATATCTAATTATTTTAATGGATGCTCAAAAGTTGGGAAAAAAAAAGTTATTGAGCAGCTATAAACAGGTTGTTGTTTTTGTCGTAGAAGATCAATTTGTTTATTTCCTTCACATTTTACGAAAATCCAACAAGTCCTTTCTGTTGTAAATGCATTCATATTTATCTTTTTTTTTCCTCGATGCTTTGCCAGGCTTGATGTCTACATTTATGACTACTTAAAGAAAAGAAACTTGCTTAATTCTGCAAAAGCTTTCATGACGGAAGGAAAAGTTGCGACTGATCCTGTAGGTAAGGAATTTGCATAGGTTCCATAGAATTGAATATTATTGTGCCTGAAGGTGTTCAATGAAACTGGGTGTCCCTTTGCCATTCGATTGCAGAAAATGCTGCCATAGATGATTGCTTAAATAATTAATTTTGAATTCTGTTTGTAGCTATTGATGCACCTGGAGGATTCCTCTTCGAGTGGTGGTCCGTCTTTTGGGACATCTTCATTGCAAGGACAAACGAGAAGCATTCTGAGGCAGCTGCAGCTTACATAGAGGTTTCTCAAACATCTACAGCTCATTTTAAGTGCTTCAGATTTAGTTAGACCAATAACTACCACTGTATTTGATATATAAGGTGTGTATGTTGACAAGTTTTTCCTTGGCATTTTCTTCTTCATTTCAGACACAACAAACCAAAGCAAGGGAACAACAGCAGCAGCAGCAGCTGCAAATGCAGCAGTTGCAACTCATGCAGCAACGCAATGCGCATGCCCAGTTACATCGAAGAGATCCTAACCATCCTCCCCTCGGTCCCATGAACTCGATAAACTCTGAAGGCATGATGGGGCAGCAGTCTGCCGGTGTATTAACTATGAAATTGTATGAAGATCGTATGAAGCATCCTAATTCAATGGATTCTGAGACATCTTCTGGGCTTATTGATGCCAATAGGATGGCACTTCTCAAGTCAGCTTCCAATCCGCAAGGGTAAGATTAATAAACTTATATTTAAATTCTGAGAAATTAAGTTCTTACACTGGCATATTCTTAGTCCAATGACTCATTAGTTTTTTTCCGCTGTTGATCCAGACAGTTGATTCAAGGCAATTCTGGGAGCATGTCTGCAGCCTTGCAGCAAATGCACGGACGGCCTCAGCTGACAACTGTAACTACTGAACCATTTCTTTTTTGGCTATGTTGCTTCCGTCTCTTTTGCTTCCTCGTTCGGTTCAATCATATGCATTTTGTTTTTGGCAGGACATTAAAACGGAACCTAACTTGGGTGGAACTCAGAAATCTATGCCGATGGACCCATCATCTATATATGGGCAAGCAATTCTTCAGTCAAAATCTGGACTTGGTGGTGCAGGTATAGTACTGCTTCAAATAAATCTCTTTAATTGGAAGGTTTTAAATGCTGTACTAATATTTGCCGTTTAATCCAAGATACGTAGGAAATAGGAGTAGCGACAGTTGCATAATTTGTTCATATAATACATATACGTGTCATTATGTTATGCATTTTATGCCTTACAAAGTAATTTATTTTCGAATTATAGCTGTTGTTTATCCACTTGATAGTTTTGTGCATCAGTGCCACGTTTCTTGTATTTTAGGCCTACCATTAAATGCAGCAATAACTGAAAAACATCCGCGCACTATTGTTTGACACCTTTATTTATTTGTCCGCGTTCAACAAATTTCATGATGTGTTCCACTGCGCAACCTTCACACAGCACACAATCTGTCGCGCTATCCAGTATTTAAATTATGCACTCTGTCCCTCAGTTTTCAGAAAGTTCATCAAATGTTATACGTAAATATTACCTTTGCTTGTTCTGTGTCAGAGGTTGATTCTAATGTTCTTTGTTAGCGTATTTCATGAAGATTCATCACAATTTTTGTTCTTTCAGGGATGAGTCAAGGAGTATCAGGTCTTCCACTGAAGGGGTGGCCCCTGACAGTGAGTTTCTTGAATTTTTTACATTTTTTTGATGAAGTATACTTTATGAGAGATGAACTTGAAAGTTCATGCTACATCTACGCAGGGAATTGACCAATTACGTCCTAGTTTGGGATTACAAGTACAAAAACCCAATATGCAGACTCAAAACCAGTTTCTTTTGTCACCACAACAGCAACAGGCTCTAGCGCAAGCTCAGGCACAAGGGAACATTGGAAATTCAGCTAACTATGGGTTTGGGGGATTACCAAGGGGTAACTTCAATGCAAAAGATGGGCAGCCTTCACGGAATGATGGATCTATTTGCTCCCCAGTGCAGTCAAATTCACCTAAGGTTAATACTATCTACGAATTTTAAACAATAAAGTTAGTCTAGTTTGTGACGACATCCAATAAACTACTTTAGTATGTCATTAACCATTCTGGCATTCATAAATCATGCCACACGTATCAAACCTCTCTCTCATCTTAATTTATGGCAATAGGGCCATTTTTGTCTTCGAATATATTTTCTTTATTCAGGGAAAAGTGGTGAAAAGAATCGTGTTCTTTTTTTCTCCACATTGAACTCTTCACGTTGTAAAACTATGGGCACCTATCATTTTAGGCGAGATACAGAGTTTTCAGGAAGTAGCATTCGTACTAATTTCAGATGAAGTGCAGCTGCTTTACTTCACTAGATCACACTCATAGCAATTTATGTTCCCTAAAAGTTGATAGACTAAGCGCTAACTATATTATACCTAATATGAATATATATAAAAATCAGGCCGTGTCGCTCTTCTAGGTACTTGTACTAGTTTCAGGTGCAATACAATTCCTTTAGTTTGCTATAATTTCTCTCTTTATAATATATTTTCCGAAAATTAACAAATGTGATGTTAACTTATATGATCATATTGGTTTATGATTTTATTCTGGATCATTGCAATTAAAACTTTTGTCATTCTGAGCAGATGAAGATGGCCCAAATGCAGCAGGCTTCATCTCAACAACAAGATCAGTTACAGCAGCAACAGCAACAGCAGCAATTGCAACAGGTGATATCCATTCATGTGCTCTTATTGGTCCATTTTGTTGTTCAACCTTGATAAACACTAATACTTGGCAGTCTGTCTGTTGATTTCACAAGTGATTCCATCAAAAACATCTTTTTCATGACCCCCTTCCCTTATTTATGAATATATAAAGGAATGACACGCCTTTGACCTGAAACAGAATAACAGGAAAAGAAAGCAACATTCTTCATCAGGGCCTGCTAACAGTACAGGAACTGGAAATACAGTAGGCCCTTCCCCAGGATCACCACAGTCAACTCACACACCTGGCGATGGAATGAATGCTGCTAGCAGCCTGCAGCATGTCAATAGTGTGAACAAGAGTATGATGATATATGGTGCAGAGGGAGCCAGTGGAATTGCATCTTCGACAAATCAGCTTGTAAGACTGGTTGTGTTAGAGGGCTACTTAACCTATTTTTATTAATTAGATACCCAATGTTCTAAATGATGCACCTTTTAGAACATCTATGCTTGGAAATTTATGCACTGTAGAGTTATTGATTTTTGCGTTCTTAATTTTTTTAGATGTGTTCACAGATCTGTTTCAATGATTGGTCGTCCTCTCTATTTATATGGGGTTTTAATATCAACCTGTTACTTGGAAACTCATCTCCAAGAGACCGTGATTGTGAATTATAAGCATTGCAACATGTAATGTTATGCTCTGAATTCATGAAATTATGTTTCTTTATACAGGATGATTTGGAGAATTTTGGAGATGTTGGTTCCCTTGAAGACAACGTGGAATCTTTTTTGTCACATGATGGAGGAGATGGAAATTTATATGGCTCTTTGAAACAAACTCTTACTGAGCATAAAACAGAGACATCTAAAGGTACTATCAAATGATGTTTATGCATGTTTGGATCTAATCTAAAAAATGCAGCTTCCATCACAAAAAAAATTTCAGTTTTTAAACATCATGTCTGACTTGTAGGTTTTTCGTTTGGAGAAGTTGGTTGTATACGGACAAGAAATAAAGTGACATGTTGCCATTTTTCTTCGGATGGGAAGTTATTAGCTAGTGCTGGGCATGACAAAAAGGTATTTTACTCGTTCTTGGAAGTGTAGTGGCTTTACAATCATTAATGGACACTTGAGCACCCTTGTGCTGCTAGATTAACTTTATGAGCAATTTAATGCACACATTTGTGTTATATTATTGCATTATCCCTCGTTTTGACTTATTTTATTTCCACGTTGTTGTCCTGCCCCCTTCATTAGGCTGTTATTTGGAACATGAACACCCTGCAGACTGAAACCACTCCGGAAGAACACCAATATTTAATTACAGATGTTCGCTTCCGGCCAAATTCAACTCAACTTGCGACGGCTTCATTTGACAAGTCTGTCAGATTGTGGGATGCAGCTAATGTAAACACTAACGATCTCTCTTCCATTCAGTTGATTTAACTTTCCACTTTTTGTACTGTTGAAAATAGACTTGGGAGTAGCAAAACATGTGTGCAACCATATTCCATATCCCTGCATTTTCATTTATGATTTTTTTGTTCTTACCTGTATTATTTCTAAGTACTAACCCTATTTAATTTGTTTATGCAGCCAAGCTATTGTCTAAATGCATACACAGGACATTCTTCCCATGTGATGTCCCTCGACTTCCATCCCAAAAAGACTGATCTGTTCTGTTTCTGCGATAGTAATAACGAAATACGCTATTGGAATATTAATCCATTTTCTTGCACTCGGATTTCCAAGGTTGGGCGTTGAAAACTGATCTTTGATCTCGTACATGTTCATATATGCCTTCTGTTTTTTTTTCTCTCTCTCTCTCTAGGTTAGTTGTATTGTAGTGATCTAAATTTTCTGAATTGCATATTGTAGCAAGGAGGCAGTGCACAAGTGAGATTTCAACCTATTACTGGGCATCTACTGGCAGCAGCATCAGACAAGGTGGTCTCGATATTCGATGTTGAAAATGACAGACAAACATATTCTTTCCAGGTTTTTGGATTTACTCCCTCTCAAATTAAATGTCGATTCGGAGATTTTCTTTTGTTTCGTATTATCTTCACTTCAGATAGAATTCCAATGATGCATTGACTATTTTTTTCTCTCAGTTTTGCCTGTCAATTCTCTTAATTTTACCGTCAGGGTTTTTTAGCATACAATTCCTTGATTCATCTAGTTTTCCTCTGTGACATTTTAGTATTGCTTGATTGCTTCTTATACACATTAATTTTGGTGGTATAGGGACATTCTGGTGTGGTGAACTACCTATGCTGGGACCTTAACGGGGAGAACTTGGCTTCTGTGAGTGAGGATAGCATTAAAGTTTGGTCTTTAGCCTCAGGAGATTGCATCCACGAGCTCAACTCCAACGGAAACCAATTCCATTCTTGCGTTTTTCATCCAAGTTATCCTTCTCTCTTGGTCATTGGAGGCTTAAGGGTAATCTCTCTCTCTCTCTCTCTCTCGCACACACACACACACACAAACACAGACACAGACACATAATTTGTAATGGATCCATTTGTTTACGGTTTACGTAATTTCGTAATGAATGCAGTCTCTGGAGCTGTGGAACATGATAGAGAACAAAAGCATGACGGTACCTGCACACGAGAACATAGTTGCTGCTCTGGCGCAGTCGCCCGTGACAGCAATGGTCGCATCTGCTAGCCACGACAGCTCAGTCAAGTTATGGAAATAAACAAACACACACGGCTTGTCCCATATGGATATCATTACAAGTTATATCCGACATATGTTGGGGAAAATAATATGCTCTAGCCTGTCGGCCTTTTCCTTGTATGATGAAATGTGAGCTATAATAGTACATGGGGTTCTTTGTATGTCTTTTTAGATTATTCGGGTTCACTTGTCTGTATTGAGAAGCATCTATATATATATATAATCAGATTCGCTTAATCTAGGTAAATAGGCAGTGTGTGCCGGTGGTGCCCTCATAACTGTTAACTAGTAACTTGATTGATTTCTCATTTGCTAAACGTCTCTTCCTCAAACATGTCCTCCATACGTGATTTGACTCAATTTGAATACATTACTATAGGGTACATATAAACCCGGAATGCACTGAAAAATTCTTCATTTTTAATTAACACATTATCACACACGAAAGTATGAGTATTTGTCATGTTGTTTTGGGCCCATAAATCAATTGTTTATGATTGGTCCCAAACGTAATAATTTCTAGCAGACCCGATTCTAGGAATAGTGCCCAAGCCACTTAGTCCAAACCAATGAGAACTTTTGATCTTGACCGTCTAGATTATTTTTTTGTTTAATCGTGGACGTCCATTCTCTCGAACTTTTACTCTATCCTCTCAATTCCACTCTCACTTCGAATGCGGCGCTTCCGTCTCCTCATTTCTCCCTCTCTTTTTGAACAGTACTTCTATCTTTTTCCGGCATCTCTATACAGAGTCTTTGTCGTACACGACTGACTTTGACTTAGGAGCAGCTTTATTGTCTCGTACCATTGGTTATGTGCCTATTTATACTGCCGTTAAAGATAGAGATAAAAGTAACACTAATCTATGCACATTTTTTAGTTTTCTTCTTTCAATCTCCTTTTTCTGCGAGTGAATGAGCTTCCGAGTAAGAGAAATCTGTTGGTAAGTCAACTCAATGTGAGTATTGGGTAGATCTAGGATTTCTGGGTTTGCGTGGATGTGATTTGCTATTTGCGGTTTATAAAAAAACCCCCCAAAAAAATACTTTATCTCTCTGCAACCCCAAAACTTCCCAAAACAATCCAAACCCCCCCCCCCCCC